AAAGCACATCTGTTGGAGGAAGAGAGAAGGAGAGAGGAGAGATACCAAGGATTGCATATTTAATGGGAAGAGCAAGGAAGAGAATAGAAGACAGATGAATAGAGAAGAGGGAGAGACAAAACAAGGCGCAGAGAAGATTGCACTCTTCTTTATCTATTCTCTCTCCCTTGTTTCTCCCTTCCCTCTTTCTTTTCGAAATGAGAAAAACAAAAAGGAAGAACTATGAGAAGGAGAAGAGTAAGGAAAGGAACAGAAGAGATAGGCCGAGAGGATGAATATGATGGAGTATTATGGAAAGGCTCACGCGCAAGGAGTCACCCTCTGCTTACCTTTCCACTGCTTTATCATATGAGTTCCTTTCTTGTGTTTTATCAGCAGAAGAGAAGGGAAAAGCAAAAATTGAGCCCAACATTTTAGGACCAGGGCTTGCGATCTGACTCTTTGGAGAAAAAAAATCGATTCCAAAATCTTAGGGACCAGGGCTTGCGATGTTACTCTTTGGAGCAAGAAATGAGCCCAAAATCTTAAAGACCGGGGCTTGCGATTTCACCTTTTGGAGCAAATACTGGGCCCAAAATCTTAGGGACCAGGGCTTGCAATTTGACTCCGTGGAGCACAAATCGACCCCGAAATCTTAGGGACCAGGGCTTGCGATTTGACTCTTTGGAGCACAAATCGACCCCGAAAACTTAGGGACCAGGGCTTGCGATTTGACTCTTTGGAGCAAAAATCGACCCAAAAATCTAAGGGACCAGGGCTTGCGATTTTACTCTTTGGCGCAAAAACTGGGCCCCAAATCTTAGGGACCAGGGCTTGCGATGTCACTCTTTGGAGCAAAATTGAACCCAAAGTCTTAGGGACCAGGGCTTGCGATTTGACTCTTTGGAGCAAAAACTGGCCCAAAATCTTAGGGAGCAGGGTTTGCGATTTGACTCTTTGGAGCAAAAACTGGGCCCCAAATCTTAGGGACCAGGGCTTGCGGTTTGACTCTTTGGAGCAAAAATTGAACCCAAAATCTTAGGGACCAGGGCTTGCGATTTGACTCTTTGAACCAAAAACTGGGCCCAAAATCTTAGGGACAAGGGCTTGCGATGTCACTCTTTGGAGCAAAAAATGAACCCAAAATCTTAGGGACCAGGGCTTGCGATTTGACTCTTTGGAGCAAAAACTGGGCCCCAAATCTTAGGGATCAGGGCTTGCGATTTGACTCTTTGGAGCAAAAATTGAACCCAAAATCTTAGGGACCAGGGCTTGCGATTTGACTCTTCGGAGCAAAAACTGGGCCCAAGATCTTAGGGACCAGGGCTTGCGATGTCACTCTTTGGAGCAACAATGAATGCAAAATCTTAGGGACCAGGGCCTGCGATTTGACTCTTTGGAGCAAAAATTGAACCCAAAATCTTAGGGACCAGGGCTTGCGATTTGACTCTTTGGAGCAAAAACTGGGCCCAAGATCTTAGGGACCAGGGCTTGCGATGTCACTCTTTGGAGCAAAAAATGAACCCAAAATCTTAGGGACCAGGGCTTGCGATTTGACTCTTTGGAGCAAAAACTGGGCCCCAAATCTTAGGGACCAGGGCTTGCGATGTCACTCTTTGGAGCAAAAAACGAACCCAAAATCTTAAGGACCAGGGCTTGCGATGTCACTCTTTGGAGCAAAAATTGAACCCAAAATCTTAGGGACCAGGACTTGCGATGTCACTCTTTGGAGCAAAAACTGGGCCCCCAATCTTAGGGACCAGGGCTTGCGATTTGACTCTTTGGAGCAAAAACTGGGCCCAAAATCTTAGGGACCAGGGCTTGCGATGTTACTCTTTGGAGCAAAACTGGGTCCAAATCTTAGGGACCAGGGCTTGCGATGTCACTCTTTGGAGCAAAAATTGAACCCAAAATCTTAGGGACCAGGACTTGCGATGTCACTCTTTGGAGCAAAAACTGGGCCCCCAATCTTAGGGACCAGAGCTTGCGATGTCACTCTTTGGAGCAAAAATTGAACCCAAAATCTTAGGGACCAGGGCTTGCGATTTGACCCTTCGGAGCAAAAACTGGGCCCCAAATCTTAGGGACCAGGGCTTGCGATGTTACTCTTTGGAGCAAAGATTGAACCCAAAATCTTAGGGACCAGGGCTTGCGATTTGACCCTTTGGAGCAAAAAGTGGGCCCAAAATCTTAGGGACCATGGCTTGCGATTTGACTCTTTGGAGCAACTGGGCCCAAGATCCCAAAATCTTAGGGACCAGGGCTTGCGATGTCACTCTTTTGGGCAAGAAATGAGCCCAAAATCTTAGGGAGCAGGGCTTGCGATTTGACCCTTTGGAGCAAAAACTGTGCCCCAAATCTTAGGGACCAGGGCTTGCGGTTTGACTCTGTGGAGCAAAAATTGAACCCAAAATCTTCGGGACCAGGGCTTGCGATTTGACTCTTCGGAGCAAGAAATGAGCCCAAAATCTTAAGGACCAGGGCTTGCTTTGGAGGAAAAAACTGAGTCCAAAATCTTAGGGACCAGGGCTTGCGATTTGACTCTTTGGAGCAAAAACTGGGCCCCAAATAATAGGGACCAGGGCTTGCGATGTTACTCTTTGGTGCAAGAAATGAGCCCAAAATCTTAGGGACCAGGGCTTGCGATGTTACTCTTTGGGGCAAGAAATGAGCTCAAAATCTTAGGGACCAGGGCTTGCGATGTCACTTTTTGGAGCAAAAACTGTGCCCTAGTATTGGGGGGAGGAGGGCTCGTGATTTAGTATTGGGAGGAGGCCCGGGCTCGTAAATTAGTATTGGGGGTAGGCCCGGCTCGTGATTTAGTATTGCGGGAGGCCCGGGCTCGTGATTTAGTATTGGGGGGAGGCCCGGGCTCGTGATTTAGTATTGGGGGGAGGCCCGGCCTCGTAATTTGGAGGCCCGGGCTCGTGATTTAGCCCGGGCTCGTGATTTAGTATTGGGGGGAGGCCCGGGCTCGTGATTTAGTGTTGCGGGAAGGCCCGGGCTCGTAATTTAGTATTGGGGGGAGGCCCGGGCTCGTGATTTAGTATTGGGGGGAGGCCCGGGCTCGTGGTTTAGTATTGGGGGGAGGAGGATGCCCCAGCCCCCACCCCCCATTTGGAAATAGATGAATTAATTGAACTAATTGAAATAATTGAATTAATTCAATTAATTCAATTAATTGATTTATTTCCAAAGGGGAGGTGGAATTAATTGAATTAATTGCATTAATTCAATTTTTTCAATTAATTCAAGTAATTCATTTATTTCCAAATGGGGGGGATTCCCCAGCCCCCACCCCCCCCCCCTTTGGAAATAAATGAATTAATTGAATTAATTGAATTAATTGAATTAATTCAATTAATTCAATTAATTCATTTATTTCCAAAGGGGAGGTGGAATTAATTGAATTAATTGAATTAATTCAATTATTTCAATTAATTCAATTAATTCAAGTAATTCATTTATTTCCAAATGGGGGGGATTCCCCAGCCCCCACCCCCCCCCTTTGGAAATAAATGAATTAATTGAATTAATTGAATTAATTGAATTAATTGAATTAATTGAATTAATTCAATTAATTCAAATAATTCAATTAGTTCATTTATTTCCAAAGGGGAGGTGGAATTAATTGAATTAATTGAATTAATTCAATTATTTCAATTATTTCAATTAATTCAATTAATTCAATTAATTCATTTATTTCCAAATGGGGGGGATTCCCCAGCCCCCACCCCCCCCCCTTTGGAAATAAATGAATTAATTGAATTAATTGAATTAATTGAATTAATTGAATTAATTGAATTAATTGAATTTCAATTAATTCAATTAATTCATTTATTTCCAAAGGGGAGGTGGAATTAATTGAATTAGTTGAATTAATTCAATTATTTCAATTAATTCAATTAATTCAATTAATTCATTTATTTCCAAAGGGAGGGGAGGGGTGGGGGCTGGGGAATCCCCCCATTTGGAAATAATTGAATTAATTGAATTAATTGAATTAATTGAATTAATTGAATTAATTGAATCAATTCAATTAATTCAATTAATTCAATTAATTCAATTAATTCCACCCCCCCCTTTGGAAATAAATGAATTAATTGAATTAATTCAATTAAAATTCAATTAATTCAATTAATTCATTTATTTCCAAAGGGGGGGGGGTGGGGGCTGGGGAATCCCCCCCATTTGGAAATGAATGAACTAATTGAACGAAATTATTTAAACTATCGCGGCTCGATTTGGCCAAATTTTGCCGGGCAGCCTGCGGGCAAAATTTGGCCAAATCGGGCTGCTCTTCGTATGCCATGAGAAATGCGCGGCTCGATGTGGCCAAATTTTGCCCGGAGGCTGCCCGGCAAAATTTGGCCAAATCGAGCCGCGCATTTCTCAGCGCGTACGACGAGCAGCCCGATTTGGCCAAATTTTGCCCGCAGACTTCCCGGCAAAATTTGGCCAAACCGAGCCGCGATAGTTTATATAATTTCGGGCCTCCAGAAAGGCGCGGCTCGATTTGGCCAGATTTTGCCGGGCAGTCTGCGGGCAAAATTTGGCCAAATCGGGCTGCTCGTCGAACGGGCAAAATTTGGCCAAATCGAGCCGCGCCTTTCTGAAGGCCCGAAATTTTGAAACTATCGCGGCTCGATTTGGCCAAATTTTGCCGGGCAGCTTCCGGGCAAAATTTGGCCAAATCGGGCTGCCCTTCGTATGCGATGAGAAATGCGTGGCTCGATTTGGCCAAATTTTGCCCGGAGGCTGCCCGGCAAAATTTGGCCAACTCGAGCCGCGATAGTTTAAATAATTTCGGGCCTCCAGAAAGGCGCGGCTCGATTTGGCCAAATTTTGCCGGGCAGCCTCCGGGCAAAATTTGGCCAAATCGAGCTGGGGGGGTGGGGTCTGGGGAACCCCCCCCATTTGGAAATAAATGAATTAATTGAATTAATTGAACTAATTGAATTAATTCAATTAATTAAATTAATTCAATTAATTCCACCCCCCCTTTGGAAATAAATGAATTAATTGAAATAATTGAATTAATTGAATTAATTCAATTAATTCAATTAATTCATTTATTTCCAAAGGGGGGGAGGGGTGGGGGCTGGGGAATCCCCCCCATTTGGAAATAAATGAATTAATTGAATTAATTGAATTAATCGAAATAATTCAACTAATTCAATTAATTCAATTAATTCATTTATTTCCAAAGGGGAAGTGGAATTAATTGAATTAATTGAATTAATTCCAATTAATTCAATTAATTCAATTAATTCAATTAATTCAATTAATTCAATTAATTCAATTAATTCATTTATTTCCAAAGGGGGGGGTTCAATTAATTCAATTAATTCAATTAATTCAATTAATTCAACTAGTTCAATTAATTCCACCCCTCCCCTTTGGAAATAAATGAATTAATTGAATTAATTGATTAAATTCATTAAATTCCAGGGGGAAAGTGGAAATTAAGGAATTTAATGAATTAAATTCTGTCTGTGCAACCCTACAGGACCTAAAATAGGGTCTATTTGGAACATGGCTCTTGTGAATAAGTATACGTTTTGGGGCCTGTTTTCCTCTTGTAAATACGATTCCCAGCTTCCAAATAGACCCTATTTAAGCTGCACACGGGGGGGGGGGTGGGGGGGCGTGTGTCACCAACTGACTCGATGGACGCTCACTCGGGTTGACCATGAGTGCTGAAGGAAGGAAGTGAGAGAGAAAGAAAGAAAGAAGGGAAGAAGGAAGGAAGGAAGGAAGGAAGGAAGGAAGAAAGGAAGGAAGGAAGGCAGGAAGGAAGGAAAGAAAGAAAGACAAAAAGAAATTAAAGAAAGACAAAAAGAAAGAAAGAGCGACAGAAAGAAAGAAATAAATACATAAAGAAAGAAATAAAGAAATAAGGAAATAAAGAAATGAACTAAAGAAATAAAAAACAAAGAAGTAACAAAATAAAGAAACAAAGAAACAAAGAAACAACGGACCAAAGAAACAAGGAAACAAAGAAACAAAAAGAACAAAGAAACAAAGAAACAAAGAAACACAGAAACAAAGAAACAAAGAAACAAAGAAACAAAGAAACAAAGAAACAAAGAAACAAAGAAAGAAAGAAAGACAGAACGAAAGAAAGAAAGAAAGAAAGAAAGAAAGAAATAAAGAAATAAAAAAAACAAAGAAATAAAGAAATAAAGAAATAAAGAAATAAAGAAATAAAGAAGTAAAGAAATAAAGAAATAAAGAAATAAAGAAATAAAGAAATAAAGAAATAAAGAAATAAAGAAGTAAAGAAGTAAAGAAATGAAGAAATAAAGAAATAAAGAAACAAAGAAACAAAGAAATGAAGAAATAGAGAAACAAAGAAAGACAAAAGAAAGAAAGAAATCAAGAAAACAATAAAGAGCGAAAGAAAGAAAGAAAGTAATAAAGAAAGAGAGAGAAGGGGGTTTCGGGTAGTGGGGGTTGGGTGGCACTGGCGCTAATCGAACACCGACCGTTGTCCCAGTCTTGTTTGTACAAGACGTGCCTCTGCACCGGGGTCTCCCCCAAACCCCGACAAAGGAAAGAAGCCAGTTCGGGGTGAGCATCACTTCCTGCCACTTTTCACAATGCGCAAGTCTGCACAAAGGTCCTGACTGGGGGAATGTCATGCCAATCCGGGCCCAACTTACGGGCGGGGTTCACCAAATCGATTCCACATGAGATAGGAATGCGCGCCTTTTTGCCCGGCTTTGAGGGGGAGTGCTGTTTGTGTGTTGCATAAACTTAACCTAATGGGGGAAACGTTCCCCCTCAACAGAAACGCCAGCGTGCTTCCCTGAAGTTTTTTCAGTCTCACACCGCGGCGTGTGCGCGGGGGCCCGGGTGTCAGAAGAAGAAGAAGAAGGAAGAGAAGAATAAGCAGAAGAGAAAGAAAAAGTAGAAAAAGTAGAAGAAGAATAGGAAGAAGAAGAAGAAGAAGAAAAAGAAGACGAATAAAAACCAAGAAGACAAAGAATGATAAGAGGACTGAGTCAGTCTGTTTGTGTTTGAGGGATCTCGTCTGGGGTCGGGCAGCCGGGTGAGAGAGATGGTCGATGAGGGAGGGGACGAGTGAATCAGCGAACGAGTGAGCCAGCAGTACGTGGACGCAACCTCAATGAACAGATTCAGAATGTTTTTCAGGCTTCTTCCGAAATGAAGACACCTGAGAAGCTGTGGAAAGGCTTCGTGCAATGTCCGGAAGGTTTCACAGATCATTAGAGACCCATTTCCAGCGCACGCAGCAAGAGCTCAGCGACAGCGCGTGCGAATTGTTGGCTTGATGCTGCGTTGCTGCGTTGCTCAAAGACTTCACAGTGTACAAAACTGCCAGGCTTGCTGTCTGGAAAAAGCATGCGACTTGAGGTGTTGGGGAGTAGTTGGCCTCTAGCAGTAGATCCAACAGGTATGTCGTACGAACTTCTCCATCAAGCCGCCTGACAAGATCTGGTGGACACCTCAGAGCTCCGAGCTCCGCAAAACGAGCAAACGATGTGACTTGGTGTCCTCGGCAAAGTGACTCAAGTCTTGGCCCAGGCGCAACCTGCGAAGCAGAAGTGCAAGTGAGGACACGGCGGCAGCTTTGTTCGACAACGTCGGGAGCTCGTGGCTTTACTGTGGAATGCAGATTCGGATGCTGACAGCTGCTAAGCTGCTGTGTGCCGAGGTTCGCACCAACCCACGCTATGACAGGGATGCCATTGCTCGAATCCCTAGGCCGGCAGTGGCTGAAGGTTCAAATAGGGCAAGTCAAGGTCACTTTTGTTTTGCCTGAAATGAGCAACTCGAGTGAGTCGTTCTTTGATGAGGGAAATCCGTGAGGGTGACCGTGTGCGCTTTTCTGATAAACAGGCTGTTTGAACTTTCAACTCGGGGAAGCACCCCTCGAAAGCTCTTCACACCTCGCATCGCAGGGCCCTCCGCACCCGTCTCCGACCGCTCCTGGACTCGGGATGCTTGGTCCTGCCTGCGACCGAAGCGTGACATGAACATCAATCATCATCAGTACGACAAGCGACGTGAATCAGTGAAACTACATCGGCACCGTGCTGTGGCCTGGCTTAGGCAGACACCTGCACGTGCGAGGGACGAAGCAGCCGCCACCGACCCAGCATCGAGTCTACTTGATTTCTCTTTCAACTGTTGGATGCCGTTCGGCTGTCAGCATCATGGTTCTGAGCTGCAGATCGGAGGCAAGAAGAGGCCGCCAGCAAGGTGACAACTTCTTCATCCTCTTCGAGGCGAAGGGGTACATGGTTTTGCTCGCCTTGAATTTGCACACTGCTCTCAGGCCGTGGTGGCTTCGAGACTGGCGCACTGGCACAAAGGCCTTTGCAAGGGCCTGGGTACGTTGTGGCCTGCATGAAGCTGAGAGAGGCATCTACCTCCTGGCAGCCAAGTGGGAGCGGCTGGCACGGAGCTCAAAGACAGGCCAGAATGATTCATTGCACTTCAACGAGTATCTCAGGGATCCGATGGCAGCGATGCCCTGGTTGGCGTGAACCTGGCAGGCGTAGCAGTGCCTAAGAGTTCGTCTCAGCTTGCTTTCACGCATCATTCGCATCATGGTCAACATGGAGGCCAGCGTACAGCACCACGCCACTCGGCAGAGATCCGGCAGCTGCAGGCAGGGGACACCAAGACACCAGAGAGATCCAGAAGCTAGCACATTTGCCACACATTGCTCTTCTTTTCCAGAACCTTGTGTGGGTCAGGGCTGGATGTCAGGGCTAGGCGAAGCGCCATTTCTGATTCAAAATGTGCGCCGCAAGAGCCTGACAGCTGGTGTCTGTGAGGAGGCACATTGTCTTGCTCTTATGACAGCTTGTCGGTGGTGGGCAGGAAGGGCTGAAATCTTGCTGTTCTTGCTGAACTTAGAACGTCATGTGCGGGGTAGGGGTATTCGCCAGCGTGAATTCCAGGAGGTGGAAGGGACAGAGCCCGTGGGCAGTGCAACCAGTCGCGAACGCACTGGTACTCATCCGCTCGGCAGTTTAAAGATTTCAGAAACCACTTACATCGAATCACCAGTTCTTTAAGGTCCCAAGCCCACATTATGGACATTCTCACTTCCCAATCCACAAGCCGTAAGCTTCAATTACAAGGGCTTCATATGGGTGGTAGGCGTGGCCTGAAGTGAAGACCGTGGTCAGAAACTGCAGCGGTGTGGACGGTATGGTAACATAACTGCAGCACACGTTCATGTGTGTTGTTTCATCGCGAGCATGCAGGCACAGCTGTCTGGATCTCAGAAGTGCGGAGTTCTGAATCCTACTCCTCTTCCGTCCTGGCGTCCGTTCAGCTGAGGCCCGGGAAGCCGGTGCAATGCATTGTCGGTGGACCGGCGGTTGCCTGAGACCACAGAGATCTTGCGGAAGGTACACGGATGGCATGAGCTCACAATGGGCTTTGCAGGTCGGTCCCGACAGATTGCTAGCCCTGGTTCCTTACGAGGCTGCTCGGCATGTTCCGATCAGACCGCCACTTGCCCTGTACTCGTAGCACATCGCTGGTGTAGTCGCGTAGCTTCCTGGCTGTCCATGTTTTGCCTCTGCCTGATTTTGAGCGAGCGAGAGTGTGTGTGTGTGTGTGTGTGTGTGTGTGTGTGTGTGTGTGTGTGTGTGTGTGTGTGTGTGTGTGTGTGTGTGTGTGTGTGTGTGTGTGTGTGGTGTGTGTGTGTGTGTGTGTGTGTGTGTGTGTGTGTGTGTGTGTGTGTGTGTGTGTGTGTGTGTGTGCATGTGTGCGTGACAGCCTGGTTGCGCAGGCCTTCATTAGTGCAGCGGGCCATGCCTTTTGGCATTAGTGTATGGCCAGCGAAGAGGCTAACAACAAAAGTTGCAAACACACCTGCATCAAAAAGTCCGGCCCGCTTTGCAACTAGATGCTTGGCTTGGTGGTTTCGTTCTTTTGCTGGTGCTCTGCGGTGTGCTTTCCTTCTGTTCCGCTTTTTGGTTTCTGCTTGTGTTCCTGGACTTCAGCAAGCTCGGGGTTGAGGGGGGCTTGGGATTGGACCTCTACAAAGAATGCTACAGACACAGCCCAAGGACCACGTGCACCATCGTCCCCCCCCCCCCCGCCCCAAAGGCCCAAAAGCATCGTAAATGGCGTTGGTTTCCCCATTTGGCGGCTGGAAGCTCGCGGCGCCCAAAAAGTGAAAACATGGCACAGGTGGCCCTCTGCGTGGGGCCATGTGGGGCCCCTCTTGGGAAACTGAATGCATCCGTTGTTGAGCGAGTCTTGGCCTAACCGGGGGGGGGGGGGGCGATTGGCCACATTGGCTGAGTTTAAAATTTGCAGGACACTATGTCGTGAAACCTTCACGTGGCAGCCACCAAAGCCAAGAAGAAGAAAACTCAGAAAAAGGAAGAGAAGCACCGGAAAATGCGAAAACAACACTCCACCCTTTTGTTTGATTTGAAAGCATAGCGGGTGACGCCTGCTGTTGTCAGCTCGTAGCAGTCACAGCAATTGCCTGTCAGGTGGTAGCGCATAGCTAAAAGCAGGATAGTCGAAAAGAGACATTTCTTGCATGAAATCTGCAGGGCGAGCTCCTTCAGCCGCTGCCGCGGCTCGTTCACAGTGTCGAAGGCCTCAGCAACGGTATGTGCTGGTATCTCGGTACTTTGCGACTTCGAAGAGAGTAGAAGTTGCAGGATACTTGTAGCCTTCCACGCAGGGAGTCTCATGCTGCCCGATGTTGAACTCACCATGCTCATGTGACAGCAGCTTGTTGTGATGTGCGGCTCAAATCGGTAGCGCTTGCGAGACTCACGTCCCAAGCGGACCCTTGCCTGCAGAGCAAAGACCGTTGACACAACGTAACCATATGTACACGTGTTTGCGGTCGAAACAAAGCTTCGTACCAAGGATGGCTATCAGGCCTTTCTCCGGAGCCCAGATGCTTCGGTCGGAGCTCCATCTACATGTAGCGTGGCTGCACCACGGCGTTCTTTCGCCAAGTGTCAGTAGGTCACTGAGTCAGTGCAGGGAGCGCAGAAACCTCAAAGGCTGCAGTTCTCATGGAGACTAGCCTTATCTCAGTGGATGTGGCGCGGCTGCGAGCCAATTTTTGGGTCGGGCCACCTAAAGCAGCAGCTTGCGTGGCAACCTGTGTGCTCTTGGGGATGCTTCTGTGCTGAGGATTCTGATGGCCGATGCTGAGAGAAATTTTGCTTCCTTGGAAGATGTCGGAGCCCGAGAGCTCGAGGGAAATGGAGGCGGCCATGCTTTGCCGCCTCCGAGTCCGACCAAGACACCCACGCAGAACGCAGAACAGACCGAGACTCAGGCCCGTATCGTCCACGCTGTCGGTGATGAGATGAGCACAGAGGTGGGAGAGGTGGGAGAGGTGGGAGAGGTGGTGGTGGGGGGAAGGGTCTGGGCTGACCAGACGATCAGATGTCAGGTCTGGCCGAAGGAACGACCCAATTGCCTTCAGCCTTGCGGTAAGGGCTGCTTCTGCATGGCAGCGCGACTTTGCTCTTGACGATTGGGGCCTGTATTCACTGTATTCGTCCTTTCTATGAGTACGTGGTGACACTATGCCGGTGTGCGTCTGGGTGGATCGATCTTCGCCCAGGAAGCACTATGATGACATTTACTTCTGTGACTGCACGGGCCGCAATGCTGAGAACGAGAGGGTTTATCGACAGGAGTTCTCATACGCCGACTTGCTTCTCGCTTCAAAAGTTCTTCCATTGACGCTGCGACGCTGCACTGTTTCGCCTGCTGAACCCCCCAACTGCTGATCGCGCAGTAGCTCGTCATGTCCATGGTGCTTTGCATTGGAGCGCCTAAGGACCAAGCATCCCGACAAGAAGGGCAAAGTGGATCCTGCTTGGAAGCATGACAAGTGACGCGACGCGTAAAAATCTCTGATGCGCGGGAAGGGGTGGAGAAAGAACCCTCTGGGGCTTCAGAGTGATTGTCGTGGCTGTTGTGCGCCATTGTCGTGCTTGTCACGATTGCAGGCCTGGCCTCGGCGGGCGCTCCCTGTGGTGCCCTTTTTGCGGAGCTTCGGGACGTGTCGCAGGTGCGCGGAGCTTGTATCTAGCTGTTTTCTCGGTCCTTTGCCGTCGCGATCCGATAATTCTGAACCTTTCCCATTTGCTGTAAGTCGTCGGTTCAGTGCCCATACCGTCTTGTTTCATGTCTGTTTTTGGCTCCAGTGACCTTGTCGTGGCTGGCACCGGCCGTGACGGTGATCAATGGCTTTCAGATATGCTCTGCTCTGGGTGGTCCTGAGCGTGACTGCCTCTTGTTGGCAGTTTGGTTTGATGTGTAGCAGCTGAGTGGGGTCACGAACGAGCGGACACGTGTGTTGCAAAGGCTGCTCTGCCGGACTGCGTCGAGAACTCCACCGATCTGCATGAATGCGGACAACAGTGCTCGAAGCATCCGAGGGGTCGCGCAAGAGCGGATTGCGCTGTCTCTTGCATCATGGGTCGAGGTCAGCATGGCCGGTGTGCCGGATGCCTCGGTGCACAAATAGATTGCAGACTCTCGAACTGCTTGTTCTTCTGTCCAGACTATCCAGAACGCTGCAGCAGCTGTGTCAAAGAGCGCTGCATCAGTTGCGTACAGGATGCTGAGAACACTGCCCTCAGTGCTGGAATCAACACAGTCAACACAGAGTATGTCCCATGATGGGTGGAGCAGTGGAGAAAACCATCAAGGCCTTTGTGACGAGAACTTCCCTGAGTTCCCAAACATCGGCCACCGCTCAGATTAGTTTCACACCTAGCGTGCTTGGCATCCATGTGAGGCCAACAGTGGGAAGTTGCCGTGAAGAGAGGTCCAAGGTATGTACAGATCTTCAGGCCCCCAATCACAACACGGAGCTTGGTGGGCCCGAAGCACTTGGGATGTGAGACGACCGCCGGTGGCACTTGCCCCCCTTCACGTCGATACAAACAAAGTGCACGCTTGACATGTCTGCTGTCCTTTTTACGACTGCCTTCTTGTTGGGTAAAAGTTTGTGCGGCTGTTTGCCGTCTTTTTTGCGTCGCTGGTCTCTCGAGGTGCTCTCAGAACAAACTGGTCTGCGCCCACTCGGCGCCGCTGTCTTCCAGGCCGCTGCAGTTGCTCCGACGGGCAAAATGTCGATGCAGCGTTTCAATGCCAGGGCCATGCCGTTTGGAGCTCGGACCAGCTCATGTCGGAGGCATGCGCTGCCCCCTATGCTTCTTCAAAGTTTTTCACCCTGGGAAGCGGGTGTGAGATTGCAGGCTTTGCCACCTGATCCCCAGTCTGGACTATGTTGTGAACCCTAGGTCTTGGGCCTCTATGAAAACAGGAAAACGGAGTCGAGAGCACCCTGAGGCCCCAATCCCTGATCCCTACATTCTAAACCTGAGTGCCCGACGATATGTTTAATGAAGTTGAAGCAGCAAGCTATAAACATGTGGACAGCTTTGGGGAGAATCCAACCATTGTGCTTCCGCAATTTTCCACAATTCCATGGCAGGTGGCTCGGGGAAGCTGGGGTCTGGCCCGTGTGGGACTCAGTGGCCTGCCATCCTACCCTTAGGTTGATCCATTGATGCTTCGTGATGGCTTCATCTATCTTCATCTTAAACCTCATCTTCCTGCCATGGAGTATCTCTGCGAAAAGCCGTTTCGACGTTTAGCACAGCCGAGGTGCGCATGGCAACGATTTGGCAGTTCCTGAAGGTGATGCGGAGGTCTAGCTGATTTTGGACTGGAGCATGTTATGCGGCTTTATGCGGAGACGTGAGAGGCCTGCAGACCTGCCGCCAGGAACGGTGGTCCATGCTTTGGCAGCAGAGACAAGTTGTGCCAAGAACTTCAGATGTGCGGGGCTCGAGGATCTGAGGTGGGCATTCGGCATTTCGCTCAGAGGTTTCCACAAAGCCCCAAAGGTTGAGCCTCCACCTCAACCTCAGTCTCAGTTGCAGCCTCGTCGTCGAGAGGCGCGTTCCTAGGTGGTTGGACATTGCGGCATTGGTTCTGCAAGGGTTCTGCAAGGGTTCTGCAAGGGTTCTGCTTGACATATTGCTCTCTGGCCCGGTGCATTTTCATCTCAAAGAGACCTGGACGCGGGTTTTCTTCGGAGCGGCTCCTGACCAGCAGGCACGTGCTGCGCATGTGTGCTGATGTGTGCCATGGTGCAGATGGATGCTGATGGATGCTGATGGATGCTGATGGATGCTGATGGATGTAATCATGTGCCGGACGTTGGCATTCGGCACCTTCCATCTGAGTTGTTGAGGATCCAGCCGCTTGCGGCCAGCGATGGCTCTCATTACAGGTGGTCCGCATCCTGCTGTGCTTGATTCGCTGCAGGGTGCAAGCGGTGTGCAAGCGGTGCAGCGACTGATCCGATCAATTCATTGGGCTTAGGCCTGGGAGGGCTTGGCATGCTTGCGGCGAACGAGCTCGCCATCTCTGGCAAGGCCAGGGATCGGCTGGTGCCAAAGCCATATCTGATGGAGCTGCTTTGCAATCTCTTGGGGCGTTGGGGTTTGCGTGCGCTCATGTGCACTCTCATCTCCTTCCCTCAGGACCACGTGGTGGCGACGTCGAGGTGACCTTGCAGAACATACTGGGTAGTACATGACAGGGTGCACAGCCGTCTGCAGGAGTGGACGCCCCACCGGCATGCCACCTGCACTGCAGCAGCTGCTCCTTGACTGTCCACATGAAATGGTCGCCTTCCTTTCTAATTTGCATGCTCATCTGCATGTTCATCATCATGCGTTCATATCGAGGATGGCAGCAATGCAGACAACCTGTCGTTGGCTGAGATGTCCTTTTTTTGGAGCGAGATCTCGAATTTGTCGGGTGGCTGCAGATTTCAATCAGGTCCACATTACATGGTGAAGGCTGACGGCTCGGATGGTGCTGCAACTTGGCGGCACACAAGTCAATTCAGCTATGTCAGCTATGTCAGCTATGTCAGCTGTCTGTTGTAGAATCCGTGATTCTGGAGGTCATGCTGGACACTATACAGGCTTTCTGCCCTGGACCAAGGGGGTGCTTCAGGTGTCCAGACGTGTTCAGGTACAGAGTCCCGTCACGCTAAGGCCGTCCGGGTCTTCTCGCCGAGTCGGCAGCCAGGGCCCCATCTAGTCCAGGACATTCTGGCAGATGGACTCTTGGCAATGGGTGTGCTATGTGTGAAGGTCACCTTGGGCACCATCATCACAGCAACCCGCTCTCAGCCACTTTGCAAACATCTGGATTCACCCGTTAATTTCTTCAAGTGCCGCAATCGCATGTGTCAGGTTGCATGTTGCATCTGGCCCCGAGCCATTTCCGAATCCGCGGCTGACTGAGCCATACTGAACCTTGAGGCTCGAGACCATGCCTGACGAGCTGGTCAGGCACCTTCCCCAGTGAAAGCGTGGGAACTTGCAAGGGATCCGCGCAGTGCCCAGCAGTGCAATTCAGGCCTTCCCTGGAAACACTGGAGCGTATCAAGAAGGCCCGTACCTCAGACTCTACACCCGTATGGGAGCATGTCAGAGAAGTTTACACAATGGACAGGAGATCATTGACACTTCCAAGGACATGGGTTGAGGATAGGTTGCATGTATATACATATATAGATATCTACATACATATACGTACATATACATACATCTACATACATCTGCATACATATACGTGCATATACATACATATACATACGTACACGTATATTTAGGGTGCCCCCCCCCCCCAGAACCAAGCTACTATAGAAAAGCATAATTTGTCTAGTGAAGCTAAGAAAAGCACAAGTTCACGAAACAAGTACGTTGTGTGGACTCCCTGACAATGTGTCCTTTTTCTGTACACACTGTGTTCTTTTGGTAAGCTTGTGTGTTTCATAGCAAGATGCAGACAGCTCTAGTGGTAAGTATCATCTGCTCTTCTTTCTTTGTTTCTTGAATCCCTACCCACGCCACGTACACGCTTACACTGACACACTGCCTCCTGTCATTGATCAATAGTTAAGCCCGGGCTGGAACGCAGTCCTCGTCGTTTCCCAAGGACTCGATGTCTATTTTTGTGTGTCTAGTGGTGCCCCTCGGGTCTCGTGGCAGTTGCGGGGGTGTGGGCTATTGCGTGGAATTTGGAACCCCGAGGGGCGGCACTTTCACGGCCTCCGCCTCGGATCTCAAATAGCCCGCAAATAGCCTGGGTCCCGTGTATCTTCTGTGGCCCGAATCCCGCTCCCTCCTCGGTCCCACACAATTTTCTTGAAGCTTCAGTATGTCCCCGTTGGGCGAGCACATGGCAGAGACAAAAATGCACTTTTTCCTGCATTGTGCTCTTTTGATTTCCAAAAAGAACTAAAGTTGAGGCTCTTGAGGCTTAAGCTGTACAATGCAGCGTGCAGGAGGCAAGTGAAAAGGTTCAGTTCGGCGCCGATGTGACCGTGGTGAGTGCCTCAGTGCCTTTGTCGGCTTCATGGCCCATGGCCCAGCAATTTTTGTGGGGTCATCTCTAGGAAGACGCACAAGAAGTGCGAGATCGGGTCGGGGACTTAATAGATCCTTTTCGAGCAAAGCAAAGACTGGAACAACGAACTTTCAGGAGGACGAGGTGGTTGACCTGATCTCAAAGCTGAGAGCACAGCGTATCACGATCTGTCAGTATACGAAGAGAGAAGGCAGCAGCATATCACAGCATCCTCACTGCAGGCTCAAAACACGGGTGGACGGTGGTGGAACCGGGCCGGCTCAGCTCCGTGCCATCCAGAAGTGCCCTCCCCAACAGGTTCATGTACATTTTTCGATGAAAGCAGGTTCCATGTCGTGATACAGTGGTACTAGCAGGTGGTACATCTGGAATTCACACAGAATGCGCTTGCCCCCGGCCCGATCACATTGCAGGACTGGCAGCGAGTTGGCCGAGCAGGTGCAGGAGCTGGGGGTCCGGATCAAGAACATCACCGCCACGCACCTTCTCGTTTGTCATATGAGTGCATAGCATGCTACTGCATGCCTAAGTTGAGAGCTTGATCGCATGCTCAGACTCAAACCACCCTAGCTCTCCCGCAGAGACGCATGGGCTCCGGTCTCGGCAAGATGCTGGAATGCACACGACGCGACTCCATTCCGCAAGTGTAGGAGTGTTGAGCCTGGCCAGGCATCGAGACTATCGTCCATGCGGCTGGCGTTCTGCAGGACGGGCTCATCGTCCCCAACCTGCAGAAGGCGAGCTTCTTGCGTTTTCCCCCCGCTCAACTTAAACCCCGTGCTGTGCGCACCGGCAGGGGAAGAATGGTGTCATGGGCAGTGTAGGAACATCGTCAGAGCGGTTTCTTTGAGCTTCCTCCGCAGGCTCCCGATATGTGGAGCAAGGTGTACGGCGTTAAGGCACCTGGTGATTTGCTTTTTCTGGGCGTCTGGCATTGACGCTTGGAACTGGAAGGCCCACGGAGCCTGGCAGCTGCACCAGGCGACCACGGCACTGTGAGGGCTTCAAGCCCCGCGGGCTCCTGCAACCAGAACAAGGGCCTTTGTAGAGCAATGCTGGAGTTGACAAGCAGCAGGATCCCCTAGGAATCACGTGCACGCACTCAAACACACACAATAGCCGATGCCCTGCGGAAGATGGAGAACATGGAGAGCATGCAGAGCATGGAATGTATGTTTAGCGTTTGAAGCTTGGGGGGCGGCTCAATCTTCGTCGAAGGTGTGCAGAAAAAATGCAGCAGCCCGTGTCTGCCTGTCTGTCTGTCTGTCTGTCTGCCTGTCATCTGCGAACAGCGCACTGGTACCACAGGCTGATGAGAACGCAACCCAAGCAACTGCAGCCGGCTGCCATCGCCACAGCATGCAGCGTGCTTTGCGAATGCTTCACTCCCTTGCACGGTCTGGGCTGGCGCTCGTGAGGCATCGGATTAGGTGGTTGCACTATCAGCAGCTTGGCAGAGACTATAGGGCTATAGGGTGAGGTGCACGAGGCTCAGAGGCCGACAGTGTCCTGCCTAGGTTGAAGAGGGCTGATGCAATGAGCCGAGCCCTTTGCTTCAGTCTCTGACCAGTGGTTTACTGAAAGCTGTCATCGTGCTTGACTGGTCTGCCAGGCTTGCATTGGCCCAGTTGCAGGAATTCGTGAGTGAGAGTTTGGATTTGCGTAGTCTTGCCCCGGGCATCAATCCAGTTGTGCTGTTTGAGGCATCTTACTAGAAGCAACTCTGCATATCATGATAACTGCCCTTCTGCGGATGTCGATTTTCGCTCAGCAATGATGGAGGGCAGAATAATCTTGTTTAAAGTGCTCCGCGCGCCTGTTAGAGCAGATTTGGAGTGCGTGCTGTAAATACGTCAAGGGTTGTCAGCGAGGGACCAGAGCTCTTGCTGCAATCAGTAGGATCCAGCCGACTCTGCATCAGAACTAAGAGCCACAGAAGCAGGACTCAATCTTGAAGCGGAAAGTACAGGACAAAAATGGAAAAAAGCAAACCGAGTCTTGACATGTTTTGACCTATGTTGCTAATGGATGGCCGATGTTTGGTGCTTGTCGAGACTTGACAGGGACTGGGTAGTTGGCGTAAACCTCCTGCTTAGGTCCTTGGGTTCCGCACCTTTTTGAGTGTGCCAAAAACTCCGCCGACAGAATGTGCACAGATCCGCAGATCTGAGAGCTGTCTGGCGAAATCGTTTAATCGCTTCACCGAGCCTGTGTGGATCAGACCTGCTTCCTCCAGGCTCCAAATCATGTTGCCGCACAGCAAAATGCAGCTCGCCTTTCAGATGATGCCAGCAGAATTAGCGAAAATTACAGAGTTGGGCGTCTTGCCGGCATTTGGTGTGTGGACGAACGTTTCACCTTTACCGTAGCTCCTGTCCGGATGTTTCCATCTTGAATACATACCGCTTGTCAGCGAAATGATGCGGAAGCAAGGGCTCATGATGGTCAGTGGTCTCAAGGTTTCTGAGATGTTCTGAAATTTTCTGTGGCTCGGGGTCTGAAGGTGGTCTGAGGGACGTCCTCAGGTGGTCTTCAGGTGATCGGCATCGGTGTTCAGGTTTCTTGTATCTCCATGCCTCTCTGCCTTTGGCTCCTCTGGTGTGGTGATGCGCGGTGCGTTGTCCAGTAAAGGTTGACGAGTTGGGACAGAAAGTGTAAACAAACATGCCTCGGCAACACGAAGTTCGGTGCTGGGATAGTCATTGACAGGTCCTTAAGTTGACAAGGTCTAAGATCGGAGATGACTTCAAGCACTCATGGGGAATGCATCTGTCTCCATATTGGACAGGCTGGTTGTCAGATCGGTCAAGACACTTGGACGCTGTTCTGCGAGGAACATTGTGTGAGCGGGGATGGTACACGGGATCTCGCAGCGCTGCAAAGAAGTGTCGTGGATGCAGATGACACGAATTACAACACCTTCTTCTCCGAGACGCATGCCGGCCAGCATGTGCCTCGCGCTGTATTCATTGATACTGATCCAAGCATGCGCAACGAGATACTGACGGAAACCCCTAAGCTTTTTCATCCTGAGAACGTTCTGGGGTATAAACAGGATTGCAAGAGCAATTTCTTTGAGGGCCGCTTTATGGCAAGCCACTTGAAAGTGAAGGAGGATGTTCTTGACCGGGTGCGTTTGCAGGTAGATCTGTGCACGAACCTGCAGGGCTTCTTTGTGTTCCATGCCTTCGGCGGGGGCACTGGGTCTGGTGTCGGCTGTGAGATTCTGCATGATTTGCACGAAGCCTTCGACAAGAAGGTGATCTTCCAGCCAATCGTGTTTCCTTCACGTCGCTTCGCTAGCAGCATGGTTGAGCCCTACAATTCCATCTTCTCAACATTCTATACGAGGGACGTGGTTGATGTGACGATGATGATGGACAACGAAGCGGTCTACAAGATGGTTGAGCTAAAGCAGCAAGTGAAGAATCCGGACTTCCATCACGTGAATCGTCTCATCGCGCAAACGATCTCCGCATGCACTACTTCTCTTCGATTCGAGGCCCAGCTCAGTGCGAAGATGGTGGAGATCGTCACAAATCTTGTTCCATCCAAGCAATTCCGATATCCTGTTTTATCGCTTTCACCGGTTCGTGGCAAAGATCAGGAACGCCACGAGACGTTTTCACCGCAGGAGATTGCCACCGAGCTCTTTGAGACCTCCAGTCTTCTAAGTGATGTATCTCACTTGAAGACCAACCGATACCTGTCTGCGGTTATTCTTCTCAGAGGAGTGGAAACCTTTCGACCGGACAAGGAAGAAGGCTTGGGTAGTTCGCGTGGTGCGGGTGCTGCGGGTGGTCCGGGCTATCCGAGCAAAACAACTCTGCCTATGGAAGCTAACAAATGCATCACTGCAATTCAGACGATGAAAGATGGCACGCACCGATCTCCCGTGAAGTTTGCACCCTGGGTAACGTCAGGCTTCAAAGTTGGCTTGGTCGGGATTCCTCCTGCCAAAGATCCAAATGATAATGTCATGGGTGACATCAGTCGATTGGGAGCCATGCTTGGCAATAGCACAGTTGTTCGGCAGGTCTTTGTCCGCCAATACACCAAGTTCCTGAAGCTGTTCTACCACCGTGCCTATGTATGGCAGTTTATCGACGCAAATGGAGAAATCGATGCGTTCTACGAAGCGCGCGATGGAGTGCGAGACATCATCGGAAATTATGAGGAGCTCTTGCGTCAATGTGCGCAAGCAGAGAATGAGCAGTACGGGGGCAGCAACGCAGCTGTTGAGGGTCAGACGAATCTCCTAGAGACGGATGCGCGAGCTTCCTAGGGGCAGCTACGCGATTGATCAGGTGTGCATGAAATGCTGCCATGTCATTGCTTCAGTCAACAACAGGACTGAGCCCAGTGTACCTTACTAGTTTCACCCAGCCTCCAAGTATGATAGTTATATTCGTTGGTGCAACAAGTGTGCCGTGAGTCATGACTGCCATTCCCTGTTGCTCAGGTGTGGCAGGGAAGAATGTTCAAGTCACTTTCCTGTCTCGCAGCATGGTTCAATGCCGAGAGCACGGTAACCCGATGGATGCCATGGCCACCAAAGACGCCAAAGATCTAGACCGCAAGGAGGACACGTTTGTGAGCAAAGGTGCTGCAACAGTCAGGGTGCACGTGTCACCTGCAGACCATGGACATCTTGTACGAGATTTCTACTCTCCTCAACACTGGCTTGAACAAGGACCTTTTGGACAGTAAAGGGTTTTTGTACTTATTTGACTTACACTTTTTTTCTCACCCTCAGAGGAGTCTCTAGAGGCGCTGGTCGGTCTTTGCGAGCTGGGCGTGAACCCAGAGGCAGGTTAAAAGAACGGCCTAAACGGTTTGCTCTGTGTGACTTGATTGAGTCATTGAGACTGTGACAGGTTTGTTGAGGCTCGATGCCTCAAGCTTCCTCCTTCGTCGTTGAAAGGGTCTTCGTGGGACCGGAGTGCAGTCTGATTATACTTGTGGTAATGCTTGTGTAACGTTTGGTGGCCTAGCTGCGTGCAGCCCACACCGTGGGTGGAGTCCAAACTTCGTGAACAGGCAGCCAAAACCAAAGATAACAGGCTTGGAGTGGGCCCACATCTAGTGTCCCAAGCTATCTGCGACCTCTATTTACGTTTGCTTTTTCTGCAGGCCTTGGCCGCCGCAGTGAAGGACCTCCGTGCGGAGGCGGCGCGGCTTCGTGGTGAGGCTGAGGCTCAGGAGCCCCGAACGGAGCCCTGAAGAGATCTGAAGGTCTAGGCCATGGTGACGCGTGGGGGCCTGAACCCTGACATCATCCACAAGGGATGCGATGAAGGTCGGGAAGGCCTCCTCGTTGTGCAGTTTGCTTGCCAAGAAAATGGATGCCGGCTTCCGTTCTTGGTGCTCCTAAGAGTGAGTATGTCTGTGCGGGAAGCTGCTGAGCACGCAGTGTGCGCATCAAGCTCTATTTATCCAAGCAATTTGCAAAAGTACGCTGACCATGATGGTGCGAGAAACAAGTGTCTTGCTTCGTGAGCCGGGGGCAGGAGTGTGCTTGACACGAAGATGCTCTCAACGCACAGCGATATGGAGATGGGACGGCATCTCCACATACCTGCAAGAAGTGTTAGAGTTAGAGTCTTAGACACCCTGTACAACAAGCGGTGCATGGTACGTCATCGCCCATCGCTGTTGATTGGCACTTCAAGCAACTTGTTCAGAATGAAGCGTCTGGCGTGTCAGCACTTGAAACATTCGGTGTGAAACAGTATGGGCAGTGTTGCAGAGAGAAGAGAGCCTGCTGAAGATCGTGAACACTTTTTGCACATGCAATACCTGTCTAACGTACCTTTGCAACACAACCATCCGAGCATAAGCACTTTCAGATTCATTTTGCATCCTCATTCTTTCTACATCAACTTTTGTTTCCTCTACTGCAGCTTCGCATGTACTTGCTGGAGGAATGTGCCAGCGCACGTGCAAGTGTGTTGGCATGCCATTTTCATAAGACATGGATCAAACAGCGAGCCGAACCCGTCCATACTCTCGGGGCCACAGCTCCCCTAAGCCCGCCTGAGCGGGGAAAAGCTTGGCGGAAGCTGCCTTTTAATGCTGTAAATGCAGTGGAAAATGACGGAAGTAGGGTATGATCACTACCTTGGTCATTGCCTTGGTTCTCTGGTGCCGTTCTTTGCACTTCCAGGGCAAAGGCATCCAGAGATGTGAGGGCTCTTAGATGCTCTTCGCTTGAATAGCTGACGTTTCCTACTAAGCCACCTTGTTGAAGCTGGGAACGCAAGCCGGTTTATCCCTGTCACTGGAGTTTTTATGGGGTGTTTTGCAGTGTTAAGTTGATGGGAAGGACCCCCCCGGGGCTGAATGCGTTTTTTGCTTTCTCCTGGCAATGCAGACTATGTAAGCCGACGAACGATGTGGACGTTTGCCACGCCGTAAACATATTCCATCACTCGCAACCGCTTCCTGGCCTGATACTGGCGGTGTTTTTCGATGTGTGGAGGTTCCTGGGCCCTAGTTTTTGCAGCAGTTGACCCCGGCCTGGAGACCGCTACGTGCACGCGAATTTCATACTTTCCAAGTCGTGTGTCTTGTGCATGCCACCTAGTCAACTTTCGCGGTTTTTGTCATAAAACATTTTCAGCGGCAATGTACGTCCTCAGCCTTCTGCAGAGGAGCATCGTCTTACTTCGGCAGTGTCGGCAATCGAGTGTGTCATACAACAGCGCAAGTGACGCACATGTTTTTCGGGATCTGAATGTCTCGTGGTTACTGGGGTAGCCGCAGTACAGAACTCATCTTTGTGAAACTTCCGCAGTTGCAGAAGCAAAGCTTCCAATTGGATGTCGTCATGGCTAGGGTAAGTTCGACAGCCTGTCCTTTATGGAGTATCGCCTCTGCCCCAAGACTATTTGGTAGGTCTTGGCCTTTCCCCAATGTGCTTGAAGCAAAACCAGATCCTACAGCATCCTCAGCCATCATGCTCTCCCTTTGTTAGAGTTCAGTGAAGCATGCGCCGCCATGCGAAGACGGCAAGGAGGGCTTCTGCTAGCTGTCCAAGGCGCGATATTGGGTCGGGTGTGCCTAGCCGGTAGGTCGCGGCACGAGAGTTTGAATGTGAAGAGGCCTGTGCTTGTGGTCGTTGGTTGGATGGCAGCAGGCACCTTGTCGGCAAGACGCCAGCCTTCTGGTGTTGTTGTTCTGGTGGACCATGAAGCCGCATGTGCACACTTGTATGACCCAAGGCCTTTGTGAACTTGTCACCGCACAAGCTTCGTCGAGGAGATCTGCAGGCCCCTCTTCTGATACAGGTTCGAGCCGACTCAGAGTTTCATCATTCAGCAATGAGGCTTGTTGGGCTGCATCCGATGTGTCTGCGGCTGAGGACAGCCAAAGAAAACGTAAGGGATTCACAGCGCCGAATAGCTTTGTTTCGATCAAGTGCTGCTGTTCGCATTCGGCTGTGCGCCAGGACCTGTTCGACCAACTGGGCACTGAACTGGCAAGCTGCACACCTTTGAAAGAAGAGCATGAACCTTGGAGAGCTCCGGCCATGACTGAGGCCTGAGAAGCACTGCCTTGTAGATGGATTTGTTCCGCTTCCCTTCCCACCTGTTTGCATGCAGCAAAATGCTTAAAATGTGCACAATATGCTCAAGACTAGATCTGGTATCAGGAGCACTCTGTTTCTCCGGCACAAAGGCTGGACTAAGATGGCGACGGAAGCAGATTCGACCGCGTGGTCTGAGGTTGCTCAGAAGCAGGACCAGGAGGACCAGAAGCTCAAGAAGAACGATGTGCTGTTGGATGTCATCGAGGCTGACCTGAATGCCATGGAGGCGCAGATGGAGAAAGCAGAAGTTCGATACCAGCAAGCTCGCCAGCGACTGGTGAGGAAGCTAGAAGAGGGTAAGGACAAGCCCGCCGACGCCAAGCCGCATAGTCCCCACATTCAGCCATCAGAAGATCATCCTATCGATGAGGCAGAGGCCTTGCCGCCCGAGGACCACAAGCATCAGCATCACAAGCACCTCCACAGGGAGCCCAAGAATGCGGGTGCTCTGCCAGACAAGGTGGTCTCCAGACAGCGCTGGGTGGCTGCAAGGAACACAGAGAAGCGAGCCCGTGAGTCTGCCAAGCGTGCCCGCGAGATGCTTCGCCACAGGCAGCGGGACCGAAAGATGGAGTCGGGGTATGTGTCGCAGGACGTGGAGGCCACGACTCCAGAAGAGCCCGCTCCTGCTCCGCGAGCTCCAGCCGCCAGCGCCAGTCCAGAGACCGTCTCGCAGGGTGCACAGAACCTCGCGACACGGCTGAAGTCCGTATATGAGCGTGAGACGTCGGCTGTGGACAAGCGCCAGGCGCTGCTGAAGGTGGTTACTTGCGGGCGGGAGAACTACTACACTTTCAAGCCTGAAGATGTCGTCTCGGACTTGTCAAAGCGCGGCTTTATCGACGAGAAGTTGGCAACCGAGTTTGCCGCCCTCATCAAGGACGAGACCTTAAAGCCAACAGCGCACCAAGTTCCCTTCGAGGAGTGGCTGGACCGTGCAAAGAAGGTCAGCCAGATGGAGCGGCTTGATGAGACTTGGCTGCATTTCGCTGCGTCTCTGATACATTTTTTTGCATGTGCTCTTTTCGCGTGCTTCTTGCCTCTACGTGCAGAGGGGCTCAGCCTAAACCTTACCTGAGGATGCTCCCTTCAAGGCCGACGAGGCAGCTTACTTGGGGCACTTGGACGGTCGGCAGCTGGCCGTGGCCGAGGCGGAGTTGGAGGCCGCTGAGGCTCAGCTGGAGATCGCCATGAAGGCGGCGCAGGCTGCATCGACCCGTTATGAGCAGGCAGTGGCGGCCAGTGGTATTGATCACGCAACGCTCGAAGAAACGGAGCAAGCAGATTTTGATCTCAGCGTGAATGAGGCTGAACGTTTTGATGCTGAGCACAGCCACGACAAGTTCGAGTCCCACGGGAGCAAGAACGCGGGTGCTCTTCCAGACAAAGTTGTTTCCAGAGATCGTTGGTTGGCAGCTCGGAGCACCGAGGAGCGTGCACGTGAAGCGCATAAGAAGGCCCGTGATGTCGGCCGCATCAGTGCCCGTGATGCGAAGCTTGAAGCAGCCGAAGTATCAGTTCCGGCGTAATGAATCGGCCTCTCCCACACATGTTGGGGAAGGTGAGGTTCCAATTTCAAGAGGTGCGGCAGATCACAGGTCTTCGATCTGGCAGTGCCTACATCTTGGGATCCGGCCTGGCATCCCATTTCTCTGAACAGTGTACAGATAGCCGCCTGGACCAGGGCGTTTAAAGGCTTAGTGCAGGTGGTTGACATATTGGTTCGTGGCCTCTCACATGAATCTGTGGACAAGAGACCGGCTATGGAGAACACAGCCCTGGACAAATGGCGAAAAGCTTTTGTTAATCTCCAGGAGTGTCTCCGAGCAATTCGCGGCTTTTCATGACTTCTGGCAGAGTGCTGAGGTTGGAAGTGGTCCTGAGGGCAGGCCGAGACTTCCTGAAAGGCCTCGCAGCGGGCAAGCCTTCGCATTCGCAAGCTCTCATGCACACTGCATCGACTTGATTTTGATGTTTTGATTTGACAATCTGAGTTGTCTGCCGTAGCATCCACCAGAGAGCACCTCTTCCAGGTGACATGGATCAAGGCCAAGGCCAAGGCGTGCAGGGCAAAGGGTTTCTTGCACCCTTTTGGACCTGTTTGACGCGAGTTCGTTCTGGCTTTTTCCGCAGGCCTCAGCAAGTTCAAGTATCTGCTGGAGTGGTTACAGGCGCAGCGAGCACGCAGGCTTGGTGGGGAGCGAAGAATGTTCTGTTCAAGATGTTAAGATGTTGAAGAGGAGTGCGCCCCCCCCCCAAAAACTGCAGATGCAGGTCCGACCCTTCCGCTCCGTTTCCCCAGTCCCTCGGGCCGCTCTCGGTCGCAGCTCTGCGCAAGGGTGACAAAGAGGTGGGCCTGTAGAGCTGCCTCGCGCCCATGAGCTAGCTGTTTCCTTCATGAAATTACTTGGACAGGTTGTCCTCCTGGGCACGCCGCACAGCGTGCCGGGAGTTGTGGGGTGGCTCAGCGTTTGCTGCATGTGCACAACGTGAAGGAAGACTCGCTCGTCTGGTTGCTTTTCGGTTGCTTTTCTCGAAAGTACTTCCCCTGCTGAAGGCTGCAGCAGACAACCCAGTTCCGCGGGCGGTCGCGCGAGTCGTATCCGCACTGAAACCAGACCTGGTGGCGGTGGAGCTGGATGAGGCCCCTACGCACTACGCATCAGCGCACATCTGCACATCTACTTACTGTGTCATACTGTGTCTAGCAGTATTCGTCTGCTGTTGGGGTGCACTGGGGTTCTTGCTGGTTGTGTGACTTGCTGGATGACGACGTCCTCAACTTTGCCAGCAGCGTGGCGGCAGAGAGCTGGAGAACCTGCCTGTGAAATGGCGAGGCCGGAATCCGGAAAGCTGAAACACATATGTTTTTGAAACCCTGTCAGCCAGCAGCCAGGCCGCTCCACTGTTCTGCTACCATCACAGTCCCAACCCGGCTTGTTTGAGGCTCCACCTTAAGTTCAGGTGATTCCTCGTACGTAGTCGACAGCAGTCGGTTGGGTGCTGGAGAGGTCAGCTCCAGTGTGAGGCCTTTGGCCTCTTTGGCGCTGGACCACAGTCGGCAGCTCAAACCCAACACGGTGCTGGCACATGGACACCAGAGCTGGCCAAAAGTACAAGCACAAGTTCTTATGATCAGCATGCTGCCATCAACATCGTGGCACTGCAGGGCCTCGAAGTCTTGAGCAGCCTTTTTTTGTTGCAAGGCTGAAATTGGATGATGTGCTTATCGAGCGGATCAGAGTCCCTCAGCTTTAACCTGGTCTCGACACAACTCGGAATGCGCTCTGCAAGTGAGTTCGCCGAGTATATGCTACCGCTGTGCATCAAGGCGAAAGTGGGCAAGTCGCGAATGTCCGTCCTAAGCCCAGCAGCTCTGCATTGGGCAACTCACTCAATGATACAATCATGGGCATCCATCAGGCCAAAGATTATCTCAGGGGCATGAAGACGGTTTTTGCAAAGAGCAGTGAGAAGTGCCTGGTGACGCGGCTGCAAGACAGCCGGCACGTCAGCTCTTGTCAGATGCCTTGACCGTAAGCTGCAAATGCATACTCAACGAAACGATCCGTGAAGTTAATCATAAGTTAATCACTTCTCATCTTTTCCTCAGAGCCGGCCATCTGAGGCCATGAACGCCGCGACCCAATTCTCTCCGGCGTCCTTCCCTCACGACAGCATGCTGACATTGAGGTCTTTGCGCTGGACGAGCTTCGGGCAGAGGCACCCGAAGATTGTCACGTTTGTACGTTTGTCGAGTCGTGTTAAATGCTGACACTTCGGGGGGGATGTGGGGCGGGGGGAGGGCATGACGCAGGCCTATGGCGACTGGGGCTAGCTCCCTGGTTGCTGAGTGCTGGGATTTTTGGGGAGTGTTTCTTGCAAGCGTTGATGCAGTGCATTTTTTAGGCAGAGATGCCGGGGCGGCAGTGCAAGCAGCTTTCAAGGCGTCGGGCTTTGCAACCCTGTGGCACCCCTGTGGGCACCCCTGTGGCACCCCTGTGGCACCCCCCTCCTCGCCATTCAAGGAGGTCAGCGGAACCTGAAAGATAACCATGCATCGATTCGTGCACAAAGACAAAGGTTCGTAAAGCATGGCTACAGTGTATCCCACTGACGTAGGCTGATGGTGTGGGTTGCAAGGTTTTGCTCATGCCACTCAGCCCAAACCACTGGTAGAGACAGAGGAAATTGACTTTAGGCTTTTTCAACTCATAGTGCAAAAGAATGCCATTGCCAACAACTTGCACGCTTCTTGCACCCTGCTCGCTGTGCACCTCGGAAATCGACAGATCATTGAAGTTCACGCTCAAACTTCCACCTTTGCGTGAGTGACTGAGAGGTGCATATGACATAGAGGCGCGATTGCCGGTTGTAATCTCGAATTCTCGGAGAGGCCGCCGCCCCCGTGCTACTCTGTGACCTTCCGCAGGAATGGACGTCCGCACCTCTGCACACCTTTCGTGCGCCTCTTCCTTTTTTGGAACGTGGCTTATCAAGCCAGCTTGTGTTTTGGGGCCACTTTTCCCAATATTTTCTTGGAATTCTTGGAGTATCTTTCGTGTGATTCTCGGAGCTTGCAATTGTAAAAGGTTCAGCAAGATCATTCCCATCTACAACGACGCATGGGTCACAGCCTAAGCTTGGCCGGGTGCACGTGCACGCAGCAAAGTGTGCTATAGACCTTGAGCAACTTCGTGTCAACTTCGTGTGCGCATAGACCTGGTATGTGCTTTGATGAAGCGACGCTAGCCGTTTCGTTGCTGTTCAGGTGGAAGTTAGGCTGTCTTCAGATGCGCCAAACACGGCCTTGGATTTCAACATACGCCAAGATTACACGCAACCATGTGCCTTTGTGGGCAGTTTCAGTTGTAGTGACTGCCATCTGGGTCGTGGTATCTCCCATCCGGCTGTGTCATCCTGTAAAGTCCTGGGGGGAGTGGCCCTCTTAAGGGGGCGGGGGAAAGGTAGGGAGATGTGCATGTCGGAGTTCGAAGTCTTGAAGTGGTCTATCCGTCGCAGCATCGCTGCAAGAAGTCACGTGAGGGCCATGAATGTCCGGTCTAAGTTGTTCTGGCTCCGAGTCTCCTCAAACTCGTTGAGGTTCGCAGCAGGCAGAAGCGGCTGGAGTTCTTGAGCGACCTTCCCACGGCCACGCGCTTCCAAGAGGCGAGCGCAAGCTGTGCCGGACATGCTTCATAATGCTTCATAATGCTTCATAATGCTTCACAAGATTTCATATAGGGCTGTCTTCACATGGCTCGATGTCCCACGCAGGCTGAGGAGGCCATCATCCGCGAGGCGGTGCTGGCCGGCCACGGAGGAAGCGAACAAGGCTGAACGTAACGAAGAACGCCCGCTGGCAGTTGCTTCAGGAGATCTTTCCTCTCTGGACTATGGTCTCGGTCTCTGTCGCCGATCTCTGAGCACTGGTGCGGTGGCTTCGTGCCGCATCTACTGTTGTCGCCCTGGGATAGGCAAGCTTTCAACAACAGGCCTCTTGAGGACACAAGCTGCCATTTTGCAATTAGCCACCAAGAGGCTTCCTAGAAGCAGCCATCCTGGGGCTGCATGATATTATACATGGTTCTATATGATTCTATATGATTCCATTTGGCCCTATGTGACTCTAGACGGTTTTCACGAATATACATGTGAGATATGTGGTTTCATCTGATCGTGTATTTGCGCCATATTCTCCTTGAGCTTCGGCATATGTCCCGGCACTTACTCTATGTGGAGTCATGGGCCCAGGTCCTGCGACTGGGCTGGCGGAGGCTGACACGCGGCGTCATTTCCTTAGGTCAACTTAGGCCAAGTTAGGTTCTCACAGTTGAGCGGAATGCTGTGGCTCTGACGATGGATTGCAACCGGAGGTCTCTTCTTAGAAGAGCGTGACTCTGCCATGGCACGAGCCGTTTGCGAGGCAACGTTCAGTGTTCGGACGCAATACATTGCTGGCATGCCATTCAGAGCCGTGAGCTTTTCCGTGATGTTGCGCCAGGCCTTAGAGGGCAGATCGCAGCGTGTCCTGGGCGAGTCCAGAGAAGAGACCTTAAAGGAGGGCTCCAGTGCGGTGCTTCAGGCTCTTCGCGCTGTAGAAACACCTTTTGAAAAGCACAGAGAGAGAAAGAGGGTCAACTTCAGAGCAACTCAGGAGGCTGACAATCCCTGTAAAAGGTTGGCTGCTGCCACGTAGAAGGAATCGTTGGTGAGATGCAAGCGCACGGCTACGAGGCACCGTGGAATCTGCCATGTCGCCGATTGACGACGGATGGTTGACTTTGCTGATACATTGAGAATGCTTGTGTCAGGTCGTTGGTGCCCCGTCCCAGGGGTGGCCGAGAAGAAAGGCCACAGCGCAATGTCCAGTTGGGGTGAGAAGCGAAGACACGTAAGCACAGACGTAAGCATGGAGATCATTGTGTTTCTTCAATGGGGCCGGCCTTGGAAGTGTTGGAGTTTGTCGCAATGTCCAACTCTGCCTCACACGCTTTAAATTCTCGGGGTGTCCGCGATCTAGTTGACACGCTTCGTTTTGTTGGAGATATGTCTGTGTGGCTATTGCGCGGCGGCACTGGCTGGGCGATGTCCCCGCTATCTGCAGGGCCTCTGCTTGCTGGGTAAAAATTTTGGAAACGGGGGAGTAGGAGAACTTGCGGTCAAGGATGTGGTTTGGCAAGTTGGATCAGCATGGCGGGCCGTTATTTGACACGTTGGTAACGCTCTGCGCTGCCATATTGTAAACGCGGTCGCTTCCTGCCACGTGGAATGGCCTTGAACTTTGAAGAGAGCTGCCGGCGTGGTCTGTAGCAGAAGGTCGAGGGCGCACTTGATCTGAGAAACCAGGCAAATATGTTGTTCAGTGGTGTGTAATTAAAGGTTGAGTTGTGTACTCGTTTGGTGCGACTTACCTCTAGCGAGCTCGCCAGTTGTGAGAATTTCAAGCCTAGCCCCTGCACTTCTGGGTATGAAAGCCAACTCCGTTGTGATGCTCACTTGGTCGGTTGCCGCTTTGTCTACATGGAAGCACATCAGGTGGCGACTTCAAAGAGAAAGTCCAACTCAAAAAAGCGGGGAGCCTCGGTGAGGGAAACTGATCAGTGCGGCTTTTTGTCACAGCGGGGGAGTTGGGTTCATTCTCCAGTGACCGGGCCTTTGGGGGAGTGACCGTCAAGTCAGGAAAAAAAGCTCCTGAGTCACCTCCCTTGAATCGGAAACAACAAAACCACGAGCCAGCAACGATTCGGACCCCAGTCGAAAACAGGAAAGACCTCCTTAGAGGAAACCCTTGAAGTCCTGAAAGCTCATGTTCTCGGATGTGCTAGGGTTTAGGAATTCAGGGTTAAGAGTTGTGGGGTTTAGGGTTTAGGGTTTTAGGTTTCTCTGGTTCCAGGGGTTGCAGGGGTTGCAGGGTTTACGGTTTAGGGCTTAGGCCCCGCAGAGAAAATTCTTCTTGAAGCCCGAAAAGCGCATGTTTCGGGTGTGCTGATTTCCAGTTCGGGGTTTTGGGGTGTAGGGTTTGGGTTTGTTTGGGGTTCAGGGCTTCAAGGTTTTAGGGGTTAGGGCTGCCAGCTGGACTTTAAAGGTTCCAGGGTTTTTGGTTGTGGACGGTCAAGCTCGATTCGTGACTTCTCGCTGTTGTCTGACTCGAATTTTTTTCTGACTCGTCCCGCTTAGTGCTCTGCATTGGTTGTTTTGATTTTGCGACTTGGTCCACCCTGTTTCTGCCTCATTTTTCCGACTCGCAGGTCACCCTTGTAGCAAGAGTTCATCTCGACATTTCTCTGACAATCGATGGACTCACAAACCCCAAGCTATTGTCACCGGCTCAAAATCGCAGCATCAATCATGTTAATCATGTTTCGTGCTGTGAATTCTGTTTGCGGGCGGTCCAAGGTCCAAGACACTGGGAGCTCGAGGATTCGCATAGGGTTCGCCGAGACGTGCTGGGCACCCGCAGCGGAAACCCGAAAAGGTTTGCCCTCTCTGTGTTTGTCGGGCAAAAAGAGGTAGCTCATAAGTGCACTTTGCTTGAGAGAAGGAAGCGGCTGCTTTACCATGTTTTGCAGACATGTAGAATCTAGCCCGGCTCAGACTGAAAAGCTGCTGCACCCACTTTATCACCAGCTGCATGAGTTAGGATCGCTCGAAATCACTGAAGCTCCAAGTTGCAAGCTCTTCATATTTGGAAAACCTACACAGCTTCCCCGTGTGCCGTTCATGGCAGAAGCGATCTGCCATGAGTGGCAGCAGCGAGTGCTAGCCCCAGATTGGGATCGTAAGAGCAAGAAGGTCTCTGCAGGACAGAACTCGGAGCTGTACCACTCTGATCCACTCTGCAGACAGCGAACCGAGCTTCTGAGGCTGCCACCGGAAGAGTCAACACTTCTGCGTGCATCACGAGGGCTGCGGACCTAGTCTCTACACAGTTCCTTGTTGACGATTTTCAAGCATCTGTCGCACGACAGGCATCATCGAACATTCAGCTTTGCTTCATGCAAAGGCTTGGCGTTGCCTTCTGGGCGGTGGCCATCGGCAATGGTCTTTACATGGTGCTCTGGCCAGCAATATGCTTGATTCGCATTGCGCAAGTGCCACCGCCTCGGCCGGAAATGACGCCTCGTTTTGGTGGCTGAGCCGGGGAGCTAAATACCTGGAGGGGTGTCCAAGGCCAGCAGAGCAATTGCAATCCGCCAAAAGCCAAAAAAAAAACCAGGCCTGAGGAAGCGCATGTCAACGAGGCAAACGCCTGCGGCGGCTGCCCCTCTCCCCGTCTCTTGATCACCGTCCAGTCTTTTTCCAGGGCCAGGGCGAGAAGATGTGTTGCAGTGTTGCAATCGTGCTGCGGTCGCGATAAACCATCATAGATCGATAGTCCATCATAGATCCATGTGTGATCCTGCTTTCTCAGATTGTCACCTTGCCATCGCAGAGTTTCTGGTCAGAAGCTGAGAGGAAGGGGAGGGAGGAGGGGGGACGGGGGAGGGGGGAGGGGGGGCTGCTCTGAGTGTGCTTCCGCTTTCTGTGGGTTCCATTATGTTTGAGCCAGGCCCGCTCTTCACAACCTTTGCACAGGCCTCCTTCTCGTGCACCTCTCAGAAGACCTCCACTCGTGCCGACTCGTGCCATGTAGACATGCTATGGCACGGTTACCATGCCACACTTGAAGTACATTGCCTTCAGCAGAGAGGTTCTGGTGGCATCCGCCTCAGGCGTGTGGGAGGTTGCATGCTCAGTGAGACAAGGAAAGGAAGCACGGCATCGGCACGGTACTTCAGGAAGGAGCTGTGCTGAGCAGATCGCTGAACAGGTCAAGGCCATGCGATCCCGGTTAGATGAGACGGAGGGTTGGTGCATGAAGGCAGGGTCACACAACTCACACAATTGTACCAAACAGCACGAAGGATCAGAACCACGGTGTATCGCCAATTGCAGGTTGGCCGTGAGTTCTTCTTGGCTGGCATGTACTTCGTTCTGACCCAAGTCTGCTCTTTATCTTGCATGCCATGTAAGCTGCTATCAGTGTCATGGGCCATGCCTTGACAGGTTGTTGCTGGCTTTCTCAGTTCGCCATCGGCTGCATCCAAGCCTCAGGCTTCCGTTTTGTTGGTCCTTGACTTGAAAGAGGCAACTTGGATGTGCCATGCATTGCCAACACACGTTTCCCTGCTCTGCTCCAGACTTGTCGGGCCATTCAATATCGGTTTCGGTCTGCGCCATGGTTTCAACAAAGCGCGGGTCTTTTGGCGCCACGGTGGCGGTGGGCCTGGCCCTGGTGGCTGCCTGGAGTTGCCTTTGGAGACATGACGAGGACTTCGTGAGCGGCGTGCCTGCTCAGCCTCGCGAGTCTGTAGTGGCCCGTTGCGCCGTGGACAAGGCGATGAAGGATCGCATCGCGTCTGTGACGAAGACCGCCAAGCTCACGGATGCAATGCGTGTGGTCGCAGCAGCCAAGGTCCGCAACGCCCAGGCCGGTGTAGAGAAGCAGCGGCCTTTCACCGATGAGCTCCTGAGCATGATCAAGGGCCTGGTGAAGCGGCTCAAGGGCAGTGGCTTTGAGGCAGAGCTGCCTATGTTGCGAGTGCCTGAGAAGATCAAGAGCGTCGGCATCCTCATGATCACGGCCAATCGCGGTCTGTGCGGTGCCTACAACACTTTCATCATCAAGAAGACCAAGGCCCGAATTGAGGACCTGAACAAGCAAGGCATTGTCCCCAAGCTCTTCATAGTTGGCAAAAAAGGCCTGAATTCCCTGTCGACTCGTTTGGAGAAGGGTGTGGAGTTCAACTACACCAACGAGTGGTTCAGCATGCCTGACACCATCCGCGCAAAGGACTCCGCCGAAATTGCTGATGTGTTGCAGGCCTACTTCCTGGCAGGAGAGGTTGACAAGATTGAGATTTCATATGGCCGGTTCATCAACCTGCTCAGAAACGAGCCTTCGATCCGAACTCTCCTGCCCCTTTCGCCCACCGGTATTGAGGATCCAGAGGATGAGACCTTCAAGCTGACAACCGAAGATGGCAAGCTGAAGGTGGAGAAGGAGAAAGTTAAGGCTCCCAAGGCCAAGGAGATTGAGGCAGACGTTATCTTCGATCAGCCCCCGGAAGTCATCCTCAATTCCATGCTCCCACTGTACTTGAACTCCCAGATCCTCTCCTTGATGTTCGATGCCCAGGCCTCTGAGCTGTCTTCACGAATGTCTGCCATGAAGGTCGCTACTGACAACGCCAACGACCTGAACAAGAAGCTCGTTCTCATCTACAACAAGAAGCGCCAGGCCGCCATCACTGCGGAGCTGTGTGAGGTGACGGCGGCAGCAGTGGCGCTTGAGAGCACGGAGAACAAGGCCGGCCCGAACCTCGGCGTCATTGACAATGAGGAGACCATTAGCGAGGACTTCATGAAGGAGTTGGAAGACGGCTCCATCTCGGACAAGCCCAAGAAGCCCGAGGAGATCTTGTTGACGGACCGCTGGGAGTTCATGAAGTCTCTGCCCAAGGAAGAGCGCTTCTGAGATGGCAAGGTATCGAAATGTAGTAAGTGTCACAAGTTTTTGGCTCATTTCTCCCATGGCCTTGACATCAGCGCTTGGGCAAGTGTCGAACCAAAAGCAACATTCCCTCAAGTGTGGTTCTCCGATGCTGGTCACCAGCCGGCCTAGTGTGATGTCACTTTTTCGCGCAACATGACAGGTCCCTAGATTTGTTGACTAGAAGTTGCTGCCTGGTGTCAGGCTGTTGGCTTTGCAGCCACTAGGCAGGCGTAGTTCCTGAGTTGATTCTTTGCGGCCACTGCGCCATGGTTTCAACAAAGCGCGGGTCTTTTGGCGCCACGGTGGCGGTGGGCCTGGCCCTGGTGGCTGCCTGGAGTTGCCTTTGGAGACATGACGAGGACTTCGTGAGCGGCGTGCCTGCTCAGCCTCGCGAGTCTGTAGTGGCCCGTTGCGCCGTGGACAAGGCGATGAAGGATCGCATCGCGTCTGTGACGAAGACCGCCAAGCTCACGGATGCAATGCGTGTGGTCGCAGCAGCCAAGGTCCGCAACGCCCAGGCCGGTGTAGAGAAGCAGCGGCCTTTCACCGATGAGCTCCTGAGCATGATCAAGGGCCTGGTGAAGCGGCTCAAGGGCAGTGGCTTTGAGGCAGAGCTGCCTATGTTGCGAGTGCCTGAGAAGATCAAGAGCGTCGGCATCCTCATGATCACGGCCAATCGCGGTCTGTGCGGTGCCTACAACACTTTCATCATCAAGAAGACCAAGGCCCGAATTGAGGACCTGAACAAGCAAGGCATTGTCCCCAAGCTCTTCATAGTTGGCAAAAAAGGCCTGAATTCCCTGTCGACTCGTTTGGAGAAGGGTGTGGAGTTCAACTACACCAACGAGTGGTTCAGCATGCCTGACACCATCCGCGCAAAGGACTCCGCCGAAATTGCTGATGTGTTGCAGGCCTACTTCCTGGCAGGAGAGGTTGACAAGATTGAGATTTCATATGGCCGGTTCATCAACCTGCTCAGAAACGAGCCTTCGATCCGAACTCTCCTGCCCCTTTCGCCCACCGGTATTGAGGATCCAGAGGATGAGACCTTCAAGCTGACAACCGAAGATGGCAAGCTGAAGGTGGAGAAGGAGAAAGTTAAGGCTCCCAAGGCCAAGGAGATTGAGGCAGACGTTATCTTCGATCAGCCCCCGGAAGTCATCCTCAATTCCATGCTCCCACTGTACTTGAACTCCCAGATCCTCTCCTTGATGTTCGATGCCCAGGCCTCTGAGCTGTCTTCACGAATGTCTGCCATGAAGGTCGCTACTGACAACGCCAACGACCTGAACAAGAAGCTCGTTCTCATCTACAACAAGAAGCGCCAGGCCGCCATCACTGCGGAGCTGTGTGAGGTGACGGCGGCAGCAGTGGCGCTTGAGAGCACGGAGAACAAGGCCGGCCCGAACCTCGGCGTCATTGACAATGAGGAGACCATTAGCGAGGACTTCATGAAGGAGTTGGAAGACGGCTCCATCTCGGACAAGCCCAAGAAGCCCGAGGAGATCTTGTTGACGGACCGCTGGGAGTTCATGAAGTCTCTGCCCAAGGAAGAGCGCTTCTGAGGTGAATATGTGAATTGTAAAGATCTGCGGCAAGTTTTTGACTGATGCTTTCTCCCCCCGAAACTGGTTCTAGACTGGCTGTGCAGCCATAGCAAAGTGTCGCAGATCACTTGCCAAGCTTCTCCGGAGAAAAAGCCAGGGCTCCTTGCTCGCTGATCTCGCTGATCTCGCTGCTAGTTTGTAGAGGACGTAGCAGGATGGCTGCGGGCGCAGCGAAAGGTTTCAGAGACTTCTGGGGCTTCTCTTCGGACCTCTCCTTGGCCAGGAATCGGCAGAAGTCTTGGGCGAGCGGCTCGGAGAAATCAGCAGCCGTATTCATGAAATTCTCTTGTCTGATTAAAATTCCGAGGCAAAATCCTGTGCATTTTCGGCTGGTTGCTGGCGCTGCTTCGGGTGAGTGGCTCAAAGGGTTGTGAGTTCATAATCTGTCTGGGACAAGGTACAACCTCTTTGTTACACTTGACATTGAATCAGAGTGTAGCACTGTGGAAGCACTCCTTACTTCGAGCTGACAATGCTAGTAGAGGGTTGCTGTGGGAACCTTGAATCTTGAGTCTTCAATGATTGCGTTGGCCGCTGGTGCCGCTGTTGTTTTGGGACACCCGGCGGTCGTTCTGGGGGAAAGCAAGCCTTGGCCTGGCTGTGCCTCTGACTTTGACGACGATGTCGTCGAGATTCCCGCCTGGGTTCAGGACATTCAACAGACATGCGTTTGCTCATTCGAGTGCAGTGCTTGCTTGCTGTGAAAGGTACTGTTGACGGTGATTCCATGCGCCTGGGTCCAAGAAACACTCTGACACGTGCTCAGCGGATGTCATAGGTTGTTTAGTCGCTGCTCTTGTTGGATGCAACCCGCCTCGGTAGACAATGCCGAGCTACTGGCTTCAAGCAACCGTCAACAAGCAACAAAGACAATTAGCAGAAGCCAACGCAAAGTTGGATGTTTGCAGATGGCCCGACGTGCGGAGAATGAGCCTGCAGAGCCATTGAGGATCCTCGCGCAATGCGCGTTTTTCACACAAAGCAAGTGGAATGCACAGTCACTGGCGCTTTGTATGACCCTGTGCGCAGGACCGAGCGTTCCACTGAACCTCGGCCCGAAGAAGAGCAGGACGAAGTTTCGAAGCTTTGAGCTTCGATGCCATGACGAGGGCTGCAGCTGTCCCAGAGTCGCAGTTGGTGAGGATGAGCAGCCTCGCGGGCCACAGCCAAAAGTGGCACAAGCGTCCACACCATCCGGGCTTTGCCCTGACGTGCCAAGGCAGGCTGCAAGGAGAGAATAGCCTAGTTCTTCTCTCTGACAGTGCAGAAAGCCTCCAGACATCGCAGCGCAGCCTTGCAGGTACGACCCGGAGTCAGGGCGGTGAACTTGAGCGGCCAGAGGAAGCCGCCATAATTGCGGCAGGGGCAGCGCGTCTAAAGCGGATTAGAATGATTAGTCAGTCGATCTCACACAAGCTCAGCTTCTTGCGAGTTCACAGCGCAAGCGGCGCCGCCTTGTGGATGCACAAAAGGACGTTTCGATTGACCAGAACTCGTAGAATGCTGCGCAGGAAGGCAGTTTATCCGGGTGCAGAGCTGCTTTGGCCTCTTAAGACGAGAAGCGGGGCGATGCCGATAAGCAGGCATACAGTCATAGAGCTCAGTGAGGACAAGGCCCCAAGATGAATAGTTCGCGCATCATACCGCATCATAGAAGTTCAACAAGGGCATTTTTGCAAGTGGTAGCACCCGTGCAGACTGGGCTGCACACGCACCTAAACAGCACGCATCACAAAGAGACCCCTGCGGCAACCCTCCGGCTGAGCCATGGCGGTCGTGGAGACAATGGGCCTTAACGATATTTACCCGAGAGGAGTGATGCGACGTCCTGAGCCAGGAGAAGATTTTGAGGATTTGCTTTTGCCCAGCCGAGTCGAGAGCCCGCCTGCAAGACGAGTACCTGGCAATGGAAGCCCGGACAACTCCCTAGGGAGCTACGAGGGTAGCGCTGGTGACTTCGGCTTACGGAGAATCGCGTCGGAGACGCTCAACGGTTACAGCCCAGCCAGATCAGCCTCGACCAGCTCGCCGAAGAGGCCAATGATGCAAGTTTCTCGAAATCCCTTAGTATTAATGGAGTCTCCGCCAGGATGGACCAGGGAGCATTCACAAAGCTGTACAGCTTGGCCCCGAGAGATCCCGACAGCTGCAAGCCGCACTTGTCTTTCAGTCTTCGCGAGTCCTTTTTTTCCTTCTCTCTCTCTCTCTCTCGCTTCCTTCTGCCAGTTTCTGTCCGCAAACACCTCTGCATGCACAGAGCTACGTGTGCAGCCTCTTTGCAGGCATGCACCGAGACCGCCTCGGCTGCTTCCATGCCGAGAAGCCAGAGGTGCTTACTCTGCGCTTACAGTGTGCATCGGAGTGGATCGTGCGAGGACGTGCCTTTCAAGTCTTGGGGTTCTTTGCTTGCAGTGGAATTTGTCAACGTTGCGGTGAAGGTGCCTGACTCTCCGTCTTCTCAGGCAGATATGTGTGAGGTTGCAGTTGCACCCGTGCGTCTTCTGCACGGCCTGGTTCTCTGCATGTGCATGTGGAGTTTGCAAGGCCCTGGCAGCTATGATCGAGCGTCTCCACGACGAGGTCCCTTGTGCAACGCTGCGTGCCTGTGTCCTTTCTGAACACGATGTCAGGAGGTGAGGAAGCGGGAGGCTGGGGTTTAGTGTGCTAATATGTGCTAATTGTTGTATATTGCTGTTAACTCAGAACCTGCTTCTATGCAGCCATTGAGACACTTGTCGCTGCCTTGTGCCCAACACATATCCAGGAGCGCAAAGCTGCGCGAACCTTTGAGAGAGAACAGGACGGGCAGAGGGCACATCTCGAAAGTCAGTCGGAACATCAACGTAGAAGGCCCCGATAAAACTTCACAGTGTTTTATCGCCATGGAGGCACTTTGCAGCAGTGAAGCTGCTGTCAGTGACATCCAACCCCCAGGAACTCTGTCGACAAACGCCGTTTGTCCAGTTCTCGGTTTCCGACATGCGGGTTTGCGGGACATCATTGCTGCAACAAATACAAAGCAACTTCTAGCTATGTGACAGAAGAATTGACGGAAGGGAACTTGTCGGCGCTTGACAGGTCCCCACCCTGTCCAGAGCCAGTCGATGTGGTCAGCTTAGTAATGCTCTTCAATACGGCGAAGCGATGAATGAACTTAATGAAGTTCCCAAAGCATGCCAAAGCAGACGCCTCGAGGCACCTCTGAACCAGGAGAGCGGCATCTGGTTCTCTACGACCAACGCCTAGAACTGGCATGCCCGGCGATGTTGCTACTTGCACGAACAACTAGATCTCCAGTTCGTGCCCAGTGCTTGCATGCTGAGATGCTATTTGTGCATGAGATGGAGTAGTTGGGGAATTTTGGAGCATGGTTAGCTCTAAGAATGGAAAAAAAGAGAACACAGGAGCGCTGTCTGTGGTATGCTTCCTTGTGGTTTTTAGTCAAGGGCGTCCATAATTTTACCGCTACGCGACCCGCCTCGGCCTGGCCCAACCCGGAGAGGAGGGACGTGGGGGGGGGGCGAGGCCTGCACCGTCTGCCGGCTCTTGCCTACAAAGCATACCCAAAACATACCCATGTCAAACCAAGAAAAGGCCAGATCAGATTAAACCCGAGAGGGTGGGCTGCCTGCCTGCCAGACAAAGGGTGCGGGGGGGGCGGGGTCCCGGCAAACCGTCCGCTTTCGGATGCTGGTCGCCTACGGGGGCCGCGGGTTGACGTGTGTCTTTGGGCTTGGGGGGAGGATTTGGAGGGGGGTGCCTGTCCTCACAACCTAGACACCTTCGGCCCGAGGCCTCGGCGGATTTAAGTGAGAGACGCTACGACCAACGGTTGGAGACGTCCACTTCTGCTGAACATTGCTGCTGATTTGGGATGGGCAGGCCCAGCGGCGACGGCAGCGGCAAGAGCAGAAGCTTCGCGAAGAGTCACTGGGACCCAGAAGGGAGCTCTGAGGGCTCTGAGTCAACTGAGGGGGACGTCAGGGCGAATGCTGTGGAGAAAGTGAAAGAGTTGAGGGGTGGAGCACGCTGAGTGCACTGTCTCGGCGTGCCGTTTTGGTGTTTGTTTTGCTTGTTGAGGCGAGACTATCGCGAGGCCCATAGCGTCCATCGGGCCAGATCCCCCCAGGCAAAAACAGCGTGCGAGTTGTGGATGTTGTGGTCTCGAAGCTGCGCACGCACTGCTGCGCCTGCAGAGGCGAATCCGATGGTCTACCAACGTGCGCTTCTCAGGTATGCCGAAGCTTCCAGCCGCTACAGGCACAGTAGACTGCAGACGAAGAAGCATCCGTTTTAAAGCCCGTGGCACACGAGGACCGACAGCAGGTTTTGCAGCAGTTGAATCTGTGGATCAATTTTCGTTAGGCAGCACCTTCCTCAGCAGCAAACCATCCTTGTCTTTCGAAACATAGGTTCCAGCTCTAGTGGTTCAGGGGGACCCTCAGTGCTTCTGCCAAGGCTTACATGAGGATGCGGAGCTGAAGAGGAGGCCTGCTTGCTTAGACCTGCCCGTCCAGAGAGAGCATGTTGCGATCATGTTGCGAGAATGTCGTGAGCATGTCGTGAGCGTGTCATTGGTTAGTCTTGTCATCATGACCAGGCAGCGACGAGGTGATGTGGACGGCAAGGCTCGCACGAGCCCATTGGGGATAGTCGGGGTGCCTTTCGAGGCAACTGGGAATGGCATGCGGCCTTGGGATTTGGGAGGACGGACAGTTTCGAGCTCCCAAAGTATGCTGGAAGGGTTTTCGCATTTTCGGAGGGGCGAGGGGTCTCCTAGAGGTTTCCATTGTCCGTTGAGGGTTGTCGCTTTTAGAAGTGCCCTTTCTACCAGGTTTCTCCCGCGCGGCGTCGGTTCCCCAGACCGGAGCGCTTTAGTTGTTTGAGGACCGTTCTAGTTACTAGTTCTTCGAGCCTCTAGCGCAGTCTCCCAGGCGTTGCCAGCGAGCGGCAGCTGAAACTGTACGAACAAGCCGTGGAAGCAGCACGAAGCTCAGCGGTCACTCCAATGTTACACGTTGTCGGATTCTGGATAGCCTGGATATCTCATTGACACCTCGCGATAGGCCCAGAAGCGGCGAGCTCTACAGCAAGAAAAGCTCCAGCAGGAGTTGCAGCCCCGGGTCGGCCTGTGTCAACTCTTCTGTGTGTATTTGTTGCGAGTTTCTCCGCCAAAATCTGGAATTGCAATACGGCAGTCCCAACAAGTCCCAAGGCAGCTGTACCTGGAGGCCAACAGTGTGCATCGTGCCAGATCTCCTCAGGCACCAAGCCAAAAAGCGACGCCAAGCGAGTCTTTCGTTGCGGCGTTCTCTTTTGCATTTCTTTGCAACCTGTGCAAAAAGTGCATCACGTCGACATTGGATACAGGCAGATGTCGGCGTCATCTCTCAGCGTCCCGGACTCAGTCTCAGTCGTGCTGCCACATGCTGCCCAGCTTGGAGAATCTTGAGGCCTATATGAGGAAGGACGGCTGAAGAAGCCGCACACTGAAGTTCTTTGAATGCCCGCATTGATTTCATTGTGTGCGCTGTGCCATTTTGACGTAGTGTCCTTGTGGCTCGCAGAGGATTCGACAAAAAGAGCTGCAGCGTGAGCAGGTTGGGCACTCATCTGCTGTAGGCACTTGCCAGCGACTCAAGAGACCTCATCATGTGAGGAGCTCAAGGACGTGTCGGAGCTGGCTTCAGCCTTAGAGTCAAATATAGAGTCTTGAGTACTTAGGCCTTCGGAGTCCTTCAGAAGCAACGGTTTGGTGTGGCTTCGGCTGGGCAATGCCCCTTGAGGCTGCTGCCCGCAAAAAGCCGACACGCAAGGCCTCCTGTCCTTTCTTCAAAATGATGTTGTCGCAAGTTGGCAAATTGTTGTCCTCTTCTCTTTCTCTCAGGATGAGGCTGCGCTGGTCGAGCGGCTCTTCCGGCCGGAGCGGCGCCAGCGCCAGCACCTGCGTGAGGACTCCTTTTTTGAGCGAAGGGCCGTTGACGGGGTTCACTCACTCCACAACGCTCGATAAGTCTCAGAAGGTATAGCCTTCCCTCTGCCTTGCTAGGAGGAGGAAGAGTGGCTGCAGCAGCGGAGGCAAGGATGATTGGCATGTCGTGAAATGTCGTGGCATGTCTGTAAGACTTCTGAGTCAGTGGCCAGCTGCGCAATGTGCCTTCTCTATTCTCGCCGAGCCTGCTTGTGCAAAGCTTGTGCTATGCTTGTGCGAAGCTTATGCTATGCGTGACTCGGCCTTGAAGGAGAGTTTCCCTACCACAGCGAGCAGCATCCTTTCAAGCAAGCCTGGCTTTTCCTTGCTTTTGTGGTTACATGTTTGCGACTACCTAAGCCTACGTGTGGACGGTTGGACCGTGCATCAGCCTTCACACCGCATGAGAGATCCGGCCAGGGGCGCTTCCACTCGCCCGTCAGCACGCCTGCGGAGTCGCCGAAGGTATCTTAAGGGTTCTTGAATGTTGGATTGGGACAGCAAAGAGATGCTCGTTAATGCTGCCACCACACCTTGCAAGGCGAGCTCGGAGGCCAGTTGAGGCAAGCATCGCCTTTCATCTCGCTTGGCGCAGTTTCGCACACCAGGCAACTCCCAGTTCATCGCCCACGGCGCATGGGCCAGTTTGGGGATCTCTGCGGGATCCGCCGGGGGGTTGGGAGGCGCGCTCGGGAAACAGAGCATGCGCAGAATGTGCTCTCGAAGCGCGGGAGAGAAGCTGTGCGAGAGAATGACTGCATAAACGAGTGTAAGAAGGAGGAGCTGCTACTGCTTCTTCTTCTTCTTCTTGTGAGTCTCCTGTGACTGAGCAGAAAGGACTTGTAGAGGGAGAAGGCGGGTGCGCTCGGAAGTGGCTCTTTGCGAACGTGGCGGGGTTTGGGGGGTGGGTGTGGGGCCGGGCTTACCAGCTTAAACAAGCAATTGCGAAGGAACGAAGGAAGAGGGAGAGAGATAAGAAGACAGAGATTCTACGCGAATCTACCATGTTCCACCGTGCTCCGCAGGAATCCATATTCACTTTGGCATTCGCTTTCATTTGCGCACGTCTGCAGCTAACTTTCGCGCTGAGCTGAATTTCCCTGCAGGTTAATGTCGCAGCTGCCGTGCACGCTGCAGAACTCCTCTCCGCAAATGTGGAGCAGGCACGAACTTTGGGAGAGTTCTGGGACTGGAAGTTCCTTTGGAAGTTCCTTTGGAAGTTCCTTTGGAAGTTCCTTTGGAAGTTCCTTTGGAAGTTCCTGGAAGCTTCGAGCCGCCAGGAGTCAAAAAGCCAGCCCTCGGCTGAAGCGCATTCGGCGCAAAGTGCTCAAGGTGTTTCTCAGGAGACACTTGATACGCGCTGCTGAGCCGCTTTCGCCATTGGTTGGGGGAAGTGGCTTTCGTGTCTCTGCTGTGTCGGATCTGAGATTCCTTGAGATTCTCGGAGCATATCTGCGGAGCATAGTGGGCTGATATCAGGAGCCCGAAGCGGTCTCGGAGAAGCGACGCTTGTCACTGGAGCTGGAGGAATGTTTCTGAGGGAAGCTAACGAATCACAAATGCCTCAAGCAATCGCCACGGTGAAGGGGAGACGTGACAAGAAACGAGAAACGGCTCCTTGCTTGATGCTTTTTCTCATGGGCTGCGGCTTGTGGAGCTTATTGGAGCTTGTAAAGCTTAGAGGCGTTCATGCTCGAAAAGGCATTGATTCGTCTTCGCGTCTTTGCATCCTGCAAGAGTTGTTGAAAAGCCGGCGTGTGAGATACGGAGCCTGAGACACGAGTTGCGCTCGCACGCATGTCGAACTGCCTCCAGCAAGCTCCGCAGTGTACAGGCTCAGGGCCACGGGAGAAAGCAGGCGCAGATAGGGAAAAGACGCCTAGACTGATTAACAGGTTAGACAGCCAGTACCAGCCGCTGTCGCCAGTCCAGGTACGTCTAGATCCTGTCATCCACATCAGGCGTTCCATCCCATGCTTCATTCAACATGGTCAATGCGGTGATGGCATCTTGCAAGATGTCGGTCATGCTGCAGCGGCAAGTGTCGGCGCCACAGCTGCGCGCTGCCATCGTTGTGGCCAGAGAGTGTCAGCGGACCATTGGTGAGATTGCAGTGCCTTTGCATCTACAAGTACCCTGTCGTCATTTTAACAATGATCTGTATCAAATGTGATAGCTGGCTTTAGTTTCTTCCCCTGAGGCCGGCCTAGCGTTTGAACAAAAGGCCAACCTCCCTCGCTTCGATGATCTTCGGGTTCTTTTTTGTTTTTCTCAACAGCCCCACTGTGGTGTCGAGCGACACTGCTCAACAGGCTGCCATGGCTGACGTTGACGGGCTGGTATGTCCAAAGGCTGGGAGGGTGATGGGTGGGGAAAATGCATCGTGCACAATGCTGACAATGGTCTGACTCAGGACAGCCAAGCCATCGTCCAAAGAGACGCAGCCATGCCAGCTTTCGCTCAGGACTCCAATAGCCGGCTGTTCCAACCAGATTGGGCCATTAAGTGTGTTCAGGAGAAAAACAAGTCGGTGGAAGAATCCCAAGGCTGTTGCAAAGCGTGCGGTGCAGACCGTTCAAGATTCTGCACTGTGAAGTTCGGGCGGCACCAGAGAAAAGCAATCTGCACATGACCAGCCTCAGTTGCAACGTCTTTGAGGACTTGTTCATGAGTTGTAACTCTCGCCAGTCCTGTGACCTGTGACATAATTGGCGGCAGTTTAGTCTTTGTAGTCGTTGTGAGGCGTCTCGAAAAAAGGTCGGAAGCCCTGGTCCTTCAAAAGGAGCGGCAGTGACCTGGAGGCTGCTCAGTCGCAGCGTACTGTGAACCACAAAACGATTCTTTCATGGAAAATTCATGGACTGTTCTGTACATGTACATGCCGAGTTTCAAGACTGTAAGTCCCCCATGCCAAGCAGCCTGGATCCCGCACCCCAAGCCAAAGCCTGCTTGCTTCATCTAGGCGTGAATTCCTACAGCTCGGTTCAAGAGGCATCAGCTCCACGCAGCCCAAGCAGCCCGGGCAGCCCAAGCAGCCCGGGCAGCCCAAGCAGCCCGGGCAGCCCGAGCAGCCCAAGTACCAACGAGCCGGGACAAGGCGCTGATGCATTCAATGTTGCATTTTAAGCTTTCAGTTTCTTTACACTGCAGGGTACAGACGGCGCCTGCCTTGGCAGCGCACGGATCCAGATGCAAAGCCAAAGGCAGGGCCGTGGGATTAACCCCATCTTTGGATATGAATCCTTTCTTGCAGGAGCCATGCACCCCTGCGGCGGGGAGCACTGCCCCTTCTCCGAAACAGGCCGTGCCGCCATCACAGCGACACGGTGTTGAAGCTGCGGATCAGCTGGAGGCCTGAAGCCTGACAATCCATTTGACAAACATGATAAATTTGATAAACCCCTTCCGTCAGAGTTTTAGAGCACAGTTTGAGGAGGCATCAACTCCAAGCCCGAGCAGCCCAAGGCCAAGTTCCAACGAGGGAGGAGGCAGATGTGGGATGTTCGGATGCCGCTTCTCAATCTTGTCTCACTCCCTGGAACATGCAGCACAAGTAGCAAACTTTGCAACGCAGGGACCTACGGACGACGGTTGCCCTCGCAGCGCGCGGATGTAGACACAACGGAGGAGGCAAAGTCGGCGAAGTTGTGATGTCCTGTGATGTCTTGGGTCTACGGTCAGGAGCAACCCGCTTCGCTTGATCCTGCACATCCGACGCCTGCAGCAGCTGCAACAACTGGGACCTCCTCACAGCAACAGGTGCGCCTCTCTGCGTATCTCGACCGTCACCAAGACGAACACATACCGAGGTTTGCGTGTCCACGACAAAGCTCGAGACGAGTGTGCCGAGGTGGTCACAGGTTGTTTGCTTTGCTGATTGCGGAGGCGCACGAGGAGAAGCCTGTCCTGGTGGAACCGGAGTCTTTTGCTGGAGAGGCTCGTGCCAGACAGTGAAAGAACTCGACCCGTTTCAAACAAAAAGCAATGGCTGATGCTGCACGGCGGGGCTCGGTTTGTTTCCAGAAGTCTTTTTTCCCGAGCTCGCTTGATTCGAAGTATTTGTCGTGATCTGTTGTACTTGTGTAGCCCCACGAGGTGTTTGGGCGGCCAGTATGCAGCGCATGTACTTTGGAGTTGCTTCTCCACCATTCTTTAAGTGCCAGATGTTTTTTGCACCTCCGCTCCCTAAATCTTCAAAAGTCTTCACTTCAACAGTGGCACTCGGGAGGCTGAGGCGCCGGCGCCGGCGCCCGCCCATGCAGAAACGGAGAGCACTCCGGAGAGCAGCGGGCAATGTGGGCAATGTGGGCAAGTTGAGCTGCCGATTCTACCCCTGCAGCTTGAATTTGACCAGCTTCGCTCCGATGAGGACAGTGCAAAAACCGAATAGGATGGAGAGAGATCACTATACATCACTGAGAATCCTCAAGCATTGTGTTTTCCAACTAGTTGTTTGTCGCAGGAGGAGCCCATCGGCAGGTCGAGGAGTCCCCGGGCTAAGAGACACTGAAAGGGCTACGAGATTCACATGCTGCTCCCACACCATTTCTTTTTGGGGTCTCGAGTCCGGCAGGGTGGTACAGGGTGGTGCATGGTGGTGCTCTCGTGTGGTGCTCTCGCATGGTGCCCTCGCAAGAGGTCCAAGCTGGAGAAAGCTGCGCATTCGAGAGAAGCTCCTCAGCTGTGATGGCATCTGACAAGTCACCAAACGGGACTACAGTTGCATAATGTTGCAGAACTTAAAGAAGCAGCTTATAGGCAGCAGCGGTTCCGGCGTCGAAGGTGCGAGGGGGGGGGGGGGCGTTTTGAGAGCAGCTGGGGCCGTATCTGTTCAATGTTCAAACTCTTCCATAGACGCAGGCCAGGCTCCACAAGCCCTTTCGAGGCGCTGTCCAGCCGCCGGCAGAGGCCGAGAAGCCGGAGTCGGAACTCTGAAATCTCCGAAATCTCCGAATTGTCTCCAAGGCTTTCCCAGGTCGACAGCCCGGTGAGCGGCGGCCTCTGAGTTCGCTGGGCGGTTGCAGTGCAGTCATGTGCAGCGCAATGCAGTCGCATTCCTAGGCGCTGCAAGCGCGGGATCTCCTGGACGCTGGACAGGAGCCGAGCCTGGCCAGAAAAACGGTGAAAGCTAGCACGCGGAGATGAAGCCACACACGCAGACAATGCGTGCGCGTGCACACACACACACATTACTTCTCAGGACTTAAGAAGCAAAGAGAGCACAGTGGAGCCATTGCGGGACGAGTTTGACATACCCAGAGCCATCGAGGCTTCGAACTCGAATCGGTTTTCAGCAAAACACCTCGGCCTTCACGATTTCATGTCCCCTGTCGGCGTCCAGCGCCATCGCTCCTTGCCGTGCATAAAACAACAGCCAGGCCCCCTAAAAGGAGACTGGAACCCCCGACTCCGACGGTTTGCGAGGTTTTGAAGCCCCGGACTGTCATCATCATGGCTTTTGTCCCCATCAGATGCATCATAGACCAAAGCCTCATTGAGATCGCCCCGGGTGTTGTGACAGTCTTGCCCATAGTCGTACAGGTCACGAAGGTATTCGCTAGCGTGACCTGCACGCCACCCAGGCTCATCAGCGCAGGTTGTGCCGCACCCCACCACGCCAAATGTCAACAACCTCACAGTTGAGGACACGTGCATCGTCAGTGGAAATCTTGCAGAGTCGGTGCTGCAGGAGTCTGCCAATACTCCATGCGGGAACCACTAGCAATGCATGTCATGAGGATAGTTCATATCTCATGCCCGGGCATGAACAACTTGAACATTCAAAATCATTTGCTGTCTGTTTCCGTGTTCTGAGTCATCGCCTTGATTGGGTGAACAGGGTCCAATGCTTTGGTGTCCAACGAGACGGTCGTGTATGCCAGTCAATCATTGAAGAAGATCTGGCCGGGAAGTGGCTGCCAAACTCCGGCACACGGTGCAAACCATGTCAGGGCGACCACTACACACGAACATTCGCTCGGCACGGCCTCTTGTCACATGTCGTGGGCTGGGGCAATTCAGGCTGCCTGGGATATTGCGAGCAACTTGCTTCGTGCCTTCCATTCTTCGTGGTAGTAGGGTGATCAGCACTAGCTTTTTAAATGAATCGAACTTGCTGTCTGTGCAGGAGTGCCCACGAAGGCTACGCAGCCCAACATCTCGGCTCTTCGAGGGCAAAAGCCAAGGTGGATAAAGTGGCATAAACATGTGGCCCACTGTGGCAACTCAATATCGACCAGGGCTGCTTTTGCCACAGGCTGAAGGATCTCCGGGAAGCGCGCAGAGCGCAAGAGGCATGCGCATGCAAAACATTTGATTGCCCCCAGAGGGATGGGGAGAGCACTTGGCACGGGGTGGTTACGGCTGTGGCAATGGTAGGCTCCATTGTGACGTGGCCCGCAGGCCTCGGAGTTAGCCCGCAGCCGGACGCTGTCAGGGACTCGTCAACTGGACTATGCACCACATGCATCGTAGATTCCGTAGATGAATCTGCAAAGCCCATGTTCGGCCGAACATGACAGTGAAGGCCAGGCTCTGTGCTGTCCCCGACGAAGAAGGACCCCATCTGGCACCGTCTGCACCAGATGCTGGCAACCCAAGAACTACTGCGAGCAGGTTCAGCTGTACAGCATTCATGCGTAATGCTTACATTCCATGTCTTATGTGCTGCTGAATCTGAAGCATAAGACCGTTCCAGTGTTCAGCTGAGGCACAAGGAGCTGGCAGACAGGCGTTCCGAGTTAGTGGAAAAGTCCATGAAGCAGGCACGTACGGTTTGTGCATCGCGACGATAGTACACCTTGTAGCTCCAGAGCCGTCGAGCCATGAACGATTTGCGCGTCCTCGAATCAGGCTGAGGATCGTGAGAGGTCCATCCGATCGGAGCACAAGCCAAGGCCGGAGAACCCCAGCCATGGTGAGCTTGACTCTAGTCCGACTTTGCGAAATAACTTCGCAGGCGCATACGTGGGAGCACGGGTCGTCCACTCTTCATTATCTTAACGTAACATGAGCATTTTCCGTCAGACCGAAGCTTGCATCACCCGAGTTGTTGCTCTGATGTTCTTGCCTTTTGGCAGCTGATATGTGCGGAAGACATGGTCTGGAGGGGAGTTTGGCTGGGGAAGAACATCTGTTTCATGGCGACGCACGTGTCTCAATGAGAACCGAAATCTCATTCAGTTCGAATACAAACTGTGAGAACATGGTGTTAGAATAGACACCACCGGCATAGCTGGCTCGTGGCCAGCCAGGCATTTACATCGACGTTGCTTTTGATCCTTCGATGTCTGCTCTTCCTGTCATTGAGATGACACCGGGGGGGGGGGACTACCAGGGGGTGGTGCCAGTCGCTTCAGCAGCCATGTGAAGAACACTTGGCCGACATTTGCTTTCTTCACACCTTTCACGCGGGTGTAAGTTGTCGAGCTGTGACAACTCATGATGAGCTGTTACTCTAGTGAATTTCAGTGCGCTGATATCTCTACTTTGCTGATTGTGGTGGGATATGTGCCAGTAGCCTTTGTGCACGTGCTCATACGCTCCTGCACGCTCACTGCTAGTGTAGACACTTAGCTATCAGGCACAAGAAGTCCCTGAGACCCACAGCGTCCCAGTAGCTCTCGTTGGCCCTGGCATGCCTGGCATGCCTGGCATGCCCCCTGAAGCATCTGGTTTCATGATGGGTGACCAGTTTGAGGCAAGCTGCTCTGGCGGAGGCCCAAATGCAAATCAGCGTTTAAGGTGCGACGTTCTGTTTTTGTTTTTCACATGGGCAGGTGCAGGTCATCACTTCCAAGCTCCATTCACATCATCAAGAGCGGCAGGTACCTTTCCATGTGGTACTTGTCTATAAGCTATGAAAACCTATTTCTGGCAGTCTGTGGCAGTCAAGCCTTCACAAGGAGAAGCGCCAGGCTGCTGTGCAGGACGACGGATGTGTGTGTGTGTGTGTGTGTGTGTGTGTGTGTGTGTGTGTGTGTGTGTTTGTGTTTGTGTTTGTGTTTGTGTTTGTGTTTGTGTTTGTGTTTGTGTTTGTGTTTGTGTTTGTGTTTGTGTTTGTGTTTGTGTTTGTGTTTGTGTTTGTGTTTGTGTTTGTGTTTGTGTTTGTGTTTGTGTTTGTGTTTGGTGTGTCTGTCTGTCTGTCTGTCTGTCTGTCTGTCTGTCTGTCTGTCTGTCTGTCTGTCTGTCTCTGTCAGTGTCTGTGCCCGTGTCCCTGTCCGTGTCTGTGTCCGTGTCCGTGTCTGCATTTGTGTCCCTGTCTCCGTGTCTGTGCTTGTGCTTTTTTCGCATGGATCTTCCAATCTCTTGCAGCCTTCTTTCGAGGAAAAGGAGAAGCTGCTTGCCCAGATCTACAGCTTCGCACCGTGTCTCTCACCGAAATCGAGGCCACGTAAGGGAGCAAGTTTGCCAAGAGTCGAGGAATGTCCCGCCACCAATGGCCATTAAGAACTGAAGAAAGATCGCAAGCTGCCTTGTGGCAGGGAGCTGACGGAGTCTCAAGCGGCTCAAGCCCAATGCCGAGACGCGAATGCCCGCCCACAAAGTCGTTCGTGTGTCTGAATTCCGTACTGCTTATGCTTAGGGCGCGACCGAGCGGTTCTTGCAGCTCTATGCGGACCATGAGCGAAGGCAGGAGTCGCAAGGGATGGGCTGAGAAATGTGCTGAACTTCTGAAGATGGCAGAAAGGATGGCCGAAAGGGATCTGCTCTTCAAGAAGAAGGACGCAGAAGAGCGGCGGCTTCTCGCGGAGTGCAGGGCCCAGCGATGACTCCTTGAAAGAGCGGCTTGCCAGTGGCATGCGCGGCACACGGACGGATTCTCGAGGAACAGCATCCACAAAGTGGACCGAAAAGTGGCCGGGCGCCCTCGAAGACACCCATACCAAACAATGCTCAGGCTGGATGGCTCTCTTCCCCTTACAGCCTTACAGGCGCTCGACGCGATTCGAAAGCTCCATGCCGACGCCCGACTGCGGATGCAGCGGATCAACGACAAGCGCCTGAGTCACAGTCCGAACGTTGCAGAGCGGCCAGGCTCTGCGTTGCAAAAAGTGCGTCTTGCCTTGCGGAGCTCTGAGGCGAGCAGAAGCTGCAGCAGGAGCTGAAGGCTCTGTCGGCTTGAGTCAAGAGGAGTATGAGGTACTACTGTCGTGCGGTGACTTCTGAGGAGCTCGAAGCTATGTCCATACACCACAAGTCCCAGGGCGGCACCTTTGGAGACAGACTCTTCGAGGCGCGCTGCATGTGCTGCTATGCTGCATGCTCCATGTTCCCTTTGCATTTCCCTCAAAATAGGTTGCACTGTAGGCAGCAAATCCAAGCACCAAGTTCTGGTTGATATGTTCCAGAACCTATCCGGGAGTTCGGGGGGCAAAGCAGAGCAACACAGAGCACTTTGCTTGTGCTGCTCCACCCTTGCTTAAGATATTCTCGCCCTTTCCTTGTCTGCAAACGCCTTACGTATCTGGCTGTGTAGGAGACCTCAGTTGCAGCCCGAGCCCTACTCCCTACATTCATGCTTGTCAGGAGTCCAAGCAGAGGGAGCAACGGAAGCAGACCAGAGCTTTCCAGGTGTGATGAACAAGAGAATGGTGGTAGCGGAGAGCTGGTTTATTTGAGCGAGACGTCTTCGCAAGGCACAATGTGAGGCCAAAGCCACGGCTGGGCGAACTCGAAGCCTCAGACCGAGCTCTCGGAGCGTGAAGGCGTTCACGCGTGACGCGAGATGTTGCGTTCGTGCAGAAGCTCAAGTTCGTGAGCTTTTGCAGAAGCTTGCAGCGTCCCGCGCAGCGCCCTGCTTGTGTTCCGCTGAGGCAGCGCGGGCAGCGCGCCTTCTTCCCCCCGGGGTGTTCTGCGGCTCTACGAGGCCTTTGAAGACTTGAGCGAAAGCTCTTGAGAGTGGAGACGGAGATTGCAGTGTCAGATGAAGTGTCAGGATGCTGCCAGAAGAGAGCGGTCCCTCATGGACAGGCCAGTGTTTCGGGACCAGGATGCGCCCAGTGCTGTGGGGTGTGTGCAGCAGCTAAGGCGAAGGAAGCTTTGGGAGGCCGAGATGCAGGAGTCGAGTTTTCCAATCCCTGCACCTTGCCGAACACTGCTTGAAGAGAGACAGGGGAGTCCCGACTTGGGGCAGCTGGCTTCTAAGCTCATCGTGGCTCATGACGGATGACGTGCCATGTCGCCCGTGAAGCGAGCAGGTTGCACAAGAAGTTGCAGGTTGCAGCGAGCCTCAGTCACCCTCCGGTTTATGGAGGTACCTGAGGTATTCCGATGTTCTCGACATGTTTGAAGACTTCTCGAGTTTTCGAAGTCTTCGGAGTCTCTTCGAGACACGGTGGGCTGTGCGAGCTCCAGGCCCTGGATTGGTTGGGCGTGCCACTCCTGCACCTGGTTGTGACACACTCTCTCTGCGAGCCCCCGCTCGTGGAGCCCGGCTTAGTGACACCAATCCTTTGGGGGAAGCCTCCTGATTTGTTCATGGCCCGTGGAGTCTTAGTTTGCAATGCATCTGCCCAGTGGACAGTGCATGCCGATGTCTATGACCTTGATGGGAATGCTGTGGAGACCGAAGACTGGCAAGCACAGATCATCGTCAACGGCTTTGATGGACAATTCAAGAGCAGGGAGCCACCTTTGGGATGTCCTGGCGTGGGCCACGGCCACGTGCAATTCCTGGAATGAGAGTCGGAAGGCATGTGGCATTGCACTGGCCGACTCCGTGGTGTTGCATCTTACATTCGTAGTGGTCAGATCCATCGATTGTTTGACATTTTGTACAAATTGCCACGGACGCTTTTTGCTTTCGAATGGAGCCACCGGGGTGTCAACATCGGAGCTGGCATCGACTCGTATCCATGCGGCTCCAGCGATCATCTTTGCAACCATGATGACCCCCTCGAATTGTGGATGCGGTCGCTAGCTCATCATGTTCTACTCGTTGATGGGGATATGAAGAGGCTACAGCATGCACTCACCAAGTTGCGTGAGGACTCGGCAGCGTCTCGCTTCTTTGCCTTGAACAAAGTGGCAACTCCAGTTGGTGTCGATGCCGGAGAGCTAGATGATATCCTCGTTGAGGCTTTCGATGGTGCGGTGGACATCATTAAGATCGACATCGACTCCTATGATTGTGCCGTGCTGCTATCAATGCTCTTGAGAGTCGAAGCAGTCGCGATCGTTCTTGAATCACAACCTTTGGTGCCCCCTCCGTTCAAGTTTGCCAGAGCGTTTAGGTCTGATGTCTCGAGCACGGACAGGGTGCTCATTGTCGTACCAGGTGCGCATGTTGTCGCCCAGCTATCATCTCCTCGTCTACTACAAGACACGGTCTTAACTCCAAAATACTGTCACTTCTGGAGTCTCTTCCGCCAGGAGCCTTTTTCATGTTCAAGAAAAAGCTCTCAGCTGTGACTTTTTCCTGACTCTAGTGACTCTAGTGATTTCATCAGCCGCTTTGTTCGCTCTATCTTGAAGTATTGAGCGCCTGCGCCACCATTTGCAGCTTCATGGACGTTTGGCCAGTGGCGAATACCATAAATCCCCCGAACAAACAAACTCCAAGCAGGGGAGGGGAAGTCAGACAGGACAGCGTCAATGGAGTTGGTTGGCTTTCAGACAGAAGCATGCCAAAGGGTGAGTGAGAGGTCTCGATGAGTACTGGCTTTTGGTTTGTCCTGATGTGTCCAGTGACGTGGAACTGAGGAACATTGTTTCCATGGACGCGGTATCCGTTGCGCTTTCCGGTGGATGAGTTCGACTGCTTCCTGCGCTCACGTTTCCTGCATGCCAATGCGGCTGACCGGAGCCTGGGCAAGGACCAAGCAAGAGGACAGCTTGTGGGCTGAACTGGGTGCATCTATGAGACAAAGGAGGGGACTAGGACCACGAGAATGCTATTGCTTGCTTGCAGGAGTCAACCGTTTGACGCCGCCTCCAATTCCAACAGACTTTGTTCGAGAGTGGCTGCACAGTTCCCGGCCAGTTGTGACAATGGACTTGCTATGGGGCAACATCACTGACACTCTTTCGAACGGCTCAACATCCCCGCTAGCGAATGTTCGCTACCTGTTGGATTTATGATCTGGAGGCAATTTGAATATTTGAGGAGCCGGACACCGTATAACACAGGGCAATGCCCTCATGACACCGCCAGACTCCGGCAACGACGCTGAACTTAAATCATTTCCGGGAGCCGAAGGTGTCCAAGTGGAGCCTTGCCGCGCAGATCTTCGGCAGCCACAAGCATGTCGCGTGCATCGCCAATGTGAAGCACTCCATGTTTCCGCAGCATCTGCAACCTTGCCGATCCAGTTGTCATTGCGTGTTGCTTTGCTTCGTGAAGCTCGTGCGTTAAAGCCGGGGAGCGCCTCTTCCTCTGGGCACGAAAGCGTTTGTCGGCCGCCCAAGATTAATCGGTTTTCGGCGTTTTACGGCCTCCAGCCGCAAGTCATTCGGGACGAAATCAGCATTCGTGAGCATCCTGCAGCGGCCTTCCGGATAGTTCCTGCTTCGGCAGTCTGAATTGCTGTGCAGGAGCTGCGAGCGCAATCGATCCGCATGCAACTCGCGGCTCGCAGCCACAGGCAAGTGAGCTGGTATGGCTTTCTGGCGTTTTGGATATTGTCTCCAGGACTCAACAGAATCCAGGTCATTTTAGATCCTTGCATGGGAGGGCCAAAAGAATGTCTCTCGGAAGGTTGGTGCGGGATGTCTCCGACACGCGTCGAAGTGGCCCGGAGCCCATGGGAGAAGTGACTAAATCAGACAGTGCAGGTTGAGGGTGCTTGAAGGTGACGCGCGGCGTGCCAGATCCCAGGAAGTGCAGGCAAAGTGTGAGTGCTCAGTGAGAAGAGTGGGTGCTTCCTTTCGGGGCCTCACAGGGACGACATGCCGATCGCCGGGATCGCTATGGTTCCCGCGATGGTTCCCGTGAGGGTGCCCGAGAGGGCCGGTGCTACAGTGAGCCACGGCGAGGCGCCGGGATTCGGACAAAAACCGTCTCTTGAGATTTGTATGGCTCTGCGTTGCTCTGCGTCGCGCTGCGTCGTGCTGCATCGCGCTGCATCGGCTTGCATCGATGCCAGGCCGAGTTGTCGACAAGAGCAGGCACGCAGAGCATGCAATTAGGATCAATGAGGTTGTGTCGTGTGTGCACCTGTTTGTGCTCCGCCTAGGCCAAGACGCATGTCTGGCTCACGCAGTCCCAGCGCCAGCGAGGAGAGCCGCTGCGAAGATGCAAAGACCTGCAAAGAAGATCTTGAAGCGCCTTGAAGTCCGTCGTCGTCACATCTTTATGCTGCGCCTGAGGAGCGTTCGCTCTTCGCACGGCCCAGACCGCGGAGCTCACCATGCAGCTCACCAAGCTCACCTAGCCCGCGTGGCCGCGAGGCAAAAGCTGCCAAAGTAGCGAGTCTGGAGAGGGCGCTCGATTGCCTAGATTTATTGGGATTCCAATCATGTCAGCGCCGACGTCCTATCCAGGTTGGATTCGGGATTGAGCAGTTCTGAACACATCTTAATTATAGGTATCAACTGTATGTATTTTCATCGTTCTTGCTTTGAAGGCAAAGTCGCCAAGCTGCGGCACCATGAGGCTGAAAATCCTGAAGCTTTGAGGTTGAGAGAGAAAGAGAGATGGACGACCAGGTTGGAGCGGGCACCTCGATCGAGGGAAGCATCGAGAGGCAGAGAGGCGGAGCAGGGCGGAGTCATGTGGAGTCCAGCCTCTTTACTTGGGACAACCTCCAAGATGTTTGTTTGCGCAGGGCCATGCTGCGGCGTCAAGGACAAGAGGGGGTAAGCCATGGAGTAGCATGAGTAGCAGAGGGCTAGCTTTCGACGAGCCTCGCAGCAGTTTGCTTGAGCTGATGTGGTCGAGCTTTGATACGCTCTAGGAAGCCTGCTGGCACGGCAGACCGTGTCGCCCACCGAGTACAAGTCCCTTCCATTTCTGCGCATTTCCGAAACTGTACTGCTTGAGTTGGAAGTTTCATTGCCAAGGCAAAGGACGACTTGCAACTGCGGAGCGAGTCGGCAAAGCCGCGCATTCCGCAAATGCCTAGGACCCCCCCCCCCCCTCCATGCTCCAGAACGCTGTGGTTTGCCTGGTTAGTTGCCCCAGAGGCCCGGAGGCCCGGAGGTATTGGAGCCCCTAAGCAGCCCACTCTTGTGGGTTAATCGCTTGGGGAGGAGCCCTTATTATGCGACTTGCAAGAGCATGCACTTCTATTTAAATATCTGCTGGACTTGACGCTGGGTTCAATTTCATGCGCAGGGGCCAGGAACTAAAGTCGGGAGCTTCTACGTCCCAAGAGCAACTCTACCACGTTACTGGTAGCATCGCTGACACTCCGGCATTGGATGCGGCCCTACTCGACACTTGTCCAGGCTATCCCAAGGCTCATGTTGTCGATTCTTTGCTTTGTCAGCCTCGAGGTTGCTTCTGGATTGTGAGATATTGTGAGCGCAGATTGTGTTGGAACTCGCCCGTGATTGCACATCGCGCTGCTCAGTCGTGCGAGGACGGCGTCCAATCCTTCCCGAACTCCGGGAGCCCCGGGAGCCCCGGGAGCCCTCGCCAGCCACAAGGGTGGCCAGGTAATGACGAGGTGCCGCGCGCTCACAGTACTCTACAGCCCTTTTTGGTGTGTGATAGTACCAATAGTACCACCTGACAATGCCAGTGCTCACAATGTGCTTTAGTCGTCATGCTCATCGCTGTGTGTGTGGGGAAGTAGCTGTTCAGTTGACATCCTCAGCGAGGGACAAAGGGGAGTACGTGGTTTGGGAACTTCTGTCCAAAGGGGCACAGCCTCTCCTTAATCGGTAATGACGAAGACTTGTCTCCTACACACCATGCCACACTGGCTCATACTGGCTCCATTCCATGCCGTTTCCGTGGCCAGGCCTCGATCTGCAGCCTCCGCCCAAGGCGACCGCGAGACGGGCCAAAAAAGAGAGCAAACGAGCTGTCAAGGCTTGCGCATGCCTCTGCGCATGCCTCTGCGCATGCCTCCACGCATGCCTTGTTGGTAGCTGCACCATGTGTCTGTGAGAGGCAGCAGAGCCGGACACACCTTGGCCCCGAGAATCAGAACATAGCTCTACACAGCATGCCAAGAAAAGATGAGCAGGATGAATCTGAAGCGTTCTTGGATGTTTCGACAAATGCAGCGCTTCTCCACACATACACACACACTCTCATAGACAATGCTTTGACATCTTACTAAGCCTCCGCAAAGCCCAGTATCCGAGATGGCTGAGGATGAGGAGGCAGAGTTTTGTTGGTGATTCTGGTGTAGTCCGTTGCACGTAATCCGCTGTTCTGCTGTTCTGCTGTTACTCCAGCGCCCTGACAGTCCCGGGGACGGCGAGATCGAAGCAAAGAGTCTGGCTCGGCGAGTTTGGTCAGTGGGAAAGGAGTGGAGAGGAATCGAGATGAGGCTTGGTGCCTGCCATGTCAGTACACATTGCACTGCGATTGAAGCAGACGAAGTTCTGAATAGACTGAGTGGCGAGATGTGGTGAGAGTGGACGCGAGTGGGAAATATGTGGCAAAGCCAGGCTGGGTGTGCTGCGCAAGTTATGGCAAATCTACGCGGAAACCGTGCTCCCCCTGGAGCAGAAGCCGGGCACCCGGACCGGCACCTGATGCATTGCATGTGTTTTACTCAAACTTAATTTGTCTGCATATATATATATATATATATAAAACCAGCCTTCGGATCCGATATAGGCGTGACACTGACTTTGCTAAACATCTTCATCATCTTGACTTCTCTTGAAGCTTCAGGTCCTTTTACGAGCACTTCTGTGCCCCACCCATCTCGTTGGAAGAGTTCGAAGCCCGCCCGCAGGTCCAAGTTTGCATATGTTGACACGAGTGGCACAAGCACCGGAAGCACCGTGCCCATTCTGCAAGAAGGTGTTGCTGCTCGGTCAGTACAGCACCGGCAAAACATCCATGGCGCCAGCCTTGTTCTGACTGTCACATCCCGGAATCCTGCAACATCAGCTGTGCACAGAGAAGCATCCATCATGGGATCAGCTAGCTCCAGGTCAAGTGGCTGACTGAGTCTGAGAGCAACTACTTTGATGTGCGGCCTCAGCCCAGCACAGACAAGCGCGATTCTCATCTTGGCAAACAGCCAGAGATCACGATCGTGGAGATGACTGGGGTTAGTTTCAACTTCATCTGAATTCATGCCAGTGTGCGCCGGAAGGTTTATGGCGGTGGTCCATGGGGAAGAGGAAGGCTCGGTCGGTGCAGTCGCGCACGCCTGCCAAGGGGCTTCAGAAGAGCTCCTATGCAGGCATCATCCACGGCAACGCTGCTGCTTGTCTTCCCCAGTTGCCCTATCAGGTGCTTCAGTGGTGCTTCCATCATTCCAGCGGGCTGGCAGAGGGGTTCCTCCAACCAGTTCCTGCGCAGGGCCTCTCCAAATTCGGCACAGACTTTCTGGGCAGCTTCCAGGCAACCTCGTTTGCTGCCTTGCAGCCTGGCAATGTTTCCCCTAGTATTGGTGCCTGCAGGCTCTGGTGCTTCCGTCGGAGATCCTGCGGGACCCAGAGTGCAGCTTGTGCTGTGAAGATCTGTGAAGCCACGCCATGCCGCCGTGCCACGGAGCTCCACGGAGCTCCACGGAGCTCCACGGAGCTCCACGGAGCTCCACGGAGCTCCACGCGCCACAGGACATCACCTTCATTGACACTCCGGGAGTCCTTTCCGGCAGCAAGCAGCGCATCGGACGGGACTACGACTTTGCGCCTGGAAGCCTACTCTGTGCAAGCCACTGTCCGCCTGTCTGCATCTTTATCCATCTGTGAAGCACTTGTAAACCATTTTTTGAGACATGTTTACCTTCTCTTTCAAGCCATTTCAAGCCTCCGAGGAAAATCAGCGCCTGGATGGCAGACCGAGCCGACCTGGTGCTGCTCACGCCCAGCCCCAAGAAGATGAAACGCACAGAAGGCCGTTTCCTTGTTGGGCTCGTGGGGGCGATGAGTACCGAGTGCCTAGGGGACGTGCTTGGAGTGCAGTAAATCTTGAGGACTGCACTACTCCACGACCCAAGAAATTCCACAAGGTTCAACTTACCCAACTACACCTCGGGGCCTTGGGTGCTTGAGCGCATGCACTTTGGCAGCCCTTCATGCTAGCCGTTTGCAACGTACATGGAAAGGTTCTAAACCGGGGGGGGGGGGGGGCCTTTGAAGTACCGCGTGCACACCGGAGTGCTTTGCTGTCCAGGTTCGATGCCCACAAGTTAGATATCTCAGACGAGTTCCAGCAGGTCATGGAGGTGTGGCTCGGTCTGTCGCCGAAGGAGGTCCGCCCCATACCCTGTTCGTTCAGGTTCTGCGGCCACATGCTGGGAAGGTGCGGTGCGTTCTCAACAAGGTAGGACACTTTCTCGAACTACCTTCGCCAGCTTAGCAAGGAAGGGTTCGACTTGGCAAGGCAGACCAGATCGATGCGTCCAACCTTGTCAGGGTCTACGGGGCCCTCCTGTGGAATGTTGGCAAGGAGGGACGGGGAGTACATGGCTTTGCAATCAGCATGACCAGACAAGCATCCGACTAGCTAGCGATTGTTCCTATGGGTGCTCCCGTGTAACGTCACGCCACGGAAGCGAGAAGTGACGGCCTTGGCAGCTGTTGATGAGTGTAAACTCATTCCTAGTTCAGTCTTGCGAGTCATACCAAGCTTATGTGAGCTGCGCTTGTCTCTATGGCGTTGCAGGTTTTCCAGACACCCGAAGTCGCTCGAGTCTTCGTCAGCTCCTTCTGGAACGAAGAATATCGCTTCAAGGAAGCCCTCCAGAAAGCCGGTGCAGGGTGATAACGGAGGGCGGTGGTGCGTCTTGATACATGGAGAGGATCACCAGACACTCTTCGAGGAGGACAAGGCCGCCGTGGTGAAGGCACCACCTCGGGCTTGGGGAGCCTCGCTGCTTTGTCATCTGTAGCTGCATTGCAGACACCTTGGCTTATGCAGGAGCTGCAGTCCCTGCCGCACACTGCACTGCTGCGAAAGATCAACAATCTGACAGCCCGTGCTGCGGCCTCATTGGGTCTCATATCAAGAGGCAAAAGGAGAAGCAGTGGCCATTGGTGCAGCTGCCAATGGGGGCACCATTGTTGCGAGTGTGCACGAGTGTGCGCGAGTGGCCAGGTGCGCAGAGTCAGAACCCATGTCATCGTGGTGGGCTACTTGCGCTCCAGGACAAAGCTCCGAATGATCTGCCTGGAAATGCGTGTTGACTGCATTCTGCCTTGCGGTCCGCTTCAGACGAAGGGAGGCGATTCGCAGTATCATGTGTTAGCTCGGTGCATATGCTTGCATACCGCCATTGTTTTCCGGTGCAACTGGCCGCTATGTGGCCACTTGTTTGTGGTGCAATCGCCGACCTGACCATCCTGCTGGCCGCTGAGGCTATGGCGTTCATTTTTCGGTGCAATCGCCGGCCTCGCTACATGGCGTCTAGTTTTCGCTGCATCGCCGGCCTGAGAATCTTGCCGTCCGCTAGATGGCCAAGTCTTAATCGCCGGCCTGAGAAGCTTGCTGGCCGCTAAATGGCCACTGTTTTGCAGTGCAGTCGTCGCCCTGAGAGGCCTTCTGGCCGCTATATGGCTAGTGTTTTTCGGTGCAATGAGAGGCCTGCTTGGCCGCTATGTGGCGCCTATTCTTGGTGCAATTGCCGGCCTGGGGCCTGCTGCCGCCACTGTCGTGCGGTGCAATCGCCGGCCTGAGAGGCCTGTCGCGTGCCTGAGAGGCCTGTCGCGTGCCTGAGACGCCTGCTGGCCGATTTAAGGCAGCTACCTGTCCTCCTCCTATCTGTCTTGTATCCTGTCCCAAGATCAGTCCTCCCCATATCTGTCCTCCATGTCCTGCTATCTCGCAGTAGTAGAGCGCTGTCGTCGGGTCGACTCACTGCAGGTATGCACACTGAGGGTGGGGAACAAGACGCAAACGCACCCTCTGGAGCCCGACTTGTGCACTGAACAAACATTGCGGCGTGAGAGGCCGTAGCATGCACCAAAAAACGCCGTGTTTTGAGATGCTATCAGTAGCTTTTTGTAAGGCCCAAGGTAGGCAACTCTTGGCAGGTTGCTTCCTTGTGGGCTGCTTTGTATATTGTGGCTTTCCATGCGTCCCTGTCAGGATTCCGCTGCACTTGCGAGCGCCCTGCGCCCGGAGAGGCAGAGCTGGACCGGCTTCGTGAAGCCGTGAAGCCTGCAATTCTGAGGCTGGGCGCTGATGGACCGATCAGACATTGGCTGTGCAGGAACCTCAATAGAACTCAGCATGTTTGGATTTGCTCAATGGTTCAGAGCCGCTCAGCCGCTAGCCCGGCATCGGAGGCTCAAACCTCGAGTCGCTGCTGAGTGAGGTGGGGGTCAGCTTCGAGAATCAGAATAAACATCATTTCGCCCGTGTTTGAGGCACAGCGAGTGCATGGCTTGAGCAGCGGAGACATGCCAAAGCTGGAGGTCTCGGCCAGCTGTCAGTGTTTATACCTCTGTGATGTGGATGCACGACGAAAAATCGTTCAAGTCAAGTGTCATGCGTCAAAAGGCCAAGTGGCCCAGTCCTTCTTTAGTCTTACTTCTGTTCTTTGAGCATATTGTCGAGACCTGGTCTTCCATGGTCTTGACTTACTACTCCCCGTAGCCGCCTTGCTTTGCAATCTGATTCTTCGTGGTGGGGATCTCTTGGCGGTCATTGTGTGCAGCGGTCCAGCAGAGGAGCCACAATCCAAGATTAAACGGATATGGAAGGGCACGATCCGTTGAGAACTTCAGATATCGGACGGAATTGCCAATGCGCGTCAGGTGTTGCGTGGAAAGCTCCACGACTTTGAGCAAGGCGCGGTTTTGAGGTGTTGGTGTCTACTCGCACAGTTCGAAAGGTACTTCGAGGGGTTTGCGTGTGTTCCGATCTTTTTTTGCACATGTTCGGCAAACAAACATGCTGGACCGCGCATGGACACAGGTCGAGCATGTCCTCGCATTGGCAAGCCAGCCAAGTTTCGCATGTGCCTCTTTTGCTCGCAGCATGCCCCGAAGATCCCCGAAGCCCCCAAAAACCCGAGACCGTGGCCTGCAGGCAGCTGCTGTGAGGCCCTTCGTCACGCGTTTCTAACGGCTCAAGCTCAAAGCCCAGGACTCCAAAACAAACGTGGTTTTATATAGCCTGTGCAGATCCGCAAGGATCACCAAATTCACGCCCGCAGCATGCCGCAGCCGCACAGTAGCAAAGCAGACGCAACGGCAGCGAAGCAACGGCAATGCAATGAACTGAGCATCCGATTGGCGGACCCAGCACTGCTGATTCTTTTCTTGCTTGAGGTGGGGTGTTGTAGTTTATAAAGGCATGGAGAACAAGGCGACTGAAGAAGGTTTTGCCTCAGGCTTGCTGCGCCTGCCTGTCCCCACCACCGCGGACGTGCGCCGCTTGGATTCCGTGTTGGAGAAGGAGGCGCCCGTCGTTGGCATTCTGGTGATCGAACCCGACTTTCCAGTTGGTCTTGTCAGGTGCCCCAGCTTCTCTCAGGAGTTGGAGGCGTGTCCCTCTCCAAGGCGGAGCAGAAAACCTGTGGCCTTGCTCAGTGTACATCCCCGCGGAAAAACGACTTCGAAGAGACCTGACCAGGAAAGCCTGAAAGCGCCGCTTCCCGCGCCAGTGCCTCGTGGCCTCGTGGCCTCGTATTAGTCGCGAGAAGGATGCTCTTTCCCTGGAGCTGTCAGGCAGGGATGTTCTTCATTAGCTTCATTCCTGGGCTTCGGCAACCGAAAACGAAAAAGGACAGGGACATCTCATGGCGCAGAGTCCTTGTTCGCAGCAGCCATGGCAGGGAAGATGATGCCTGAACGTGAGAAGCAGTGAGAAGGTACTGAGAGTTTCCTCTCCCGAGTCTGCAATTCGCTCTCAAGTGTACAGCCACGTGGACCAGTGCTCTGCTGATCGGCAGCCGCTGCGGCGCATCACAGCAGCACCACACCGTTCGCAAAGAGGGCGGCTTCGGCTTCGCTTGCGGCTGTGGCCGCTGCAAAGTTCAAGCTTGATAAGGCTCGCGACCTCGATCTGAGCACGCGAGGCTGCGGAACAGGAATGTGGGATCTGCTTTAGTTTGTTAGTGTTGCGCCTGCTAGCGTTTAGGCTTGGGCCCATGCGTTTAATTGTTGAATCCAGCACGCGCCTGCTGCTTCTGTCAAAGGTCACACAGTACGATGCGGCTACGTGCGACAAAAACGAAGACACGCAGCAGAACAAGCAACACGACGCTGAATGCAGAATGCGATTGGACTTCTCTCTCCTCTGAGCCAAAATCGTGGCTGAATCATTGTACCTCCCGACTCACACTCGCTTTGATGAGTTGATAGTCCTGTTGCTCTCATAGCTAGCATGGGTACAGAGCCCGCGCTGAGCACCAGCACCATTGCTGCTGGAAATGCTGCTGCAAGCTCCTTACTGAGCCGGCTGCGGCTCGCACGTTGGGGGTCGTTTGACCATGTTAGCTCTACGCGAGAAGGGGTAGGTGAGAAGGGATGGGGGGGGGAGCGGGATTGGCGGGGTAAAGAAAGGATAGAAAGGGGTTGAGAAGAGGTGGATGGGGCATTGGGTGTGCTTGGCCCCAATCCCCAGGCTCCTAATGCGCGAGGCCTCGGGGAATAAAAAGATTTCAGTCCCAGTTTTGTGTCCAGGGAGCCAGGGCTCACAGCAGGGCCCACTAAGTCACTGAGGCCGCAGCCTTGAAGCTTGCTGCGAGCCGTGGCTCTCCCACACTGGCAGCTGCCATCCAGGCTTAGATGCTCGATTTGCGGATTTTGCGGACATTTGTAAGCCGTGCGCGCGTCTGTGAGGCAGGCAAGTTCCCGAAGACATCGGTCTACGAGTTTGGCACCAACGATGTCGCGAGCTAAGACGAGAGCTGTGGACACCAGCTAGACTTCGTAGGACGTAGTCGAACGTGGAAGGCTGTGTCGAAGCCCACAAAGCACCCACAAACTCAGAACCGAAGGTTCTATAGCTTTCACGCTCTGTGAAACTTTTTTGTCTGGAGCTCCCGAATCCAAGTTGTGCAGAGGCGTGAGCCAAGAAAAGTGCTTTGCCCCAACCCGTGACCATGAACTGTGATCCCACATGTACGTCCAAGACCCCTACCTGAGCTGCAGACCAGCGCTCACCTCCCAAAGCACTTCAAGTCATCCCATGATGTCTTTTGTGGGGATGCGGCGAGCTTCTCAAAGCGCAGCTGCTCTCTCAAGCCTTTGCTCCAAATGGTGTGCTGGCGGCCCCCCTCGATGCCTCCCTGTCCCTTCCACCCCTGCTCGCTGAGGCTCTTCATGCGGCTCCGGCGCCCGCCAAGGCACTGCATCAGGAGAGAGGTGAAAGAAGGAAGCGTCAAGACAAAAAAGGATGAACAATTTGTTCTAGAATCTCTAGAAGGTGTCTTCGGACCATTGACGGAAGGCAAGGGAAAGGGCAAATGCGGTGAAACGAGAACAGCTAGTGGATGCTAGTGGCGTGGCATCCTCTCACAGCGACAACCCAAGATATCCTTCTCAGCAAGTTGTTTGGCTGTCGCAGTCAGCATAGCATAATCTTGAATCGATACTTTATCTCAATTTATCTCGTATCACAGTTTCGGAACAAGTGGTGGAGGCAGTGGTCAGCGTCAGCGTCTGCCCAGTCTATAACCATTAGGACTCAAACTAAAGGACTCAAGCGTTCTGACGCTCGTCGAAGGCTTGCATGGTTGCATCAGTGTTGCATCGCGGAGCAAAGAAGAAGCCGGAAGCCAATAAGAGGGGGGGGGGGGCGGGGAGGTGCAGAAAGCAGGTTTGGGCTGGAAACTGCATCCCAATGAGTCCAGTGCTCTCGGCCCGACCGGGGCACGTAGCTTGTGTGGGGGCCCTCGCCTGAGCCCACCTGCCCTCTGTTGCAGCCCACGCGGGCGGCACTGATAGCCGAGAAGCCGCCGAAGCCGCAGCCGCGGGAGGTCCCGCAATCTGCCCGGGCCCAAACAGTTCATCTGCACGTCACCGCGCTTAGGCTTTCGCTTTTCACACTGTTGAGAGATTTGGGTGAGTTTTGGGGTTTTGGGATTGTGGCGTTTTTGGGCTGACTTCCGGGGCTTTCAGGTTTGGTTCGGTGGTTTAGTGGTTTCAGGAACTTTGCGGGTTGTGGATTACTCTTGCTTTGGCTCTGACTATCTTGACGAGCTCAATTGCAACTCGAAACTTCCATGGTGTCGTCAGGTCGTAGCAGCGGCCGCTGTGGAAGCCCAAGCGTGGGTTCACTTCGCCACATCTGCAAAAGGTAGTGGTCATTTCTTTCTTCATACTGCCACCCCCAACATCGAGTCGGACTATGTCCTTATGTCCCACAGAGGCCATCGGCCGCGCAGTGGCTTCTTCACTGCCAGCAGGCTCGATGTGCCGGGATCCATACAGGTGGCAAGCAATGGCCGAACTCTGTCTCGACTTGAGACCTTTTCGAACGGATCGCCACAAAGGATAGAATGTTTTGCCATCACGTGGGAGGGGCGGGGGGGGGGGGGGGGGGGGGGGGGCGGGGGCGGTGTCTCAACGGTGCAACAAGGCGCCCCGGCCCTGGTATCACCCGCTTCGGTGGCACCTGCGGCGCCTGCGGCACCTTCGGCACCTCCTGCAGCACCTGCTGTCTCTACTGCACCTGCGGCGGCGGTACACGCTTCCGGCACTGCGACAGGCAGGTTTTTGTTCGTTCTGTGCTCCGTGCAAGTGACACCAGTGACACCAATGAGATGGTGTGAGTTGTTAGCGGAGAGAGGCGTACTTTTGAGCGTTCCGCCAGAGACCGGCCGGGTTCCCTCCGGAGGGGGCCCTAAAGTGCGCGGAAGAAGAAGAAGAAGGAAAAGAAGAAGAAGAAGAAGAAGAAGAAGAAAAAGAAGAAGAAGAAGAAGAAGAAGAAGAAGAAGAAGAAGAAGAAGAAGAAGAAGAAGAAGAAGAAGAAGAAGAAGAAGAAGAAGAAGAAGAAGAGAGTAGGAGTAGTAGAAGAAGAGGAAGAAGAGGACGAGCGACACTGCGCGACCACTCTTCTTGCAAGCCCCTGCACTTATCAGCACGCACACTGTGCAGGCTTCTGCTAACCCCGGGCGAACCAAGCAGTGAACCACAAGTGTCAACAGAAGCTGTCAAGACAAATCATGTAGAATCGAAGATGCCAAAAAGCGAGAACTCTGCGCAGTTGCATCTAGAATCGATGCGGTGCAGTACTGATACTTCGTGATCAAATCACTGAGACTGGGAACAAGCAACGCATGATTGAAGACTGGAGCGAGCTGATGATGGAAGCATTCTGAGAGATTGTGCTTGTTTTTGATGGTTGTCTCTCTTTGAGTGTCATGTCCATCACTGTGCCGGCATTGAGTTGGCAGCTGTTGCTAAAATCATGCCTGAGATGATGGCTATGGCGGCAGCGTTTGGCTGACATCGCCTGGGGTCGGATCCTAGGCTGCCCTTGACATTAGCAAACGCAGTGCTTGACCACATGTCAGGTCTCAGCAGAGTCGCGTTTAGCTGTGCGGCTTCCACAGGGCGAGTTCACGTGCCCAAGCGCTGGTCTGTGAGAGATGGGAATTCTCATGTTGATGTCGAGCAGGTACATTGATCGTCCATGGTCGCACTTTGCCACCCGCCAGTGCCTTAATGTCCATCCCTTCTTGGTTTGTCTGGATTTGCAGAGCCTTGCGTTGCTGGACTCCTGGACCACAGGAGGTGGAATAAATCGAGGCTAACAACGCGGTCCTTGAAAGACCTGTTTTTTCGAGATTCCTTCCCCAAACTTGAGGAGGCCTTGCAACAGAAGCATCCGCTTCTTCTTTTGTTTTTTTTGTCAAGTCTTGTCAAGCATTGTGTTGTGGAAATTGTGGGAATGTGGCGCAGATCTGAGTGCTGCACGCTCGAGCCGAGCGCGATGCCGAAGCACTTCGTTCGACCTTGTGCTCAGTCGCACCGGCGCCGCAAAGTGAACAGCCCTCCGTGCAGTGCTTTCCAGCACATGTTTCTGCTTTATGGTGTCTCGGTCTGACTTGCTGATCTTTCTTCCTGAGCCTCCGTGCAGACAGCTCTGTTTTTAGTTTAGGGAGCGTATGGATCCCTGCGCTCAGCCTTGTGTGCATTGCACAAACTTGCAAAGCTTAGATTTTGATTATTATAAGGCTGGGCGGCCATTGATGCCGAGCTGCATCGATCTGTTGGGGAGGTGCCCGGCTCTGGTATCAGACATGTCGATGGCTTTTGATGCATGCGCCCGACGTCAGGCTGCCTTCTCCTTGATTGATCTGGGTAGCTGCTGTGGCTTCTTCAGCTTGCAGGCTTTTTGAGAACTGGTGCGTGGGTTCCCTATGTTCCGGCGAAGTTCTTTGGACCATGGCAGGCGGCCGTAGCCTACCCCAAGGCATCCGTCTTCGGCGTGGAGGGGTCGGCCTGAAACCAAGAACTGCGCAGCACCGCCAAAGCTCCATTTACGCAACAGGCCACTTCTGCCCATGCAGGTTGGCATTGGAAATGGCACCGCTGGTCTAGAGGGCACGCAGGAGATGCTCCTACTCCGCTCAAAGAGCTGATGCTTCTCATTGCTCCTCAATGCACCAGGACCAGATTGTTGGGACCAAGGCTGTCCAAACCCACCTCCGATGGATCGCTCGACTGCCGGGCCACCCTGAGCGGCATTGTCTTGCTGTTGCTCCACTTGCCGAGGAGATACATGATGGGAGATCTAGCGCTGTAGCCTGCAGGAAGCTACCGAATTGTTTCCTGGCGCCAGATGTCTGGGATTTTCAGAAGGTGCATTGCCCTGCAAATTCGTGCATGCAGCACCAAAAATTTTGAACTTCGAGAGAAGTACCGTCCGCTCAGCTGTTTCGAGAGATTTGAAGGATTGTGTTGCAGGTTTCGGACCTCGCATCGTCGGGTGTCCTCTGTGATGTTTTGCTGCTGCTCTCTGTCGTGCGGCGCCAAGCATTGTCACATAGCTCCATGACGATGACGATGATGAGGACGATGATGATGATGATGAGGATGAGGATGAGGATGAGGACGATGATGGTGGTGGTGGTGGTGATGATGATGATTATTGTGTATCCATTGTCAGCCAGGGAATTGCAAGTGACTGTTGCGTGGCGCACTGAAGCGAGGTCCACCATGTGGATAACGTCCTTGGCTTTGAGGGGCCAAGACGCCAGTCCCTTCATGGACTTCTGGTCGATCTTCGATGGCCCGAGGTCTCCACAGAGCAGTATGCCGAGCGGGGCTGGAGCCGAGTGGAGGCATTGCCTGTGCCTTGCCTGTGCCTCGCCTGTGCGTCGCCTGTCGATTTTGTGCTTCCTGGTCTGATATTGAAAGTGCCGTGCCGTACCATTCTGATCCAGGCAGTAGGTGCTCCATGCGAGGGATCTGTGAGTCAAAAGGGATGTCAGCTGAGCAGTTAGTGGATGCGAGAATTTAGGACAGATGACTTGAGCAAGGGCCCACTCCACAGCCGCGTAGCGTAGCCCTGGACAGTCACTAGCACGGCCATGGTCAGCATCCCGTGCCCACATCCCGTGCCCACAGCGTGGTGGGCAGCCTCGAGATGGCTCAGGACCGCCTGGCAGGGCAAATCAGGTGAACATGGTGGCAGCACGTACAATGTATTTCATGCTCTTTCTTGATCTCCTCCTCTCTACTCTGCTGCTCTCACATCTCCCGAAGGACCCTGCACCGAGCCAGGCCCTGAGTGGAGTGGTAGTTAGGAAAAGGGAGCGCTGACGGAAAGCAGACAGTGAGGGATGCAGCCGTTCTCCGCGTGACCCGCCGGCTTAAGCTTGCAGACGTAAGAGCGTTCATGCAAGCTGTGTTTTGTGAAGGTCAGTCGCCATGACCCAGGCACAGATGAGGGACACACGGGACGCCCTGAAGTTCACAAGGATGTGCAAGTACTGGAAGGTCAACCGTTGCCACCTCGGCGCAGAGTGCAACTTTGCCCATGACGAGGGGGAGCTGAGGGATCAACCGGACTTGGTATCAACCCAGCTTTGTTTCCAGTTTGCACGCAAGGGCTTTTGCAAGAATGGAGAGGCGTGCACGTTCGCACACGGAAAGGGCGAGCTCCGACGCCTTGCAAAGGCTGGCAAGTCTGGGCATGCTGCTCCGGATCACAAGAAGGTATCCAAGCGACATGGTTCAGACAACCGGCCGGCAAACTCGACGATGGGCTGCGTGGGCAAGCTTCTTTCGGCGACGGCACTTGAAGCAGATCCCAAGCTGACGCTGACAATGGCCACTGCAGCATTGACCTTCCGGCCGCCACCCGGCCTGGAAAGCTCGGGGGATGCCAGCCCGATCAGTCCTCCACCGGGCCTTCCCATGTTTGTCGTTGCAGAGCCACAGCTGCCGAGTGCCTTTGGAGTGACGCTTCGGGATGGCTTGGAGAGCTCACACCGCAAGCTTCTGCTCAAACAGTCCAGCAACGACGGCCTTGCCCATGAGCTGCCGCTCAGACTGGATGCAACGGTCTTGGCCAAGAGGGACGCGGACGTGGGCACCGAGAGCGCTTCAACTGCTTGGTTAAGCGGATATTCGTCTGACAGCAGTGAGCCTTCCAGCCCCAAGCAAGGACCCTTCTGGCTCTGAGTGAGGCATCTGAATCTATGTCAGTCTGTGTTACAGTGTTGTGACGTGCCCATGTGATCCCATGAGCAGGTCTTTTCACGAATCGATTTCGTTTGTGGAGCCTTGTTCATTTGCCTTTCGCCTGCCTGTCCAGCTTGTAGGGTCGAGCCCGCAAGCGGAGCTGAGCAGGCCCAGCAGATCCTGCTCCTCAATATCCCGAGTCCATGGATGTCCAGTGATGGTGCTGGAGCTGGCCAAGAGTCACACAGAATCAGGGCAGACTTGCCAGAACCTATCTGAACCTGGACCCAGGCTTGGGTGTTCACCTCACGCCCCGCGTAGGAGCAGCAGCGGCAGCCTGTTTTGTCGGTGGCCAGTACAGCTACAGCTCAGTACAGCATTGTTCACACGTGTCTTTTGTGGCTGCAGCTGCAACATACATTCCAAACTTTCCGAATTTCCAGTGGGTGCCTGGGACACAGATGCCTAGATTCGATCACAACCCGGGTTTTCCACGCAGATGATGCCGTGTCCCAGGCACTCCAGTCCAGAGCCACCAAAAAGCACAAGCGAAGACTGAGGACCGACCTCGCGAAACAAGTGCCTGCACCAAAGCATGCCATAAAATTGTGGATATGTTGTCTGAAGAGTGCCGAAAACACTTCAGAACTTTCAGAACCGCCTAGAAGCTCAGCACAAGGTGTCCTGCTTCACTGCATTGGACGTTCCGGTTCAGAGGATCCTTTTGTGCCGATCAATTCCCCCCCCCCAAGTACAGCCTTGGCCTTGCAGCGGGCCCCCGGCATCTAGCTTCTTGTGGTTCACTCGCCATGACCCAGGCACAGATGAGGGACACACGGGACGCCCTGAAGTTCACAAGGATGTGCAAGTACTGGAAGGTCAACCGTTGCCACCTCGGCGCAGAGTGCAACTTTGCCCATGACGAGGGTGATCTGAGGGATCAACCGGACTTGGTGTCAACCCAGCTTTGTTTCCAATTTGCACGCAAGGGCTTTTGCAAGAATGGAGAGGCGTGCACGTTCGCACACGGAAAGGGCGAGCTCCGACGCCTGGCAAAGACTGGCAAGTCTGGGCGTGCTCCGGATCCCAAGAAGGTATCCAAGCGACATGGCTCAGACAACCGGCCGGCAAACTCGACGATGGGCTGCGTGGGCAAGCTTCTTTCGGCGACGGCACTTGAAGCGGATCCCAAGCTGACACTGACAATGGCCACTGCAGCATTGACCTTCCGGCCGCCACCCGGCCTGGAAAGCTCGGGGGATGCCAGCCCGATCAGTCCTCCACCGGGCCTTCCCATGTTTGTCGTTGCAGAGCCACAGCTGCCGAGTGCCTTTGGAGTGACGCTTCGGGATGGCTTGGAGAGCTCACACCGCAAGCTTCTGCTCAAGCAGTCCAGCAACGACGGCCTTGCCCATGACCTGCCGCTCAGACTGGATGCAACGGTCTCGGCCAAGAGGGACGCGGACGCGGGCTCGGATCTGGGGACCGAGAGCGCAGCTTCCACGGCATACCCTTCGGACCGCAGCGAGCCTGCCAGCCCCAAGTGTCCCAAGGCAGAACCCTTCTGGTTGTGAGCATGGATGCGCTCGTCTCGACTTGCTAATGCCAGCGAATGCATCATGCTTTGGTCTTTGTGAAATTAACTTTTCACCTTTTAATGAATTGGTCTGGGCGGAGCCCGACCAAGCGTGCCTAGCGCGAGAGCAGGTCAGCTGGAATCAGCCGCCGTGCCCAAGAGCTTTAAGCTCTTCCAGAGGTCTTCGGCGGTATTTCTTTTGCAGCTAGGCTGCTGCTGAGGCTACCAGATGGTTCGACGTGGAAGGAACTGCTTAAGGGGAGCAGACAAAAGTTCTCACACCGGCTCTCCTCCGCTACCCTTTCCATTGCATCTCACCACACTTCATGCTAGCATATGAATTCAACATCCAGAAAGAAGCAACCAATGTCACGAAGAGCTCTTTGTGTGAAGTTCGGTCCCCGCCGATTCTCTCCGAGGCAAGCGGCCACAATGCACCCGTGCGGCCGGTGGCCGACTACTGCAAATGCTTCGACTTCATGAGCTAATGAGAACAAAAAGCATCTCTGTAGTGCTCTTTTCTTCGTCGCTGCTGGGGAGTCGGTTCTGCTTGCTGCCTGTGGCACCTGCTGGTCTAGTCTGGTCCCTCTTTCATGCTCAACTTCGCCATGATTCGCCTTGTGTGCGCAGGGCAGTGTGCAGCTAATGGCAGCGCTGCTGAAGCTGGCACCCAGGTCCCTCTTTAACCCTGTACCGTGACAGCATGTGACAGCATGTGACAGCGTGCGACACGCAAGCGGCGAAAAAAGAGGATCTTCGTGGAGCTCCCAGACCGGCCGTGGCGAGAAGCCTAGCGGCACTGAAGGCGAAGCGCCGCGGTGCAACAAAACGAGCAGAGCAGCTCAGCAGCTCTTCGACATTCCTGTGTTCGACGTTCCGAGGCTGAACCACGTCTACGATCACTTCGGCACCGCGAGAGTCTTCCTGCAAACTGCTGCGAAGCTTTCTGGGAAGACGTGGCCTGCTCCTCATCATCAAACCATTGCTGAATTGATGTAATAAATAAATAAATAAAAAATAAAGAAAAAAAGATAAATAAATATACATATATATATATATATATATGTGCTTCCCCCCCCCTCAGTTATCCAACCTTTTTTGGGTTTTCGAGAGTGAAGCTTGCACCGGCCCCTATATTTTGCGGATAGATGAGCATTACAGCCCGTCGAAAGGTCCTAGGAAATAGTGAAAAAGTCTTTGCTCACAGTATTCTCTCGTCGCTGGGGCTTACAGTACATGCTTTTTCCGCATCACCTTGTGCGCTCGAATACTTCCTAGTCTTATGGTTCGAGGCTTCTCCATTATTTGTATTTGATATGCAATACATCTACCCTATATACATACATGAAGTGGGTACTTATCCTACTTTTCCATTGCATTTCCACAGGAGGCAAGGTCTACAAACATAGGCAGAGCTCTATGGGACTTAAGGTTTAGGATTTAAGCATCAAGGCCCATAGGGTTATAAGGTTCTAATCCTATAGAGTTTAGTGTCATAACCCTAGATCCTATATGCTTTAGGGCTTATGGAAAACAGTAAAGGTGTCAAATCCCTGAGGGTGTAGGGTTCCGTTTTTGCAATGCTCTAAACCTTAAACCCTGAACCTTTAACCCCTATAGTAAAACCCTATAGGGCTACCCCGAATAGGGTAGACAAACCCTGTTTTACCAAAACCTTTAAACCCTAGAGGCTTAAATGTTTTTGAACCTAAACCTTCAAACCTATAGCGTGTAAAGGTAGCCTATGCGGTTTGAATACCTAACCCTATAGGGGCCCTATAGGGATTAAGACTTAAACCAGTTGAAATGCCCAAACCTAGGTTCAAATCCCCAGACCTCAAACCTTTAAACGCCTTATAGGGTTTAAAGATTTCAATGCCTAAGCCTGAGGTACCTAAGGTCTGGGCGTTTATACCTTCAGCGCCTATGGGTTTAACTCCTTTGAGTCCTTTACAAATTCCTAAAGGGTTTAGGGTTCGTGTCTTAATGCCTAAACCTTGAACCCTTGAGGTTTAAACTCTATGGGCTTAGCTTTAAATTCCTAAATGTTGAACCCTAAGCCTTGAAAGCTTAACCCTATAGGGTTTAAAGGTTGAGAGTTTAGGTTGAACTGCCGGCTTAAGTTTGAATGCCTAAATCGTAAACCCTAAACATTTAGACCTTAACCCTATAAGGTTTAAACCGTTAAGGGGTTAGATTTAATTGCCGGCTTAGGTTTGAATGCCTCAACCTTAAGCCCTAAACCTTCAAACTTAAACCCTGTAGGGTTCCGAGAGTTTTGAACTTCAATCCAGAGTTTTGAACTTCAAAACTCCGGGATCCAGATTCAAGATTCAAGATTGCAGGAAAAAGTTTCCACGGGATCTTGGATCCTGGATCCCGGAGTTTTGAAGTTCAAAACCCGGATTGAACTTCAAAACTTCTTGTCTCTGACCGTGCTTGACCATTGAGGCCTTGAAATACAATTACATTTTTCACTAAACAAACGCTATTAACTACACAAGATCATCATATTATTAATCAGAATACTGAAGCTTTGAAGTAACGAAGCTCTGAAGTATCCTACCCCCGCCCCTTCCGATAAGATGTAACACTAACCAAACACCAACCAAATAGGTGGATAACTGGGGGGGGGGGGGGGATACAAAAATAGATAAATAATATAAATAAATATAAAAAAATATATATATATATATATATATATGTATATGCCAACCCCCCCCCCCCCCCTCATGGATGCACCGTTTTGGTGGTCCCAATTACATAAAAATGCCTTAATAGCTATATGGTACCCCCCCTCCCCCCTCTAGAGTCTAGCTTTTGCATATATATTTGGATGGTTATGATGTCATACGTGCGAGTAAAATGATGTTTGCTCACAGTATTGTCGCGTCTCCGTGGCTTGCAGGACATGCTTGCTTTTCGCATCACCCTATGCGCTCGAATACTTCCTAGTCTTATGGTTCGAGGCCTACCATCCTTCCTTTTCCATTTGCCGTGTTTGAATGTACAGTGCATATGCCCTATATACATGACGTGGGTTATATGGTTTCTGTGCATTTCCACAAGAGGCAAGCCCTACAAACTATAAACATAGGCATAACCCCATGGGATTTAAGGTTTAGGGAGTTAAGCCTCAAAACCTATTGGGTTATAAGGTTCTAATCCTATAGGTTAATGCCTAAACATTAAACTCTATAGGGTTACACAAGCCCTTCCTACATACTATAAACATGGGAATAACCCTATGGAATTTAAGGTTGGGGATTTAAGCCTCATGCCCTATAGGGATACAAGGTTCTAATCCTATAGGTTAATGCCTAAACCGGGAAAGCCTCAGGCCCTGTAGGGTTATAAGGTTCTAATCCTATAGGTTAATGCCTAAACCTTAAACTCTATAGGGTTTAAGCCCAAAAGGGCTAACCCGTCAGGATTTCAGAGCTAACCCCGAAAAAAAACCCTGAGCCTTTAAAACCCTATAGCTTTTAATGGTTGAACTGCCTAAACCTGAGGCTTCAATTCTAATACTTTATATGCACTTAGACCTAGGTTTGGACATTTATACCTTCAGCGCGTGTAGAGTTACAGCCTTTCAACCTTTTAGAGCCCTATTGGGTTTTAGGGTACTGACCCTAAGGCGTTTAGGGTAGTGCCTAAACCTTAGACCCTATTGGGTTTAAACCCTATAGAGCTAACCCCGTCAGGGTTTTAGAGATAATCCCCGAAAAGCCCTAAGGTTTTTAACCCCTTTAGAGTTTAAGGATTTAGATGCCAGAGCTTGAGGCTTAAATTCTGATACTTTATGTGCATTTAAACCTGAGGGGTGGACATTCATGCCTTCAGCACAGGGTTAAAACCTTTCAACCTTTTAGAGCCCTACAGGGTTTCAAGGTTTTGACCCTCAAGGGTTTAGGGTTAAGGTTTGAATGCCTAAACCTGAAACCTTTGAGGCCTAAACTCTATGGCTTAGGTTTAAATGCCCAGTTCTTCAACCCTAACCTTTATAAGCCTTAACCCTGTATGTTAAAGGTTAAGGGCTTAGGTTTCATTGCCGGCTCAGGTTTAAATACCCAAATATTAAACCCTAAACCTCTAAACCTTAACACTATGGGGTTTAAAGGTTGAGGGTTTAGTTTTAATAGCTTCTCAACCTTGAAACCCTATAGCGTTGAAAACCTTAGGGTTTAAGGTTTAACCCTTAACCCTTTAGGCTTTAAGTCTTAGGGATTAACACCCGCCTGAAACCCTATGGGATTCCGTGGCTTCTCTGGAGAAACCCTACACCCTTAACCAATAGACATTTTAGAGATAAGCCCTGAAAAGCCCTTACCCTCCCCGCCCTCCCCCCCTCCCCCCCCCCCCCCCCCCCGCTGCTTATAAGCAACCGTTTCAAGATGAAGATGTGGTTGGTTTCCTTGTGCAGATGCGAAGCCGTGTGGTTGGTTTCGGGCACAATCTTGGATCCTGGATCTCAGGATTGAAACTGGATTGGCAAGGATTGAGTTTCAATCCGCGGATCCAAGATCCAAGATTCTCCCAAGACCTCTGGGGCAGAATCTTGGATCCTGGATCCCAGGATTGAAACTGGATTGAAGGATTGAAATTTCAATCCTGGACAGGATCCAAGATCCAGGATCCAAGATTCTTCCCCAGGAGTCCCGCGAGAATCTTGGATCTTGGATCTTGGATCCGCGGATTGAAGTTCAATCCTGGCCAGATTCAATCCTGGCCAGGATCCAAGATCCAGGATCCTAGTTGCTGCCCCAGGAGTCCTGGGAGAATCTTGGATCTTGGATCCGCAGATTGAAATTCAATCCTTCAATTCAGGTTCAATCCTGAGGACGTGTGTGTGTGTGTGTGTGTGTGTGTGTGTGTGTGTGTGTGTGTGTGTGTGTGTGTGTGTGTGTGTGTGTGTGTGTGTGTGTGTGTGTGTGTGTGTGTGTGTGTGTGTGTGTGTGTGTGTGGTGTGTGTGTGTGTCTGTGTGTGTGTCTGTGTGTGTCTCTGTGTGTATGTACGAATCAGTGTATGTATATCTGTGTCAAAAATTTATACGTATACATATACATATACATATACATATACATATACATATACATGTATATGCTAACCCGCCCCAAGACCTACCCCGCACGAATCCAAGAGGAAACCAAAACATCCCAAAAAAAAAGCTCGGAGGGCTTGGCCCAAACCAAAAAAACCAAAAAAAACCAAAAAAAACCAAAAAGAAAACAAACCCAAAAACTCACAGGGCTTGGCCCAAACAAAAAAAAAAACACAAAACCCCCCCCCCAAAAAAAAAAAAAAACAAAAAGCAACCCCAAAAACCCAAAAAACAACCAACAAAAACAAAAAAAATCTAAACAAAAACCAAATTCGGAGGGCTTGGCCCAAAGCAAAAAAAACAAAAAAATCAAACAAACAAAAAACCAAAGACTAAAGGGCCCGGGTCATGGGTTCCCCAAAATTTTGGTTTTTGGTTCATTTTTTTTGTTGGTGTTTTTTTGGTTTATTATTATTATCATTATCATTATCATTTTTGTTTTGTACTGCTTTTTTTGGTCTGGGCCAAGCCGTCCGATTTTTTTGTTTTTTTGGTTGTTGGTTCGTTTTTTTTTTTTTTGTTTTTTTTTTGTAGTTTTGTTTTTTTTTGGTTTTTTTGGTTTGGGCCACACCCTCCGAAAGTTTTGTTTTTTTTGGTTTTTGTTTTTTTTGGTTCTTTTGTTAATTTTTTTTTGGTTTTGGGGGAGTTTTGGGGGAGTTTTGGGGGAGTTTTGTTTGGTTCCATTTCCAGGTCACAGTCTCCCGAAACCCCAAAAAATTTGGAGACTATGACCCGAACCCAGAGGACTAGTCTTCCATTTTTTGTTCTGTGCTTTTGGGGCCCATATAGTATCCTTTCATATAGGTTACATGAGGGGTATGGGTTTGGGGTATGGCGAATGTTTCTTAGATTCTACCTCTTCTTTGCATTCCATAGGAGGAAAGCCTTACAAACATTGGCATTTCTTGGGAACCCAGCTTGCTTTTTGATTGTAATTCTCTTCACGTTTTCCTCCCATGGGATGCGAAGAATTAGTACAAAGTGGAACCGTTCTTGATTTTCTTGCATCGCTCCATGCACGCGAATACTTCCAAGTTCCCTACAAGCAAAGGCACTTCTTCCAACCCTGAATATCAAGAAATGATATTTGCTCACAGTGTTCTCGCACCCCGGGCTTACATATGATGTTTTTTACATGTCACTCTATGCCCTCGAATACTTCTTCGTCCTATGGTTTGAGGATTAACATCCTTTCTTCTCGATTATCTGTACATCCTTTCTTGTCGTTTATCTGCATTTGAGATCCAATACATATTGCCCTGTATACATGTATGACGTGGGCAGTTCTTTTACCTTTTCTTTGTGTTTCCATTTTGGCCTCACTTCAGTGTCGCACCTCAGGCTTCTCTTCTGCTTTTATGGAGAGGTTGATCTTGAGGTAGGTCTTGGGGGGGGGGGGGTTACCGTATACGTATATATATATATATGCACATATATACACATATAGGATAGCTCCTAAACCCTGTACCCCTGTCGCGGATCGTGTCACTGAGCTCCGCACGAGAGCAGAAAAAACACAAAAACGGTGGATCCATGAATGGTGGGGTACCATGTATATGTATATATGTATATGTCTGTATATGGTGCATATATGCAAAAATAAATAGATAAAGAAATAGATAAGTATGTATATATATATATATATATGTATATATTTATGTATTTGTATGCTTTTTGTGTTTGTGTGTGTGTGTGTGTGTCTCTCTCTCTCTCTCACAAGTTTTGCTTGTACTATGGGGTTCTGACGTCAAGCATACAGGAAATTGACAGGGCCCCCCGCGAACTGGATTTTATGTCGGCGCTCTCGGTGTGGCACCGTAAGAATATGTTCGCGTCCGGGGCGTTCTCGCTGTGGCGCCATGCGCTAAAAGCGACGCCCTTCTCGGTGTTCTCGTGGCGCCTGCGCCTGCAACGATCGCGGTGTAGATTTGCATGATGCACCGACGGCGACTGGAAGGACTGCGCTTGGCGCATCGGGGCCGCGATTTCTGGTCTTATCGCGAGTTCTCGGGGATTGCGACCTACAGGGTTGGTTCACAACTGAAGTCTGGATGGTCTGCACGCCTTCCTGCATAGCCGCCGGCGGATCTCGCTGTGGCATCATGCGTGCCTGCATCGCACGTCCCACGAGGTATGCCCCGAAGCGTCACCTGCTCACTTCCGGTTTGCCATGTGGACCTCGCGGCTCCAGGCATGAGGTCTAGGAGATAAGAAGCAGCATGTCGCGGCGGAACACCAGCTGGATGGGTTCCAGTTGGATGCGCGACAAAGCCGCGTTTGCAACGTCAACGTGGCCCGTGCGAAGGCTTAGTCGTTGGACCTGCTGTCGTTGAGCAGGCTTTGGGCTCGAAAGCGCCAAAGGGCAATGCTGTTGGCGTGGGGGATTCGCCAAAGGCACGTACGAAAAAAGAAGGCATATGAAGGCTTTCGGCATGCTTTGGGGCTGCACGCTGCCATGCTCCGATTCTTCGGATTTTTCGCCACGGACGACTCGCTTGTGGATGAGCAGCTGCCTGCTGCAAAGCCGTTGGCGGTCGTTTCCCAGCGAGCTTGCGTAGCCTCCTGCTGCTGTGCACGTGCAGGCCCGCAACTCTCAGTCCCAAATTCCAATCCACATACGTACCATCAAGCCTCAAACTAAACCCTGAGCCAATTTTCTCTAAACACCTCCAGACCCTAAAGCTTGAAACCGCACCCCTAGGCTGTAAGCTCCAAAAATTTAAGCTCCGAGTTTGAAACCCTCAAACCTGCCTGCACCCTGAGCCCAGAACCTTCATCGTAAATATGAAGTCCAAAATTTAGCTAATCGGCCCTCTCACCTTTGAACCCCCAAAGGCCCAAAACCAAAAAAACCCATGACATGAGCTTCAGAAAATTTGCGCCGGGACAGCAGCGAACCATGTGAAACAATGATGGGCCTCGGTGTCTGACTACAAGACTTCGCTGTCACGTAACACGTTCGTTGTTATCTCCAGGTGTTGAGAATTCTGCATTGCTACATGCTGTTTGGGGTCGCAATCAGGGGGCCTTACTCAGGGAGTTGCGCAGATGTGGGTTGTGGACACCTCTGGCTGTGCACAACGCAGGAACTTTGTCGGGCCGTTGGCAGTCTCAGAATGGTACGGAAGGCGGCTTTCGAAGTCTCCACACATGGAACATGCATGACCACCGTTGGTATGAAGGCGTGAGCTGTGGCACCTGGAAGAGGATGGCAATGCAATGATAACGTTTTCACTTGTGCGTGTGAGAAATTGCAGTTGCCAATAGAGAGCCATGACAGGAGACGCGTGTTGCTGTGCCCCCGGCTTTGTCAGCGCCAGGCACACAAAAGGCGCCTCCTTGAACATCGAGAAGACGTTTTGTGCCTATGTTGTTGTGTTGTCATGGCTGCGAGGCTGTTTTCTCACGGTTGCTTCCGTCGGCGGCCGTTCGCACGATTGCCGCCGAGCCCGCGAAACTGGAGGCACCATGCGTGTGTGCTTGTGTGGCTTGTGTGGCTTGTGTGGGTAGGATCTAGCAAGCCCAGGAGCCATTAGCGTTGATACCATGCCCGCTTTCGCTTTGAGAGCGTTTGGCTCCGGCTTCTGCTAGTCCTGTGTCACTGCAGATGTCATGCTATACTTCCAGGGGGTGGAGTCGTGAATCTTTGCATGTCATTCCAGACTCCAGACGCACTGCTACCATGTACAATGGCTGCTGCAGCTGTGACTCTTCTGGGCTTGGAGTGTGATTGGGTGGAGGCCAGCACTTGTGTGCCTGTGGCGAAATGATGCTGCGATATAATGAAGAGAAAATAGCAAGACCAGGGCAGTTTTTCGTCCAGTGAAGGTCAGCGAAGAGCGTCCGGCTTAGCGGGATTCAATGCTCTGGTGTTCGGTCCACCCTGGGCCATGCGCCTACTCGAGGCTAAAATTCTTCTGGCACCGGCCACCATGGGCTACAGTGGAAGAGCAGATCACAGATTCAGAGACGGCTTCAGACCCAGGTGCACGGCAAATTTGATTTATGCGTGCATGCTCGGCAAGTTGTGAGGTTCGGATCTTCCTCAACGGCTGCTTCGACTTGATGCATGCCCGAGTCTCGAGAACCCTGAGAGCTGCCAGAAGGAGCGGTTGACACCCTGGAACCAAAAATGTTTTTTTTTTCCAGGTTGGCCACTTCAATGCGCTCAGACAAGCAAAGCGCCTCTTTTTTCAGCAAGGGTACAAGAAGGCCGGCTTTAGTGCTGCTCTCGCTTTTGACCGCGTTCGGCCAGCAGAGCCTTCAGGTGGTTTTGGTCGCCGGCATCCATTCCGATGATGCCATTGCTCGGCACAAAGGTCCGCCCATGATGTCTGACGACGAACGACGCCCGGTTGCAAGATGTGGCAAGCCTTGGGAAGAGCCAACAAAGAAATCGCACTTGACCTGCGAAGCTACCAGGAATTGCAGTGCTAGAGGCTACGAAGTGGGTGGACGAGCCTCTCGCCTGCACGGTCCTCCTCGAAAGAGGGACCAGTGAAGAGATACATGTTTGGTCTGTTATTGTATCCTGCATCCTGACCACTTCGTCTCAGGTTCGTGACGCATTTGCCTTACGTGTCCATGTCTGCGCAACTAGCAGATGCTCTTCGAGTCAAATGGATATGCCATGGCGATGACATGCCAATATGCGAAGGCCGAGGGTTTGCTTCATATGACGTCTCCGTTCTGAAAGTTGCGTGGAGAGGTGGCGGAGGCATGTACAGCGATGCTGTTGAAAAAGGCCGCTTCCAACTGCCCGGAACTCAGCGGCATCTCTCCATTCTGGTGTTCAGGAGCAGGGATCAGGGACGCGCTTGGATCTTGGTGCAATAAGCTGAGGCTGAAGCGCACGGAAGGAATATCCACAACACAGCCCCTTGGCACCTCTAGCATCCGTAGTTGGCTCAGTTGGGATCCTACTGTTCCGTAGTTGGCTCAGTTGGGATCCTGTTGGGTGTCAGCCTGTACGAAGGATCATTCAGCGCCTCATCCGGCAACAGGGCTTGGGAAGCGAAACGGAGGCCAGTGCTACCAAGCCCGTGCATTCTCCTAAACACTTGTTGCAGCCTGGACACCATCCTGTGTTGAGATGTTTCGAGGTGGATGCCATGGAATCTGCTCTCGCCACAACGCAGCGTCTGGGACAGTTTGCAGCGCCTGCTGATCCAGAGCCACCTGGTTCCAGCAGCATGGGGTCGGATGCCACCCAAGCTGAAACAGTTGGCAATTTCAACATGTTCCAACATGTTCCAACAGATTCCAACCGAGGCAAGATGCAAAGCTCCTGACCTCGGCTAAGACGGTGGTATATGCAGCTCAGCTCGATGTCAGCAGAGGTTGACAATCACATTGCGCCTTGATTGCGCCAAGAAGGTGCCGGGCATCTTCGACCTCGTGCACCCCGGCCACGTCAGTATCCTACGACAAGCTGCGAAGCTCGGAGACTACCTGAAGCTCGGCCATTAAACAGGCGGCCAGGGGCGTGTTTTTTTCAGAAGGGCATGTCACATGGCCAGGGCCAGCACCCTCAAGAGCACCTCAAGCACCTCTTAGGCTCGTTGGCCTGTATTCCGACGAGATGGTTCGCTTGCACAGAGGGACGCCACCTGTGTTGACGATGTTGGAGCGAGCTATGGCCGTGCCTGAACGCATGGCCTACGCTGCCATACACCAGCATACACTGCAGCATACATGACAGGCATCACCAGACAAGTTGCAACAGTTTTTTTGTTCCAGTGGTCGGTTAAACGGGACAGCTCGAAATCGGAGATCAGGTGCTGTCAACCCGTTGGGTGGATGATGTGGTCCTGGGCGTGCCATGGAAGATCACAAAGGAGCTCCTGGCCACCATGCCCCTCAGCTGCACGGCAAGGGCAGTCAAAGGACACTCGAAGAGGCAAACCATATATGGAAACCATATGAGCAACTCTGACAGTCTTGAGTTTTCCGCCCTGAGCCGTTCTGAGCCGTTCTGAGCCGTTCTACGATGCATTCTGAGTTCTGAGCTCTGAGGAACATCAGCATGGTGATCGTGGGGAGGCCCCCGGATGGATTGGAGCCAAAGCAGCTCCAGGCTGAGGAGGCAATATCGAGCTTTTCCTTTCGGCCCTCTCCACACATCTTCCCTGGGGATCGTTGCTTTTTCAGAGTTGTCTTCTCCTTTTGTGCCCTCCTCTGGCCTTTTTCGTCGCCTGAAAGCATCTGCGAGGACCAGATGGACCTTGCCCGCTCGCAGGGCATATTGAAACAACTCTGGAGCTCCTTTGCGGTCTCCTCGGAAGCATTGACCCTCGGACCTTCCACTGGGTGCTGGAGTGCCCGTACCTTCGTACACCTCGGCTTTGGCGGGGTAGAAGGGGTCGTTATTAGGGGTTCCCCTAACAATTCGCCATCGTAATGGTTTCGACTTGAGTCACTAGAGTATGCTAGCTCCACGAAAAGCCTTCAAAGCAATGTTCAGTATCACTGCTGGAAAGCGCAGTCGCTCCACAGCGGTGGTGAGCTGGCTGTACAAGCTGGTACGAAGGCAGTTGTTTGGATTTGTTGAGCCTCTACAAGTCCCGCAAAGTTCTACGGGTCGCTGAGGGTCGCAGAACCACCCCTATTATCTCCTTATTCGCTCTTCTGGGTCTGCATCCTAAGCGCTACTGTGGGGGTTCCCGGGAAGGTCTGCAGGGATCCTTGATGTTCCCAGGGCTCCAGTGGGAAAAACTCGACGTCATCAGGCCCTGGGATTCGATTAGAGTGATTAGAGGTGGGAAGCAGCGGGTCTCAACCTGAAGTCTTGCTATCTCGGTCGTGAAAGCCGCTTCCCGCAGTTTTTGATCGACGGCGCCCCTCACTGTAGCTTCTTGTGGTTCACTCGTCATGACCCAGGCACAGATGAGGGACACACGGGAGGCCCTGAAGTTCACCAGGATGTGCAAGTACTGGAAGGTCAACCGTTGCCACCTCGGCGCAGGGTGCAACTTTGCCCATGACGAGGGTGATCTGAGGGATCAACCGGACTTGGTGTCAACCCAGCTTTGCTTCCAGTTTGCACGCAAGGGCTTTTGCAAGAATGGAGAGGCGTGCACGTTCGCACACGGAAAGGGCGAGCTCCGACGCCTGGCAAAGACTGGCAAGTCTGGACATGGTGCTCCGGATCCCAAGAAGATAGCCAAGCGACGTGGCGCAGGCAACCGGCCGGTAAACTCGACGATTGGCTGCGCGGGCAAGCTTCCTTCGGCGACGGCACTTGAAGCGGATCCCAAGCAGACGCTGACTATGGCCACTCCAGCATTGACTGTGGATTCCCTGACCTTCCGGCCGCCACCCGGCCTGGAAAGCTTGGGGGATGCCAGCCCGATCAGTCCTCCACCGGGCCTTCCGATGTTTGTCGTTGCAGAGCCACAGCTGCCGAGTGCCTTTGGAGTGACGCTTCGGGATGGCTTGGAGAGCTCACACCGCAAGCTTCTGCTCAAGCAGTCCAGCAACGACGGCCTTGCCCATGACCTGCTGCTCAGACTGGATGCAACGGTCTCGGCCAAGAGGGACGCGGACGTGGGCTCGGATCTGGGGACCGAGAGCGCAGCTTCCACGGCATACCCTTCAGACCGCAGCGAGCCTGCCAGCCCCAAGGCAGAAGCCTTCTGGTTGTGAGCATGCAACAATTCGAAAGCCACTGCATTGTTCTTGAACTCTGTATGTGTGTGTGATCCTTTTCCATTTTGTGTCAACCTGGGTGGATCCCGGCTAAGCTTGCCTAGCGTGAGAGCAGGCAAGCTGCACATGATTCTTATCTGCCCTAACGGGCTTACGTTTAGTAATCAGATGTTCAAAGTACGCCTTGCATTCGCCCTAAGGCTTTGGCCCGTGCAGCCTGGTGTTCTTATGTGTTCCTTCGTGCAGGCATATGCCGAGCTGTCTGATGTTGATCATGCTGTTGTCAGTCTGCGCAGTCGGAGGCGGTCTTCCTGTACAGTAAAAATCCCGATGGTTGTACATGAGCAGCGGATGTTTCGGCGATTGCGGCGTTGTGGGGCACGCCTTGCTCTTGCAGAGTTCAAGGATGTGGCCAGTGGAGCTCCCTCGGATGCTGAGGTGAGAGAGCAGACAAGGAACCTCTAACTTCGTGGCCCTCATCCCCATGACTAGGGACGGTAGTTGCAATGGACTGAGTACTGTATGTGAAGACAGAGGGGGTTAGTCAGGAAGCAGCGCTTCATCTCCAGATCTGCAGAGTTTCTGGACCGGAACAGCTTCTCGGCATCCAAGCAAAGGCTCTCGCAACAGCTCACAGTCTTGGGTCAGGGAGAGAACGCGCTCTTAATCAGAGGCAAACTCTTGGAGAAAGAGCTGACCTACATCAGTGGCAAGGGCTACATTCCAGAGGACATGGTTGGCAATACTTGGCCAACTTTGCAGCCATGCCATTCATGTGTCACGTACCACGCGCGTGTGTTTTCGAAGTGTTGCGGGAAGTGAGATATATGCTGTCTTGCTGGCAGGCTTGACTGCCGCAGCAGCTGCGAGGCTGAAGGAGCTCTGATGAAAAGGAGCCGCTTTCACTTAGCTCTCTGTTGCCCTGTTGACTAGGCCTCTACCACGTATACCCATGCTGTTGCGAAGCTGCAAGGACGCCATGAGCTCCGCATAGCTCCGCTGTCCCGAAGTACGAAGCACTCCAGATGACATCGCCAAGCAGATGCCGAAAACCTGGCCTGGGCCGATGCTGGGGTAGCGATGCCGGAGAGTGGCAGAGCCCTCGAGAGCCTTTCAGAACCTTTCCGCGTTTCGCGCGATTCCCGGACTTACGGGAGTCTGTCGGCATTTGAAAACCAATTGCTGCAAATGCAGACCACGTCAGAGCACCAAGACCGAAAGCTTCGACAGCAATGACGCGCGCAGCTCATGCCTTGCACACATGTCGAGTGCCAAATCTGGCGTGTCCAAGCACCGACCACTTTGCTTCGCAACAGGCGGCGCCGACGCGTGCGGTGGAGCCTCTGAAGCTCAGCAGGGTGACGGCCTTTAAAATCAGCAGAGCTTATGTGCAGGAGAATCCATGGGATATTTATTTCTATGAACTTCTAGTATCCCATTTTTGGATTTCAATGACCAAGAGAGTCCGGTCCTTCTGATTCTCGCCACTCAGTCACTAAGGCAGAGATTGGTGCTGGATTGCTGAAGGCATCGGCATGCTTGCATCTTCCCCCAGGGATGTTGAATCATGTCAGGCACCGACAGCGCTGCTTGCTGCTCATCTTCAGCTTAGAGATGCCATGATCTCTGCCGAGACTTTGCTTCGCGAGGCCCTGGCAGAAAAATGCAGGGGGTGGGGGTCTGGATGGGTCTGGATGGGTCTGGATGGGTCTGGATGGGTCTGGATGGGTCTGGACAATTCTGTACACATTGGCCACTGGCCACATGACCAACACAGACGTGCAATTGGCAGAATGCAAGTCGCAGCGGCGTGGCCTGAGAAGTGCGAGCAGAAATTCAGATGGACGATGAAGCCAGGTGGTTTGGCCCAAAAGAGCCCCGAGCTTCAAAGCTTCCTTGCATGATACAGTAGCTCTGATAGCTTGCGCTTGCAAGCAGCAATACAAAACAGCCTCCGGATTCCCTGCCATGTTCTTAGTCCGAAAGCTTTCCATGTGTGACACCGTGCCGAGTCTGGAGGCTTCAGTCGCAGTGGGCGGCTAGATAATCCATGGCAATCCCTGACGACATCTTGTCGTCTACAAACTTCTGAAAAAAACTTGGGCAGACAAAGCAAAGCGAGAAAAGAGTGTTGATGCGTTGCAAGCTTTGCAGGTTCTGCGTTGGTCAGCCGTCAACTATTGTATGCGGAGCCGACGTGCTCTTGTGTGACCCTGGAATCGGCAGGTTTCCGATTCTAGATTCTAGCCAGAGAAGCAGCAAAGCTGGACACGCTCACAACGCAACTTAGGTTTATGACATGAGCACAGCGCTTGGTATCTGCTTCCGGATTGTTGGCTGGCAATGCATGTTGATCTAAAGCATCTGTCACTGGTACATCTCATGCCATGGGGCGTGTTGACATTCCTTTGGCTTCCGTCGAAGAAGACGCAAAGGACCTGCGCTGAGCCAGTAAGGCTGCAGTGGGCCGTGCTTTGATGCGCCCCAGCATGAGCCCCCAAAAGTCCCGTTAAGGAACTCCCTCGATGTGCCTGGTGTGGCGACATCTCCAGGCCATGGCATCGCGGTAGGTGATGGCCAGGGGTTACGTTGTTTACATTGTACGGTGCAGTTGCCCAAAGCCAAGCGACTGCATGGTGAGTTTGATGATGAACATGAATGCAAGTGCCAGGAGTGTCTGTGGCTACTGCAAGGTGGGCGATCGATCCGATTCCAACATCTTCCAATGCCTTCCCGGTTGCGTGAAAGCTTGTTTGCTGTCTGAGCAGGTCAGGGCATATTGCGGCTTGGAATGTCAGCAGAACGACTGGAAGTCTGGGCAGGAAGCTCAACGTGCTCCGCTGCTTCCCTGCTGCATAGTTGGGCTTAGACATGTTCTACATTCATTACGCATACCTCTGGAAATGAGGCACCAGACGGCATGTTCCCGAGTGGCACCGCCTGTGGCTAAAGCGGAGGACCGGCACAGAGCAGAGGGACGTGCGATGACGTGCGCAACGACAGTGCAGGGAATCTGCCAGGACACGGACTTCCAGTTCTATGAGGCGCACGCCGCGATTCCACACAAAGAAGCACCACGGAGGGTTCAGCAAAGTCAGCTGAATCTCACAACCTTTGCAGGTGCCCTACGTCGTGCGCCTTGTCGCGAGAAAGCAAACACAATCCATCTCTGTGTCCATCCGCTTTCTGTTGTTCGGGAACTTCCCGATGTCCACCCTGGTCCGCCCCTCCTCCCCCTCCCCCCTCTGCCCCTCCCCTCCCCCCTTTCCCACCCCCCCCTCCCCCCTCTCCCACCCCGTTCCCCCCCCTCCCCTCCTCCCCCCCCGCCCCCCCCGCTCCCCTTTCGAGGCGCTGGGCCATCAACCTGGAGCGGTGGCGGATGACAGCGGACAGCCGAGAGTATGCGTGGCCTGGCCACACGTCAGGCTGAACATCGCACAGGGATATGGGGTCTGCCTGTCTGTCTGTCGGTCTGTCTGTGTGTCTCCCTCTCTCTCTCTCTCTCCTCTATCACTCTGTCACGTGTGGTCTGGTATACTGTGGGTGACTATTCTATTGGTAGCGCTGTGAAGCATTCTTGCTGCAGACTTCATATTGGTCCAGTATGTGCTCGCTTGCCAAGGTTCCTGCTCAGCCGCATTCCCGACGATGATGCCAGAAAGCGCATTGCTTCTTCGAAGTCCTGGAGCGGTAGCAAGAACCCATGTCCCACGAGAGCAGCATCTCACCACCACCCTACCAGACTTATCCAACCAAAACAAGATGGAAGCTCTTCGAGCAAGAAGGGCAGTTCTTCGAAACAGCCGAAAACGACTGCGCCTTTCGGCGGCCGCAGGAGTGCGCTGAAAGTTTCCCTGGCCCAGGAGCTAGCGGTGTGCGTGGCTCAGGTTCAGACTCACGAAGCACAGCTGGTCCATTAGACCTGAAGCCTCAACAGCTGGCCATGCAATGTGCCTATCCATCATCCAAGTAAAGTGTGTAGCTGAGATCAGTTTCTGTATACAGCTTCTGGTTGTAGACTCCCCACATGATGTACATGTCTTATGTGAGGCGTCGGATGGCCGAAGTGCTCACCCAGGCCATCTGGACGAAGGCCCGAATGGCAACTCAGCAACTCAACGATATGAGAAGGGACAGCGTCAGGGTGCGTCAGGGTGAGTGTGCGTGAGAGAGATGGAACACAGGAAGGATTGAGAGATGGAGAACGGCGCGCTGGGAAGGCAGGCAGGAAGGAAGGAAAGAAGGAAGGAAAGAAGGCAGGAAGGGCAAGAAAATGTAGAAGAGCGACTAGAGAGAGTGTTGTGTTGAGCAGGAATGTGGAGCTGAGCCTTTTAGCCAGGGACACTGCTGTTCGCGTGCTTTATGGTTGTGTTGATATTGCGGCGGGTCCAAATCTCTAGTGACTTGGTTCCATGCCGGTGACGATCGGCACCGGATTATGGCTAAATGACTGCTGTTTTACAGTACACATGTTCACAGGAAGCATGAACGACGATGTAAGAAAGGAAGCTGCGCTTTCCGAGTGAAGGTTCAATGGCGGCATGACCCTGCCGCGGCGTTGTTCCGAGCTTCTTTCGATAAAATGAAGGCTTCATGATGAGGACCTGTGGTGAACAGAGGGCCTGCCTTGGCCAGATCCTTGCTGAGGACAGGGATTACTTGCTGCAGAGGGAAGAGTACGCTGAGCCCTTGGAGGTGTCGCCGAGAATCTCTTCGTTGCAGGGTTTACACCGAGGTTTGGACCGGGCAAAAGTATCAAAATTCCAACCGAAGGCTCTCCCGTTCTTCGTTCTTGCGAGGACTGCTCTTCAAGCTGCCTGCTTGGGCACTTTGTCAGGTTCCCCAACTTCAACTTCTCCATGATCGAGGCCTTGTCCTTCCCTTTGCCAGATTGCCAGCTTGCTTCTTTCCTCTTCCCCCTCCTCAGCCTATGCTTTCAAGCTGTCTCCCAGCTCTGGGGAGCGTTACACTCGTAAATCAGGGCTTGTTGGTCTACGTTGTGGATGTCTTGCCGGGACTTGCCTCCTTGGGCTGTGCGCTGGTTCGACTGAAGGTTGAGGGGCTTGGGCATTCGGCTTCTTCTTGGGACCCCCCCCCCCTCTCCCCCTCCCCGAGCCTTTTTGCGCCCAGTTTCGCTTCTTATATGGCCTTTGCGCAGAGGCCCTTGTTCGATTCAACATTGCGTCTGGCCTTTCCTGCATGGAATGCAAACGGCTTCACGTTGCTTCGGCGTGCGCATGTTCCGGTCAAAGCCTCGTCGGTCGTTCTTACGAATGAGCAGAGAGGGTTATCTCTGGTACCCAGGGGCCCTCAATCGCGCGGATTAGTAGACTAGAATGCGTGCTTCTTCAGCTCCCTTTGCTTCGGCAGATCAGTGCAGCTGAAGAGAGCTTGTCTTACCATTGTTCGAAACTGCGTTGTCGCTGTTCAGACAGACACCCACCTGTTCCTGGTCACGCATCCGCTGGCCATCACCGGCATCTACGCGAGCCAAGCAGCTGAGCACAGCCTGTTTCATTGATTTCCCCCTAAGTTGGTTCATGATTTGTGCGAGTGGTGCTTGACTTCCAGGTGGGCCCTTGGCTGACTCCATGCCGGACCCGAGAGAAGCCACGCATTCAGTTGAGCCAAGTTTCTGGCTTTTCTTGTCTCCTTTTTGTCTTCAAACGTCTTCGTTTGCCACCCTGCTGATACAATACACTGGGGATCTAAACCCCGAGGATCTGGACCCCTAAACAGCACTCAATGAGTTAAGTTAGACATGTCAAAAAAAGAGTGCCAAGAACCTGAAGTCCAATATCATGATCAGGCCTTTGCTGAGGAGCTGGCTGCTGCCAAGCTGCACACGGAGCAAAAACAGCCACAGGCCGCCAAATGCAATGAACTCTGTGCTCTGTGGTGGTGCAGTGTTGCCGGCGCCACCGGTGCCACCAGTGCCAGTGCCAGCAGTGCCAATAAGCACTCAAGTGACTCAAGGGGTTCTCTGCAATTTGTTGACGGACTGGCCCGGCAGGTTCAGTCTCCATCGCCCGCATCAGCTGGACCTGCAGCCGGTACCAGTGAGGACAGGGTTTGTTCAGAGACGTTTTGTTGGATTTCATCCAGGGGCTTGGGCCCTTTCGGGCTTAGGGCAGCCGAGGCTCTTCAACCGATGCTCGGCAGGGCTCAGATTGAGCTAATCCGAGACCTGCGCAGGAGTTGGAGGAGGACTCGCGGATGCTCGGGGATGCAGAACTGATCCAGGCGGCCTTTTCAGGAAAATGGGCGCCTCTGGTTCCGGTGTGTGGCGCCAGGTGTGCCAGCCAGAAGAGGCGCAGCAACGACGTGAGCGCCTTCGCCATGTCCACTGCTCGGCATGCTGAACCTCTTCAGCTTGAACCAAGCATCACAAGCATGTGAGCCATCTGAGAGAACAGGACCGCGAACCTAGTAGCCATCTGAGAGAACAGGACCGCGGATCTTCGGAAATGAGCACCGGATAGCAACGGGCACATGAAGGGAGAAAGGAAGTCGTCGACTCGAGTCGTTTCCCGAGGACGAAGGGAGGCAATCCAGGGTGATCACTGCAACCGCCGCGCGACTCCGTGCCGCAGAAAATTGGAGAAAGGCATCCAGCCTCGGCCACACGACAACAGAAAGACATAACAGCAGCAGAGTTTTGCAGATGTGCAAGCTGAGCGAACAAGGACCTTCAACAACGGCCGGGTTGTATGTATTGTGGCGCAAGTATAGCCCGAGAGTATTCGTGCTCATTGTAGAAATGGTAGAATGTCGCATGGTGCACCAAAGCCACCAAAGAGTAGAGACACAAAGCAAATCTTGAAGTAATCCCATTGTCGGCTTTGGCGGCTCAGCTCATTCGGTCTTCATCAGCACGGTAGACAATTTGGAAACGACGCATGTGGACGGCCGGAAGAACAGTGCTGGAGCACACACTTAGCAATTTCTGCAAATATCGTCCTAATACAACTCCAAAGCAATTGTGGTCACGGCCCTTTACAGCCAACCCGGGCCGTGTGGCCCTTCTATGGCTCCCGCCCCATAGCGACGGCAAAGAAGGCATGGGCAGGTTTGAGCATTGGGCCCAGAGTCGCCCTGACACTTGCCCAAAGTTAAACTGCAACGGATGCTTAAAAGGCCTGCTTTGAGGCTTGAAGGCTTGTGCTGGATGTCTTTTTACCTTGCAACGATCTGCCACCAAGGAAAGCACATCAAAGGCTGGCTATGCAAAACACGCAACTTCTCTCGAATGAAGATGCACTCTCTGGCAACGTTGTTGGGGCTCTAAATCCCTGATCGCGGTATTCGCAATTGAGCAGTTGACAACGTGACTACTCAGGTGGCAGCGCAGCTTCAGCCGGAGGCCCTTCGCGAGGTCGAAGCTTTCTGGGTCGACAACAGCGAGCTGAAGTCCGAAAGCCGCGGGATTGCTTACCGCCGTAGCATGAGCCTGTCAGACAAGGAGCCGAAGAAAATTGCCGAGTTCAACACCGTGGTTCGTGGGATTCCGCACGAGCACTCAGCGTGGCTTCAGGTAGACGGCTTCTTCTTGCCGATGAGGGTAGGGGGAAAGGATGTGCTCAGGAAAGTATGGTGGTCCCGAGCAGATGTCGAAGACCACATGGCTATCGGACCGTCCGCTGATGCGGCGGCTGAGGAATTCCAGCGACACCGCAAGCTGGTTGAAGAAGAGGTGTGGGGGCGGGGGAACACGCAGGAGACAAGCCTGCTGGAGGCCGTGGCCAAGAGTCCCGAAAGCCCGGCCTTAGCTCGACCGTTGGTGGCGGGCACGGGTTGTTGGTACGAGGTGGTTTGTGAAAGGCTTGTCATCCGTACGGCTCCCAGCCTAGAAGCACCCATGCAGGGCACCCGGCGGCGTGGTCAGAAGTTGGAAGTCTTCGACTGGGATGCTTCGAGGACGTGGAGAAGGATTTCTACCGGCTTGGGGCCTGCTTGGGTTCTGCTGGATTCTGAGACAGGCCCTGTCCTCCGGCCAAAGGATGTTCCATTCTCGCAGCAGCCTTTGCATCCTCTTTGCCAAGCAGCAAGGGAAGGAAGCCTTCCGGACATCCAGCGCTTTCTGTCCGAAGGGCTTTCAGTGAACGCACGCGACGTCGACGGACACACGCCGTTGATGCTCGCCGCCCAAAACTTTGGTTGGGAAGGCTTTGTTGCATGCGTACTACTTCTTGAGGCTGATGCTGACCCGAACCTGAGTCTACTTCGTACAGATGAAGCGGCGCAACGTGAGAAGCTGGTCCGGCTTGAGCGAGAGAAGCGTGCTGCCGCTGAGCGTGAGGATTTCGTGAAGGCTGCCAGCATCAAGACCGAGATCGAGGTCTTAAAGAAAGACCTGCAGGAGCCCGGCAGCACTGCGCTTGCCCTTGCCGGTGATACAGCTGCCGCAGAACTGTTGAAGATGATGTCAACGGGAAGTCTATTCTGTGACACGCAGAAGTTGCACGCAGTCTATGATGAAATACGAGGTCTGCCAGGCTCTGCATGTAAGGGAATACCTGGCAGGGTTGAAGCGCTGGTTCGCCTCGCGGAGTCCAAAGTCGACTCAAAGCCGCAGCCTGCGAAGCACAGTGAAGCCATGGAGGCCTTGATCGAGGAGCCTGCAAAAGCAACCGCTCAGCCTACCGAGCCTATTGAGCCTGCTCAGCCTGCTCAGCCTGCTGAGCCTGCTGAGCCTTCTGTCACCGTGCCACAAGACACCACCTTGGTGGAGTCCTTGGATGAAGATGACCTTCCAGTGCTTGACACAGAGGTCGAGGAGCAGTCACGCGGTGTCGTCTATCGGGTTGTGCACGACAAGGCTGTGGTGTATGAAGAGCCCTCGCTGTCTGCAGACGTCTTAGGCCAGCTGAAAAGGAATCAGTTGGTGGAAGTGTTCGACTATGACCGTTCCAGGTCATTCGGTCGCGTAGAAGTCTGCCATCGAACCACCCGATTTCGAGAGAAGGGCTGGGTTCTGTTCCAGGATGAGATAGCCGGCGACCTGCTGAAAGCGTTTCGTCGGTAGCTGCAAAAGTGCCCAACCAAATCGCCTCCTGTGCGTGCTCCCGCAATTGCTTGAGAGCTACCATGAACTGGGCTGTGTGTCGCAATCAGGCCCTCGTTGGGAAGTTTGCATACTACAGGACCCGCTGTCATGCAACATAAGCCTGAGGCCATAATCGGGAGAAGCAGCACCTCGGAACGTGATCCTGTTGTTTTCTGGAGGACCCTGGGCAAGACCTCTGGACGGCAGCAGCAAGCTTGGTGCTCGCGAATCGCACTTCGACAGGATCGTCGACACACCGTGAAACGGCATGAAATCGTTTTCTGAGCCACTGAGCCTCTTGCCGGATGATGAGAAATAGTAGACTGAGATGGAGCCAGATCGTGCTGGGCCAAGAGGAGGCCGGCCTTGGGCCTTGTGGGTTCAGTTCGATTTCAAAGAGTTTGTTAAATCGTTGTCAGCTTTCGCAGACTCAAAACGCGAGAAAGCGAGTATGCCCACGTTTCGAGGTCTCCGAAGCTGTTGCCGACAGAGCCAGTCTCAGCCGGGGGGGGGGTGTTTGCCAGTATCAAGCTCATGGGACTCAGGGGCCATTCCGTGCTTGAGCTGCTCTTGACAGGTGCAGAACGCGATGATCCTGGCAGGTGCGGCTTCAATGGCTTCAAGCCTGGAGCCTATAAGGCCTCTGGAAGTGCAGCTGGCCAGGGCCTCCAGATCCAGGAGGCATCCGCTCTGCGTGGCTGGCCGGCCGCAGCCCAGGCCGTACCGGGTCTTATGCAGCGAAGCTCGTTTGAGAGCTTTGAGTTCTGTTTTTCAGATTCAGGTGGAGATGCGACGTCCACCACTGGAAGGACACTCACATTGTTGTTTGCAGTGGCCTCGGGACTCGAGCCTCGATGCGGTTGCTGTGGACAGCCCATGACAGCCCGCTCTCATGCTTCGGCTGGCGGCCTCGTTGAAACAATGTGTTCCTGTGATGATGATGCCCGCGATTTGCCAAATTTGACAGTTTATACTCGAAGGACGAGGGGGAGGCTCCTTTTGTGCACTTTTTGGTGTTCTGCCCATGTCGGGTCTGTTGAAGATCGTTCCTCTTTATGCTTGGAGTATCTTCGAGTGACTTAGACGTTTTGTGAACGACATAGAGCGACCTCTCCGGCCAGCTGACACTGACAATGCAAGGTCGTGGGCCGCCTGATGAAACTGTCGACGGTGAAGGCCTGTCATATGGCGTGCGGTAGCCGTGTTTTCGTTGCTGGCTTCTTGCATCATCCTGCCTCTTGCTTGCTTCAACTGCCTTACCCGCCTACCCCCGAGGATTTGAGCTTTGCAGATCTGTTTTCAGGTGAGTTCCAGCGTACGCAGGCAGCAAGATTCCTGGAGATCGTGACCTTTCGGCATTTGTTTTGCTGGCGCAGCCTGAAACCACTACTCTTCTTCGACATTCTTCGATTTCCAAATTTTCTGAGGACAGCTACGACAAGGCCTTGGACCATCCCGAGCCCGAGTTCATCGAGGCAGGACATGGCAGGACAGCTGTTAGACCGCCGCTAGGGCTTGTGTCTCAAGACCTACAATTCAATGAGTTCCTCTCTGCAAGGTTCCTATTCTGCAATTGCTTCCCGAGAAATGGCATTCGGACTACATCCGTGCTTGTGGAGGCGCTCTTGCTGAGGTTGGTTGGAAGCTCTGGGTTTCTAGTTGGGCCAAGTTATCTGAGGCGGCGTGCGTGGTGACAAGACACGGATCAACGACGCAGGCCCCTACAGGCCTGCGTGGCACGAACATGTTGCGGTCTCATCGTGGGCTCGGGGGCTGTGCCGGGCCGTGCAGGCCTCATATACCAAAAGTCTGAGATCCAATGTCCTTGGGCCGCAGAGAATCGCAGAATCGCAGAGAGGCCAAAAAACAGTCCGCTCTAAAGTGTTGTGCATCGCAGAGCAACTCTGATGGGATCCGGCACCGATGCTGGCTCTTCTCGGAGGATCGCCGATGTAGTCTTTGGACTTGAAAGGCGATGGAATTGTGCGATTCCATAGCGCTTCGTAATCCACTTGTCTGACCACTGCCACCCCAGCAAACAACAGTTGCATCCAAACTCTACTGAGAACGGCAGAGGAAGTCTGGCCAAACTCAGCGCACTGCCGCCATGGAAGTGCCTTCCGGTGCTGCTTGGTGGCCAAGCGCTCCAAGCGGCCCAAGTGGCCCAAGCCAGTTTAGGCAGGAGCCCGCGTGCGGGGTCTCAAGAAGAGGTTCCACAAGAGGCGTTTCAGGCTCACGGGGCTGGATGCGACGGTCCATGGCCACCGTGGTCATGTTGCTGCCAGAAGCCGCCGTTGGGCAGACTGACAGCAAGGCATGCCAATGTGACTTTGCGGACAACAACTGGCTCCACCAGCTGACCTCCATGCTGCAGCACATTGGAGACCTTCCGAACACGTTGAACTCCGAGAGTCCTTCAACAAACTGGATCCTAAGTCAGTCATGTGAGGAAGATGCTTCGAAGTTTCCAAACACGGATATAGTGCTGGACCTTCAAGGCCAGGGCGGCCAGGACATGAAGTGCCTGCCAGAGCAGACGGCCATGTCAATGGTCTGTGCTCAGCATTGGATAGCCAAGAAACTTTGGGTTAAATGGCGCCTGTTTTGAGCTTTTTGTTTCTGCATTTGCAGAGCTCTAAGACATTGTTGGTGTGTGCGTGTGTGTGGGTGGGTCTCTCTCTCTCTCTCACAGGATTACGTGTAGGGCGGGGATATATATTTTTTTTGAGATATTTTATGGCTTTTCGACCCCAAGGAAATCCTTGATGGGAGTTGTGAAGTGGGTGACGAGGATCAACGAACTGCTTCAGCTTGTGGCTGGCTGCATGGATGCTCACAGCCCGATTCCTTTCCGGGCAAACGACTTTCAGACGTACTTGGAGCGATTTGCTGGCGGCGTCCCGCCACCCCAACATCCTTCCTTCGTACAGACGCTCGCGTGGCCAACCAAAGCAAGAAGGAAAACAGCATCTGAGGCGAAGCTCCCGTTTCTGGGCTGCGTACCCCTGAAAGATCCGGCGTGCTTCCCGCAGTACAATACTAATCCCTTTGAAAGCTGCTCCGAATGTTGCAACCGGAATCGTGGGCCCACAGGTCAGGTTCAGTGTTGGCAGTCGGGCTTTGACTTTGCGCGGTGCTGCAGCTCCGACGACAGCGTGGAGCTCAGCTCAGAAGTCTCGTCGAGCTGCCCGAACCCGGACGCTACTCTGCAGAAGAGCTTGGAAGAAGAGAGGCAGAAGCAAGAGGAGATGTCCAAGGCGCTTGCGAAGCAAAAGGAGGACTTGCAACAGTGCCGGGAACAGCAGGCCTCAACCCAGGAGCAGCTGGCGGAAGCTCAGAAAAGAAAAGCCGAGGCGGCCGAGGCAGAGGCTGCCGAGGCCGAGGCCATGAAGGTGGAGAATGCGAAGCTTCAAGAAGCGAAAGAGAGGGCGGAGGCCAGAAAACGGTTTTTTTTGCAAAAGGGCGCTTGCTCCCTTTGCCAAGCCTTTGGTGGTTCGTGCTCCGCTTTTGTCCCGCTTTTGTCCTGGTTTTGTCCCAGGCTGCCGCTGCCGAAGCGGAAGACCTGAAGAAGAAGCTTGCCGAGGCCAGCGCGCAATTGAAGCAGGGCGCAGCAGAGGTGGAGAAGCTCCAAAAGGCCGCGTCGGCGGAGGACGTGAAGAAGCTCCAAGCCCAAGTGAAGGAAGTGGAAGCAAAGCGAGAGCGAGAAATGAAGAAGCTCCAGGAAGAGCGCGACGACAAGGTCGCACAGATAAAGAAGAAGGACTCCATCAGTCCCGGCTACAGCGGTACAGCCAAAGCTTCAGTTGCATGGACGCAGTGTGTGCGGTAGTGTAGCGAGCAACTCTCTGGTTCACGGCAGCAGGACTCAGAAATTCAGAAGCTGCAGGCTGAGCTCAAGGAGGCTTACGCTGCAGATTTTGTCGGAGTATCTCCCTTTGGTCTTTGGAGAGCCCGCTCCCAGAGAATCCTGCAGAGCGTCCTGCGGAGCGTCCTACAGAGATCTACAGAGAATCTTCAGTAGCACGGAATGGTGGATAGGTAGCCTGCTAGATTCCGAGATTTCGTACGACTGCAGGCTGGCCAAGCCAAGCAGCTTCAGACCGAGCTCCAAAAGGTGAAGACCGACCTTGCGAAAGCGAACGAGATGCTGGGCTGAATGCTGGGCTGCGTCATTGGTCCTAGTGGTTGCGAGGGGGGGGCAGGGGGGGGGGAAGGTGGGGGGGGGAAGGCGGGGGGGGGAAGGGGGGAGGGGGGGGGGGGGGGGGGGGGGGAGGGGGGGGGGGAAGGAGAACGTCGGGCATTTTATGAGTATTACAGGTGTGGCCCGCGATATTGGTATTACCACGCCGGGCGGGAACAAAACGCCCAAGAAATGTGAAAAACCATGCGCTCGCGGGCTACAAAGTAGAATGAAAGTAGTGAGCCCGCGTCAAACAACTTAATGAATGAAACAGGGAATAGGACAAAGAACCTGTTAAAATTTAAAATTTAACAAATTCTTGCACGAGTTCAAAAAAATTAGTCTGTTAACGGGGTGAAGATGCAAATATTGTTGCTAGTGAACCATGAAGTGAACAGATTATAGTCGTGCATTCGCGGAGTCACGCGCTCACTTCGCTCACTTGAAATATCTTGTGATCATTAATTTCTGTATTTATTAAGGAGAAGTGACCCCAAATCAACAAGAATTAGCAGGGTTTGTGCATCAATACTCTTTGACATGACATTGTTGAGGTCTTTCGGGGGTTCGTTTCACTCACTCTCTTCTGCAAATCCTATCCTTGATCCTTCTAAGGAAGTCCAAGCAAGACTCCAGCGAAATTCAGAAGCTTCGGGCAGAATTGGAGAAGAACAAGGACAAAGCTGGCCAGAAGCATGCGGCCAACGAATTGGAGAAGCTTCGTGGCGAGAACTCCAAAGCCGCTCAGCTCAGCAAGCCTGCCTTTCCGAGTTTCCCTTTCTTGCTTTGTGCTGCTTTGTCTTTTGGAGTACCTTTGACAGTTGCCCCACTGCGCTCGCAGCAAGGCAAACGAGAAAGCCAAGCAGGATGCCGCCAGCATCCAGAAGCTTCAGAACGAGCTCGTAGCGCAGAAGCAACAGTGTGAAACAGAGAAGAAGAAGATCAGCGGTGATGGGGCCAAAGTGGCTGCCGAGTGCCAAGCAAAAAACAAAGCCACTGAAGCTGAGCCCCTGGCCTGCAGTCAATGTGGCCAAAGCTGGGGAGTCTTGTTTGTGGAGACAGGGAGCATCCTTCGCAAAGAGAAGTTGCAGAAATTGCAGTAGCGCTTTCTTGCCTCAAGATCACGTTGCTTGTCCGGTCTTGACTAAGGCTGCAAAAGCTGCAGGCTGAGATGAAGACAAGGCTGGTGGCTGCAGCTTCACGTAGTTACTTCATGCGTGTGGCATAGTTTGTTCTATCCACCGACAGGGGAAGGCATGTGCTACATCTGCTGCATGTCACTGCAGGCAAGCGGAGAAGGAGCTCTGCAATCCATTGTCTCGGACATCCGACGAGTTGCAGACGGAGCTCAAAAGCCTCCTCGGCATGGGTCTACGCTGAAAAGCCCTGAAGGCCAGACTTGTTGAGCCGACCACCCTACGCGCAGCCCGAACCCAGATGGCAACCGCTTTGCATCCGGTACCGAGTCACAGCACATTGTTCTCTCGTAGCAGGTTTGTCGTGTCGTAGATCCCTGCACATGTTTTGCACGAGTCGGTCCTCTTCCAATGCTCATACTTTTTGTTTTCCTTTTTGTACTCGGGAAGACTGCTACAGCAGTCCTTGATCTGCTGTTTCGCACTCTACACATGTTCTCAGACATTCCGCTTGCAGGCGCATTTGCGCCCTTGTGTGCAAATATTTCAGTTTTTGTGCCACTCGTTTCTCTGCCATTGCAAGCGTTTGCGAGGTGTGCCAAAGACGCGCGCAGACTGGGCAGGTCGTGATCAAGCGGAGCGTAGCAAGCTCAAAGTGCTCAAGGCCCCACCTTTGTGGGTGCCGTAGAATCAGAATCCTACCGTGGCCGGAGGGGACCCGAGGACCCTGAGTTGAGCAGCCGGCTTTCGCACAAGAATCGCTTGATTTCGAGGTAACTGCCAGATGTGGCTGTGTCTCAGGTTCGCGGTCAATGTGTGGAAGGGTGTGAAGTTCAACTTGCTGGCCATCTTCTCATTGCACTTGTAATGGTTCTGTTGAGAACTCTGAGACATGGCCACATCGTGATATTATGTCGAATGACCTCAGCTCACGCCCATGCACTGCCGTGCTCGTCCAGATTCCCTGAGAAGTTGCTGACCATGAATGTGTCTTGACATGTCCGAATATGTGGGCTGTAGCTTGAGCACGAACTTTGACGCACGGACCCCTCAGGGAATCAATACGTGCACCAACGCAGCCAAATGCGCAAGCATGAAACCAGCGTGCAAGCACCATCCCGCCAATAACCACTGAACCCCCCCCTGTTCCCTCTGAAACCTAATCGCTGTTTTCCTTCTTGAACCAAGTTTTCGTTGGCTCTTAGCGTCTTCGCATGTCTTAGGAGCGAGAGCGGAGAGGAGAAGCAGCAGACACGTGCGCAGGAAGGAAGGAAGGAAGGAAGGAAGCAAGGAAGGAAGGAAGGAAGGAAGGAAAGAAGAAAACGAGATAAGACCTGTGCAAAGCAAATCCAACCAATCTTAATGGAGCAGTTTGCTTTCGAACGCTGTTGAAGCTTGTTGAAGACTGAAGAGTGGACAAGTTCGGAAACTAATGCCACACAAGGCAATGAGCGTTTGACAAGTTTGACATGGCCGGCTCACGGGGCATCGGCGTGGAAAGGCACAGCGGCGCATCCGGTGCTCGGACGCGCAGCGGCAGTCGCCGGCGTAAGATCCAGGCAGAGCTAGAGGCCCGCAACCGGAACTCCAAGGAAGTATGGGAACTGCAGCAAGAGTTGTTGGCACACGGCGCGAGTCCACCGCTGATGGACGCTGCTCGCCAGCTGTTGCAGGCAGAGCACTACAAAGCCATTGTGGAGGAACGGTCGCTGGATGGTTTGTGTGGGTACCCACCTTGCAACAAGCCTACCCAAGCACTGCCAGCCCACAAGCGATGGTCAGTGAATTACTCTTCTAGGGAGGTGGTCAGCACTGAGGAAATCCGGAAGTATTGCGGCCCTGAATGCAGAAGGGAAAGCTACAAGTTCTGCACCAGCTTGCAGCCCGATCCTGCATATCTTCGTCCGGAATCTGCCGTGGTGCGTGCACAAGAAGCCATTGCTGGCAGGCAGTTGCCACAGCAAGCCGGCAAGTCTGGCGGAGCAGCGTTTGCGGAGTCGGATTCGAAGGAGCCGAAGGAATCGCAAGCTCTTGCAGAAGAGACGCAAGAGCGAGTGTTGCCAAAAGTGCGGCCTCGAACAGTGGTTCGATTCTCGCGAAGCAAGCAAATCTACACGGTGCAATGCCATGAGTACGACGGTGGTGGTGCATTGCCGGATGTGGCCCCGGTCAAGGACGAAGCCGTCCACGAATCTCGAGATCCCGGTTCTACAGGCCTCCTGGGGTCATCTGTGCGAGAGAGACCAACGGATATGGCCAAAGCAGAGCAGGAAGGGCCGCCGCGGACGGACTCCCGAGACGAGCCAGATACGCTATGTTCTGATGCCAGTCTGGACCGTGTGGACGAAAGCAGTGTACTTGCCTCAGTGTGGGGAGGGGCTTGATTCCGCTTAAGTCTCTCTCTACTATTGCAGGCATGCACGAGTCACTCGTTGACATGAACACCTTGGCATGTGCAATTGTGACACCATCCACACGGAAGATACGTTTTCGGACAGAGGCATGCGGGGAGCCAATCGGACATATCCACAAGAGCTTTATATTTTCTTGCCTCTCCTGTCATCATCCCTTCTTGAGGGAGCGGAAGGGGTCGACAGGACAAGACTGGACAACAAAGGAAGTTTGATTTATGATCTAGACGAGCGGCCAGAGACCTCGTGGCTAGTGCCTACTCGGCTTGATCTTGGCTAGCGTGCAGCGTTCAAGGATGGGGACGACTTGTACGATCACAGTGCCTCGGCCTCGGCAGCAGGAAGATGTATTTGGCTCTTCTGGAGCAGTCAATCCTGAGGTGAAGCCCAACGGCAAGTCTGCATCCTAGAATTCTGACATCCCCTTTCTGATTGGCTCCCGTGCTCCGCTGTGATCCACTTCTCTACCGCTCAAGGCCTGACCTGGCATGGGTGAGGGCTTGGGGAGCCTGATGCTTAGGAATCCAAGTTCAAGTCTTCATCCACGGCCAAGGTTTCAGCTGTCGAGCTTTTGGATGTACAGGTACTTACTTAAAAAACGTGTCCTGCCACGCTAAGACTCTGAGCACTTGGCTGAACGAGCCGGCTAGGACCATCTTGACAGGCCCGGCACTCATTGTTGTGCTTTCTTCACAACCACAGTGGCTGCAGATGGCTGTAGCGCGACGGAACACATTCGATCAGACCGCCATTAAAACCAGCAATGCCGAAATCCAGCTGGCGTTGGGAGACCATTAAACGCCTGACAAACACGACAAGGGGTCGGAGGTTTGCTTTACGCCGGAATGCCGAAGCCAGGGTTCGCCTTGAAGTAGCAAAGTTTTCCGTTCCTGCAGGTGGTGCAATTCCAGATGGCATGCGGGAGGAAAGGCGGCCTGGACACAAGGCCCATCGGAAAGAGAGCAAAGTGAGACTTTGGGCGAGACATCTCCATGTCTAGTTCTGTTTCGCATGTGGAAGGGGCACAAGCGTGTGCATGCTTGTCCGGCCCTTCAATCCCCACCTCGGGTCTCGCTGGGAAATGCTACGCAGGGTCGGCGAGACCTTCTCGTCGAGCTGCTGACCTCCCGACTTCCTGGGGACTGTCTGTGGGGGTTTCTGCGATTTTTGCAAGATGACCACAAGCCTAGGCAATCTGACTACAGCAAAGCGCAGATGCAGGAGCTATCCTTTCTTGCAGGGCAGCTGTATGAGCTCGTGCTTGCCTGAGTCGGAAACTACCCGGTTGAACCAGCACATTGAAAGTGCAGATGATTGACAAAAGAGAAGGAGCCCAGCAGGACGTAAAGGTTCGCTCTGGACCCAAGTGCGAGATGATCTGAAGTATTGGTGCCAGGCATCGTCTTTGTCGGTGCACCAGACGTTGCCCTCGGTGACGGAGCACCTTCTTTACGACCTCCTAGCAGCGACTCAGCTTGGCTCAGGTTGACCTTAGATGACCTCAAGCACTTTAAGCACCTTAAGCACAGCATCCCAGGCGTTCCAAGCTCTAGGCGTATCTTGCAAACGTCGGATGCTGATACCACACAGGCCATCCTGATTCGCCAGCTCTATGACAGCAACACTGCAGGAGGCAAAGCCCGCCGCTGTTATTCGTCGTGTAGAGAGGTGTAGCTCGCCATCCCGGGCAGCCGGGGTCGTGCCAGGCATGCAGCCCGACAACTACGTCCTGGGTGTGTTGGATCGTCAAACCAAGGAGTCTCTGAGTGAAGACTTTCCAGCTACTGCGGGGACCTTTGAAGCCTTTCAACGCCCTCTCGGTCTTTCACAGGAGGCAGCGAAGGCACTTGGCGTCACCAAGAAGGCGGCAGTGTTTTACTGTCCGCGTGCCATGGCAACTCGACGACTCGACGCCGTGCGCAGGAGCTCGAAGTGCTGCAGGCACTTGTACGCACAGCTCCAACCTAGATGCAAAAGCCCGTTGCCTTATGTTGCTTTGACGAGAGCGGTTCTAGAGCGTACAGCATCTCTCATAAAGTGCCACCTCCACGCCTTTCTTGGTCAAAGACGAAGTAGGTCATGGATGTCATATGGCAGTTGCAGACATACCCAGGCTTCGCAGTACGTAGGATGAACGAGCAGTCCGGAAGAGTAGCTCAACACGTAAAAATGGTTGGTCCAGTCACAGATGTTTAAAACGAACTGCGACAAACACGTAGATGTGGTGACCATACAACTTTCGCAGAAGACTTCCATTGCCGTGAGCAATGATGGCAACGTTTCGTTCGCTTCGAGGTGGGCTGATGTGGGCTGCTTTGTCGTGGAAGCTTCACCTGTTTGCCCTGCAGGTGCCAGCAGGCCACTTGCCGCTCTCTCCTGGAACCAGCGCGGAGCAGGCCGCTGAAGCTTGTGACAGGCTTGTGAGGTGCGGTTGAACCGAGATCCACATGCTGAGAGGCCTTCCTCTTCTGGGCACCAGATGGCACAAGACAGGCTGAAACACTGTGCAGGGGCAGTCGTGTTCTTTGCAGCTTGCTGCAATGCCTGGGACCTGAGTTGCTGCTGATGACAGCACCGAGAAGATCAGCGCGGGCCTTATTTCCGGGGGTGGCACGCGAAGGATTCAACTTGTGACAAGTGGAGCCCATCGCGACGCGAGCCGGGACCGAAGGCTTCCACTTCAAGCTCAGAGATGGCTCTCGCAAGACTGCCAGGGCCGAAGACGACAACTGGAGTCCAAACAGGAGTCAGCTGCACCTGAAGGTCTCGGTGCCATTGGGCGTCACAGTGCTGGAGGCTCTTGATGGCCAGCAGCATGCTAGAGGTCTAGTCCCATGTCATGGACGCAGTGATGACCATCAAATCACCAATCATGTCTTGACAGCGTTGAAGGCTGCCCACATGAACGAGGCACGGTACGGTACGTTCTTCGATCAGACTGCAAGAGTCTGACACCTCGAGGTGGACCTGGAGGGTGCTTGCGAAGCGTCGCTGGCATGCTCTACCTGCCACGTCATTCTCAATGAGGACTCTTACACCATCATCTCTTGCACCAGGCGCGGTGGTTTTGAGTGGCACAATAATGCATGATTCCAGGACACGTACGAAAGTTGCGGGGAACCTACTGAGAAGGAAGAGGACGCGAGAATGCACGGATTGCATAGTATGCAATTCGTCGGTGGTGTGACTTTATAAAGCCGACCTTGAACCCCCCTCTAAAACCCTGTAACCCGCAAACCCCCAACCCTAAAACGCTACAGGCCTCAAATCCTCAAAGCCAAAAGCCCTGAACCCTGAAGCCTTAAATCCCTAAACCAGTAATTTTAACGCTACGCGACCCGCCTCGGCCCGGCCCAGCGCATCCGCGTGAGCATGGTGATTCCGCAGCGCCCAAGTCGCTGGACGCCAAGCAATAAGGGTTGGGTTCAGGGTTTAGGGTTCCGGGTTTATGGTTTAGGGTGGAGGGTTAGTTTAGGGTTGAGGGCTTAGGGCTCAAGGTTTATGGTTTGGGGTTTAGGGTTTTTGGCTTTAGAGTTCAAGGTTCAAGGTTCAGGGTTTAGACGGTTCGGCTTGGACAGGATTCGTCACCTACTGCTCACAGTTGAGGTGTGGGTTCTCGGCAATGGGGGCGAAAAGGGGCAGGGCGGGCAGCGGGGGGGGTGGCCGGGGGGGGCAGGGCAGGGGGGCAAGGGGGTAGAGAGGGGGTGGGGGGGCAGGGCCTGCTAGGCGGGGCTTCGACGCGCCTGGTCCTGACGAACCGTCCGCTTTCAGATCGTGGTTTGTTTACCACGCCCTAAACACCCCCAAATCCCTAAAGCCCGTACAGCCCACTGCCAGGTACCCTCGTACTTGTCAGAGAGAAGAAGAATGATAAACAACGACACAAAAGGCCGATAAAGATGAGAAACACAAACCCAACCCAAACCGTTCGATCGAAGGAGTGTTCCCGTGCGTGACAGGACTTGCTGGACCTTGCCCCTTGCCTGACACCCACCTCGCGTCTCGCATGTCAGGCATCTTCCACACAAAAAGCCAGAGTCCAGTCCTTCCACAGACATGCTAAATTGGCAAACTCTCAGATGCCAGGTTGTCGTTGACGAGAAGCTAAAGGACCACACTGTGACCCTGCCTGCCATGACCCTCAATTTCTACGCCACATTCTAAGTTATGCCAGCTCAGGGCCCCACACTTTGCAAACCTCATGCGTGGGCTCTTTTTCGCCGATTGGAAACTCGAGGTAGATGGACATGTCCCGACGCCTCACTGAGAGCGACCAGCCCTCCCGGATGCAGTTGCAACGGTTTTAGCTTAGTTTTCGGGCTTCGAGTTCAAGGGCAGTACCTGGCCCTCAGACCCACATGCGTCAGCATGCGTCAGCCTTGCCAAGAAGGAATGGTGCATGTTCGTGCATACATTGTTGACTTTGTCGTGGAGCATGAGGGTTATCTTGTCTCCTTCTTAATCTGCTGCATGTTCCAGCTCTGCCCAGCGGGTGTCCTGTGATTTGCAGTCGCTACATGGGCCACGATCATAGAACCATCTCGAGTGTGTAGTGCCAACTAGCACACATCATCAATGATCCTGGCTTCTGTTTCATATCAGGCATGTCTGCCTCGAAGATGTATTCGGCAACAGTACCTTGAGAGCTAGGAAATCGTGACAGTGACTTCAGTGACTTCCATGGCAATGGATTCTTCATCCCATCGAACAGATGAAGCTGTCTGTGCTATGGCATTATCCAGGAGGCAGCAGTGGGAGCTGACATGTGCAGGGGGCTGAAGCTGTTCTATCTAGGCGGGCTTCGTAGCCGAGCAAGGCTTTACACTTGCAGGACACTCTTCAACGGGCGAAGGTAGTGCGCAAGTGAGTGCACAAGTCGTAAGCACGGTCGCGAAAGAGCTGCAGTACCCATCTTTGGGAACCCAGATGTTGATCTCCCTGTTAGGCTCATGGTGTCGCCGGCAGTCGCGCCACATGAGCATCATGGTGCGCCTTATTGAGCAACCTACTCTAAGGCTTCACTTAGGACGCTTAGAGGGCTCTGTTTCGACTCTAGGACCGCTACCGAAAAGTTCGACCTGTCCCCGAACGGCCTGCGCAGTTCTGGGTGTCTCTGGCATGCTGAAGTTGTATTTTTGGGGCTGGAACGATTAGCCGCTCAGTGATATGGACAACTCGAGTTGCAAGTTTTGCTAGGCGCGTCCGCCAGAAAATCCGGAAGAGCGGCCCGGCATTGCAGAGGCAGAGCAGGAGACTTTGCACTGCTTTGCAATGTGGGAAGATTTCGCCATCTTTGCCTTGCATGGTTTTTGATGCATCTCTGACTCCTTGCGCTGCTGTCCATGGGCCCGCAACGCTCTTGAACCTGTGAAGCTTGACGACGCAAGACCAAGCTGTTCAACTAAGTTCAAGTACCTGACACAGAAACAGCACAAAACTGACCAAAAGCCTCTTTTGCAGCGCAAACATGGCCTGGCGCACCGTCTTTCTCTGGCTACTGGGTCCATCTGCCGCCTTTGAGTTCGATGCGGATCTGAGTCGTTGGCGGCATGTAGTTCACAGCGCTGCGCAAGAATGGGTTTCAGCTGCACGTTGTGCCGGGTTTCATGTTGTGCCTGCCGTCAGGAAAGATGATCTAACAAAATGGTGGGGCAAGGACGCTAGTTGCAAAGTTGTGTTCTTCTTTCACTTTGCAGGCTTGTAGGCTTCTTCACTCAGCACAGAAGATTGGCGAGAGTTGCCCAGTTACCCGAGCGACCAGCTTGATCATTGAAGCCGGGCGTGCTGCTTTCAACGTGAACACATGTCGGGGTAATGTTGTCATTGACGAAGCTGGATTCAGTTTGATTATGCTCGTTCCATGTTTGTTTTGATTTTGTGCGTGTGTGCGTGTGTGACGTGGTTCGAAGAGGCAATTTTAGGCAAGCACGACCTCTTTCCTGTCTCTGTCAGGCGGAGTTTCAAGGTGCCGTCGAAAATGCGAATCATGATGCCCATCTGGCAGGACAACGGATCCAAAAGAAGCATCTAACCCCAAAACTCAAACCCAAACCCTAAATCCCTAAACCCGAGACCCAAAACCTCAACCCTAAACCCTACAGTATCAGTTGAAGCACTTGTCGTTTTGGCAGCAGGGCCTCTCCCCCGCTGCGCACTCACATTGACAATTGCTGGATTCATGCGGCTGGAATCACGTGAATTGTAGGGTCACCGCAAGTCGCTATCACTTCACCATCTATGTGTGCTATTTTTTGCTCTACGCCACCCGCCTCACCGGGCCTGCCCAGCGGAGCTGGAGATCGCGGGGTCTTTGAGAGGCTTCGTGCAATCATTCCGTTATAGCATGCAGGAGAGACCAGGGAGTGGTAAAACGATGGTGAGGGGTGTGGGAGGGGGGGGGGGAAGTTCCAAACAAGGGGTTGCAATCTGTGCGTGGGATGTTGGGGCGGGGATTAGAGGTGGGGCACCTGCTTTATGCTACCCGGACACCTATGGCCCGAGGCCTCGGCGGATTGATCATTCATTGCGCAATGTGAGAGATCTTTGGCATATGACACAGGATTCGCGTCATGCAGCCCTGCGGCGCAAAATGCAGAGAACGCTTTGCGAAAGCTGCTGCTGCGCCACCAGTCAGGTCCCGGCAATCCCGCGTGCACCAGTAGAAGATGAAATGTAGCAGGTTTGGACATTATGGTGCTGCTTGCACGTTTGCCGGCGTCATGCGCTGAACTGAATGAAGCTGGCTGATTGATACGGCGCAAACGCATTCCTGCCACCTCCGGGAAGCCCGACACACGCACACGTACACGGAAGTACGCCTCGCATACCGGTGGCTGTCGTGCTCCCTCGCTTGATTCAGGGGGCACCTGCTCCGATTTGCCGGTTGACATCGCACAACATGCTTGGCGGTACAACGAGGACAGGCACAGATACTGACTACTGCCACATACGGCCTCTGTTGTCAGTATTTGTAGGATGGAAAGTCGTTGGAAAGTTGTGCCAGGATGAGCTCAGCCAATGCCTGAACCTGAAGCGTGGCCAAAGCTGCCGCATGACCTGCAAGGCCGGAAGCAGATTTAAGTTGTTCTGCTCTTGGTGCTTTGGTTTGGCCTGGTGGCTCGACAAGAAATCAGCAACCACAAACACCTGCTCACTTCAACCTATGTGGATCGACACTTAATGGTGGGTAGGAGGAGGAGAAGGGTCGTGGTTCTGGTGCTGGTGCCGGTGATGGTGTTGGTGCTGGTGATGGTGGTCAGTGATGGTGATGCTGAGTGGTGGTGGTGGTGGTGGTGGTGGTGGTGATGACGATGTGGACAGCACCTCTGACGATGGTGGTGGTGGCGGTGGTGGTGGGTCTGCAGCCTGGTGTGTGAAAGTGCTCGCAGGACTTTCCTGATCTGGCAGCAACCCTTGCCTGTGACGGAGTGAACTTGACAGGCCCCTGGTTTAGCAGCGACAAGATTTACAAGATGCAATGAAGTGTCCGAGACACTCACATGATGGCAGTGGGCTTGCTTTGCAGGCGCTCCGCCGTCTGGTGACTGCAGGCATAAGGCTGGCGAGTTCAAATTGTGCCCTGCAAGCGCGCTTGTGCTGTGGACGTTTGGCCCAGATGTCTACAAGGGGAGAGCCTGTCCTCGAGTCTCCGCGAGGGTAGTTTTTGTGAGAGGTCGACCCCGATGATGTGCCTGCACCGAGCGGAACAGTGCGGGGTCTTCTTCGCCGAGTCCCGATGAAATGGCCCCCTGGCGAGGTCCCGGACTCTATCAAGTCGTTCCCTCTTGCTCCTACTGTCGCTGCAATCTTTTGTCCTTGACTTGGCTTCCAACTGCAGGAAACATCTGCGCTGGTACGAACATTCTGGGGCATCCCTTATGGTGACCTGGCAAGTTGTAACCGGGGCTTCTGGATTCTGGACCAACCTGCAGCATGATCTCAATATATGAGTCGTAGCGACTGAGCAGTGGAACAGTGTCTAAGCTGAGGTGAGCAGCCAGGTCGCTTCCAGGCACCAGTAGGAAAGGCTAAATGGACTGGCGTGAGAGCCTCTGCCGAGACTTTGCTCAATCAGCCAAACCTTGCCACCTTCAGCCAAAACGAGACCCCTTTTGTTGCCTTCTCTGAGGACTACTACACCGAGTCGACTGGCTTGCAAGCCAGTCCATCATGGTGCGACCGCATGCGTCGCAGGAGTGTCATGTAAGTTCAAGCAGCGAACGCCTAGTGCCACCTAGCAATCGACGATCCAAGGCGACCAGTGCTTTGCCCTGACTTGCCTCCACTAGGGAGGGGAGTTAACATCGGAGAGGCCTGCTCGTGGCTTGTGATATGATCTTGAGAATCCCAGAGTATACCTTCAACCAATGAGCCTCAGAAGTCTCGTTGCTCAATCCTTGGAGGACTGCCTGCAACTCCATGTGTACACGCCACATGAACCTGCCACACTCCCAGATGGAACGCCATCGGAAGACCATCGTTCTGCACAGTTGCCTTCGCCTGCTTAATCTTTCCAACTTGACCGTTGTGACATCGCATGCTTTTGCTCAGGCGGTGAGGCCTCGACCAGTCTTCATCTTCCTGATTCCAGGCCGGCACCTACTGCCACTCAACTCCTGCTCAACTTCTGCTCGCTCCTCAACTCCTCAAGTTGATGACCCACGTTTCCAAGGGGGCTTCATCGGGACCGACTGGTTTCAATCTGGCTGGTATGATGCTGCACGAATTGTTGCTGCCGTCTTAGTTCCATCAGCGAGATCACAGCGCGAGCACCAAAGAGAGAGCGTGCACACCCCGACACCGACACACAGGTCCGGACCGATTCCATCTGGGTTAGCGTGGGCTACCGAAGTGGCTTCCTTGGCCACTGGACGCACGAGCAGCTCGCCAAAGAGGAGCACCATTCGATCCATTTCGAACCCCTTCCAAGTGATCGTTAATCCAAGCGAGGATCCACATGGAAGCACTGGTAACTACGAGGCATTGGACCAGAGGCGCGTGTGTCCAAGCGAACCGTGGGCATGGCTTTGCATGGCTTTGCATGGCTTTGCATGGCTTTGCATGGCTTTGCAGTTGCCGTTCAACTGAACTTAGCTTCGGACAGGCTGGCTTTGCAGTGGCTTCTCAGACTGACATAGGCGGTGTCCGTGTGGGTTGAGCCACGGGTACAAGCCCTGCCTGCGACTGAGGGTGCAGAGCAACATCCAGAGCTTTGGCGGTGATCCAGGTACCGCAGCATAGTCTTGAACTAGTCCGGGAAGTACAGGGGAAATCCGGGAAAGACTGGTGACAAGCCTGACAGGCCGTGTGACCTTGGTGGGTCATTCCTCTGGGGCCTTCTCCGTGAACTTCCACATGCTGAGCCCCGGCAGCCGCGGTCTCTTCGCCCAGACTATCCTGGAAGGCACCGCCCTGGAGCCATGGCTAAGCTCAGCAAACATGGCGGCAGCTGCGCTCTTTTCTCCGACACCGTTCTTGCCCGCTGAAGGCATGGTAGATTTAGGAATGACCATGCCGAAGTCGCGAAAGGCATGATGTCCAGTGGAAGTGTTGCAGGCGTAACATGTCTTCGCATGATTGGTGTCAGCTGCGAGCTTCACGGCCAGAGAATAGGCGCGGCCTCGCAGAGTGCGCGTGTGTGTCGCACAACATGCCAGCACGGGTCAGACGTGCACGGAGCCCGTGTCATCTAAACTCTGAAGCAAGCAAGCCCCTGCCTCCACCTGGCCATCTTTCTATGGACATTGAACCTGTCAAGATTTGAGCAGCAACTCGCTGCCAACTCTACACCCGCCATTTCAGCTTTGTCAGAAGCAACGGCAGCGGCCATCAAGCGGCGACGAGCAGCCAAAGAACGCATGTCGAGAGCTGACCTTGCGGAACCAAGTAGATCTCTTCGCATTCCTGCTAGTGCCGCTTTGGCCCCCGTGGCCTGGAGGAGTTTTAATGCCTTGAGTTCAATAGTTCTGGACTCATGAGCTATAGCCCGCCTGTGTTTCAACGTGCACTGAGTTGCAGTACTGAGGATAGTGGCTGGTATTACAGCACCAAGGACGCAGAAGTGGCAGAGGGCAGTGCAAGCATGCAAAAATGCAGCGGCCCTTGGCACTTTGAATATCTGAACATCCCGCACAGGAGGATGCCCTCAGTTTCTACGCCACCCTGGCCGAGCAGCTTGGCTGTTCCGGGGTGGATCAAATCCAGTGCCTGCGGGCTCTGCCTGTCGGAAGCTTCTTCAACTTCTCCAATGC